TACAGGAAGTGACCGTGACGAAGAGGAAAGGCTGATACAGGAGTGGTTCACTCTGGTGAACAAGAAGAACGCTCTGATACGCAGACAGGACCACCTGGAACTACTGTAAGAACCCCTAATGCATGAAAAGTACACATGTGCACACGCATCTACTTGTTTTTCTCAATATTGATTGTGTCTACAGACAAGAGGAGCAGGATCTGGAGAGGAGATTTGAGCTTCTGACCAGAGAACTACGGGTCATGATGGCCATAGAAGGTCAGTGATCAACAGTGGAGGAAAAAGTAAAACTAGCAATACCACAGTGTAAAAGTACAACTTTGCAGCTGTTGTAGCTTGATGAAGAGGAGCTAATGTCAGCTATTTTACATGCTGTTGGGTGGTTTATTCTATAAAAATGTACTGATTATGCATTTAAAATCATAACCTGCAAAGAATGTTGCATAAGTGTAACGGCGTAAAGACCTCAATCAGACTTGCTTGACTGATTTACAGATGACAGACAAGCTGATAATAACACAACCCAATGTAATTGTTAAAACAGCTTGAGACAAATATCCACCGGGATTGAAAACCATGATAATGTGAAAAATGAAAGCAAGAAATTAGATTAAGCTGTGCGGTTTGTCCTGCAGACTGGCAGAAGTCGTCCACTCAGCAGCAGAGGGAGCAGCTGCTCCTCCAAGAGCTGGTGTCTTTGGTCAACCAGCGGGACGAGATCATCCGAGACATTGATGCCAAAGAGAGAGGGTGAGTGTGTGCATCGTTTGAATGTGGTCACCGGGAGATTGAAAAACTCTAAAATAAAAGAGATAAAAACACATTGATATACTGCGGATTTGCTCTGATTTCTGTATTTCAAATGAAATCAAAAAACATATCTGTGTCTCCAATTCCTCATTTGTAAGCAGATGCTCTGAGTTCTCATATGTCATTTTTTGCAGAGCACTGGAGGAGGATGAGCGTCTGGAGCGAGGTCTAGAGATGAGGAGAAAAAAATACAACAAAGAGAAATGTGTGCTCCAGTGAGGCGAGAAGAGAAGCACAGACAGCTTTTACTGCAGAGCAACTGAGGTCCCAAAAGAGTATTTTTAAAAGTTTTTTTCATGAGATAAAAACAGATCTCTCAGGACTTCAGCACTCTGTATTTTCCTGTTTTTAAAGTGCCTTCATTTTGCCCGAGAACTGTTCTGTGTCTGAGGCTGCAAAGTGTCTTTTTTTGTCAAAGTTTCTATATTTTTTTTGTCTGTCTTAATGTATTAGTATTATTTTAATTCTTTTCACCTGTTTTTATTTATTTAAGTAATATGTCAGATTGTTGTATATCTATTGCACATAGGGTGTGTTTGTGTGTATATTCTCCTGTGAGTTCCTTCAGTATTTAAACACTGGCTTATCCTCCTTTTTGGGGGGGATGCTGTGTGGGGTGTTTGGGTTCCTCTTCATCATGACAAAAGCTTGTCAAAAATAAGGCCAAAATGTGCCTTGTAGCTTTAATGGGAAATAGTTTACAGTTGCTTATGCACATCAAGGAATTTGTTCTGTTTCTGGTGATGTTCACCTTGCAAGTATGTTTCCACCCTGAAAAAAACAAACTGTCTGTTAACATGTCGAACATAAAAATAGTGAAATATGTGATAAGTCGTGAGCTGGACTCAAACCCATGATGTTGCTCGTGCAGTTTTCAGATTCACATTGCGATAAAGCCTGAAAACAGGCTCAAGGATGCTCAAGTAGCTTCCAGTTTAAAGCATTATTTTAAGTTAGACCCTTGACTCAACCACAGTCTGTGTGGATGTGATGGTCGTGCCTGCTTGAGTCACAGAAATGAAAGTGTTTCCTCATTTCTGTGCTGTTTCACGACTGTATGCATGCTTTTTGAAGTGTGCTGGTAAAGTGGTACTCTGCTTCAAGTTCCTACTGTGTCCTTATTATACACTGTGTGCCTGATGTCGAATTTATATTTATGATGTTGATGAAAGATGTTTAAAATGATAAAGATTAATAAATATTTTATTGGTTGCTTATGTTTGTCCTGACTGAATTCTGTATGTTTATGACTATACACCATGATGACACCAGACAAATAGAATGTAACACAAAAATGCCAACAAACACGATCACTACGGAGCCCTGGAAGGGACATGGGGAGAGAGAAAAAACAGGGACAGGGAAAAAAAACAAAGGTATCTTTTGCGAGATCTCGCAAAATATTCTCGAGATCTCGCAATAACTTTTGCGAGATCTCGCAAAACTATAGGGTTGTGTCATCCACTCACTCCCTACTCACTATATAGGGACCACTACATAGTGAACTATGTAGGGATTAGGGAGTATCTCATGGGATATACTTCAGGGTCTTTTTGGCAGTGTGGAGAAACGACAATGGTGGACACCCACCTGTACAGGAGTTTTATTTCGTTTTATTTTGAAACTGACCTAAAATATAAAGACATTCAAGCAGTGCTTAGCAAGAGGCACAGTTTTCACAAAACGTCCAATAAGATTGATGTGACTTGTGCAAGACCTTGCGAAAGATGTGCGAGATCCTGAGAAAGTTTTGCGAGATCTCGCCAAAGATGCCTCTTTTTTTTATTCCTCTCCGTTTTTTTCTTTCTCCATGTCCCTTCTGGGGTTGAGTACTATCCTAAATTAACAGAATAAGTCAAAATTCTGAATAGCAAAATAACACAAAAATTCAAAAGTAAAGTGATAAGAGACAGATGAAATTGACTCTAATGTACAAATATACACTTTTTGTGCAAACTAATGTAATGCGCCCAAGCAACTGATGTATTACTATGTAAAAATGTTAAAATTTATTCAACTCATAAGATCATAATAGATTATGAGTCTGCAGTTTTTCTATTTCATCGTGGTGCATTGTTAGATTACATTTAAGGTTTAAATCATTATTTTTACTGCTATGTTATTATTATTGACACCATAATAATCTATTTCATAGTTGAAGAAACCATCTTACCCAAAGTAAAAGATTTTTTCAAATCAAACAAGTGCGTAATTGCCACACTGTTCTTTTAAAAACCAAAAAAAATTAAACAAAAATTACAACAGAACAAAAATGCGTTAATATATAGTTATAAAGGACTAATCACTGAGGGAAATAAAGGATGAAATGTTCACTCCCAGGCATGGTATAATTCCGTACTGTCAAAAGAAATGTATACCGCCTGATAATTTGTTTCTGGTACCTCTGTACGACGTTTTAATTCGTAATTTTAGTGATGTCTATGACAGAAGTGATCACGTTGTCGTTGTGGATGAACTTTGACCTGACGTTAATGACGTATATGCAGCTCCCTGGTGGTCTGGTGGTTAGGATTCGGCGCTCTCACCGCCGCGGCCCGGGTTCGATTCCCGGTCAGGGAACTAAGCTTTTGTACTGTCGCTACTTCACAATGTGTTTCTCAGTTATTGTGTAAACGCTTAGATGACTTGACTGTTTACAGTTGCTTTCCTGCTATGCAGAAAATATACAGAAAAACATCACATCGTATTAGGTTGATCAAAGTCATCAGTTGCTTCCACAATGGTAAGTAAAACAAACAAACAAACAAATAGATGAATGAACACATATCCAGAACAGTCTTAGCAAACACTGAACATTTTGAGTTTCTTCAAATATAGGCTAGTACTGTTATTTTATAGGTGATCTTGTGTCCACTCCTGGTACGGTAGCATGTAGCGTACTGGTGTTACTGTGTGTGTGCAGTGCCAACCCTATTAGTATTAAGCTAATCAGCTTCCCTCTGCAGCCCAGATCACTAGAGTATTCTAATCCAAACTCACGGACAGGACCGAGCCAGTCCAAAGCATGGTGGACCTGTGCTGCTTTGTCTGCCATTGTCCACTTGAGGAACCTCCCAAAGCTCTGGTTGGAAACCTTCAGTCACCTCTGTCATGCTGGAACCACAGCGTGACCTAATCAGGCAGGAGGAGCTGGTCCAGGTCAAGTGTTGGGTGTCTGTGCTGAGCTGCCTCCTGTTGGCTTGTCTCTACGTTGGCAGTTTGTACGTCTGGAGAAGCAGTTTACCGAGGTATACAACTCTGCAGCAGTCCTGTGATAGTGCTGCCGTCAGACTGAGCAACTAAACCACTGTGTGTGTGTGTGTGTGTGTGTGTGTGTGCAGGAACCATCCTAGTGTGATAAAGCGTCGCTGTGTCAGTGTGCTGCTGGTCTCTGCATTGTCACCTGCAGTGGTAAAGACATGGATGCACTGGGCTGATGTCAGCGTGAGTACACATGGGGGGAAATTCTGCATCTTCCTTTTGTTTTTTGGGCATAGTTTAATTTATTTTGGCAAAATGCTGAGAATTAACTTTAAGAATGAAACATCAGATCAGGTTTGCGCCTCAGGAATGAACCCAGTTTGTATTCCATCATAAATCTATAGTTTAAGATTGTACAGTGCAACTAGTCCAAAAGTGTCATTAAGCACAGTATTTTTTGTACCTTTAGTCCCAACCACAGCAGAACTGGAGGAATAAAATTATGTTGTGAATTACATACGCATTAACACCAAAGTAATAATCATCAGTAGTATAATTAGCCCACGATAATTGTGCGGCCCTCGCTATACATTAAGGTGCAGAGCTGTACAGTGAGCGAAACACACTTTCAGCCTTGGCAACGCATGCAACATCACTGATACCATAGAGCTGGATGCATTAAATGTCTCTCAACAGATTAGGTTATATTGGATAAGATAGAACTTTATTGATCTCTTTGGTAGGGTACCTCAGGGAAAATAGTTGATACACAGATACACTGTATGCACTTGGAAGTGTTTTATATTAGAGTGAAAATCCTCCGTCCTCCACTTAGAGGAATCTACGAAACTGTGAACACCACTTTCACAGCGAGGTCAAAGGTCAGTCAAGCTGGGAGGGAGTCAGTGTTTTTCCCTGAGAAGTTACACAGACCGGCGTTGACTACACATCAGAAGTGTTCTGTGAAGTTTCTGGGTCATTCGTTGTTTTGACTTTATAATCATCATCTGTTTGCTAAAAGTGCATTCTGTCCTTCCAGGTCGACGTGTCTGTGTTGGAGCTGATGGGAGTTCGTATGGAAGGCTTTGTTCCTGCATCCATACTACCATTATTATTAACTATGGTAAGTCCTTATCTAAAGCATGAAGAACATACTGCTTTATTACATCTGCCTTTATCACTACATTAGTCTAAAACGTCTAAACCTTTATTGGAGAATAAGTCCTGTATCCCAATTTTTAAAAAGATTAAGACTATGCACAACTTAATTTCACAGCTGATTTCACAACATTTAGCCAAGAACACAAAAAGCTCTATAGTCTGTCTCTAAAGTAAAAAAAAAATGTACCTCCAGGATTAAGTTATTTGTAATAAAGTGGTCAGAAATGAGGACAACCACAGCCAAGGACTATTTTTAGTAGCTTCAAACACATCTCTGTAGAACATTAGAACATTTTATTTATGTTGCACAACGGCAGTTTTGACATTTCAGAGATTAAATTTCCACTCTTACCATAACATAAATGGCTTTACAACTCCCATTAAAGTTCTGCATTTTGCAGTCAAGTCCCATGGGCATGTTTAAATCACCCACTTAAAAATGTGCCTGTAGTTTCCAGATCCTCGTCTTTAAATATTTTTTTTTTTATTTACTCTCTCTGGATGTCGTAAACAACTATTTTACTCTACACATCAGGTTTTCTATCTTGGTCCCTTTGTTCATTCTGCTATGGATGACCCTGATGGCTTCACCGGGGAACTGCAGTCTACGCTCGGTGCGTTTGTCTCACTTCAATGTTATGTTGGAGGCTGCAGAGTTTTAAATATGTGCTCCCATGCATTGTATGTCATCGTAAAGTCTCGGCTTTATTTTCCCAGATGTTCAGACGTGGAGGCTGTGCGTGAGAGATGCAGTGTGGCTCAGGAACCAGGTGGTGGCACCAGTGACAGAGGAGCTGGTGTTCAGAGGGGCCATGCTGCCCATGCTGGTGCCCTGCACTGGACCCACGGCTGCCATCTTCGTGGCTCCGCTGTTCTTTGGTGTTGGTATGGCGACTAGGTTTTCCGACTGAAGACGAGTCATTATTTACTTTTGCTCTTTATGCTAAAAATACAGTATACAATGGAAGTGAGAACATCCCTGTGCAATAATCACCCGAAGGTCAAATGATTTCAAATTGCATCGCCACTCAATAACTGTGTTACTTCTAAGATGGCAAGCAGAGTATTTATCCCAATAAACAATCAAAAATGGATACTTTGGATAGACTGTAGAGATGATTCAGGCTCCGGAGTACAAACTCAGTGGAACAAAAGTGAATACACCCGTATTAGTAACACAATCTGTAATCTCTGAAGCAAATTTGAGAACACCTGTGATTTCTAATTTGGCTAATTGCACGATCAGTGTTCCCAAATGATCAGTGAGGACCAAAACTTGATCAGTTTTGGACCTTTGCGCTGTGCCTATCTGCATGTCTGCATCGTGGTTGTAACCGTACTCCTAAAATGACGCGACAAAAAGTGTGTTACTTTCATAATCTGAATCTCCAAAACAGAAAAAGACGGTGCATTAGAGGTGCCACAGGGTTTATCAATGGAGGTTGAAGTTTCAGCTCAGACAGTGTGAAGGACAATGCATAGTGTGAACCTCTGAAGGCAACAAAGACAAAAAAATCCTTGTTTGGTCTTAAAGTGCGAGATTAAAGTTTGCTAAAATCCACTAAAGCGAGCCTGGTGGATATTGGGAGCATGTATTTGTTCAGATGGGACCAAGACAAATTTGTTCAGTTGAAATGGGGTATTAACCTGGTCTGGGTTACAACAGTTAATGCATAGACCTGGCAGTGGAGCACGGAGGTGGGAGTGAGATGATACGGGTCTACATGAGTGCAAAACATGTTGGAAGATTACATTTATAGATGACACCATGAAAACCTGTGAATATAGCAGAATAATGGCTGACAAGATGACTCCCAGTCTGCAAAAGCTTGGCAGAGGAGGAATATTCCAGCATGGTAATGATCTGAAGCACACTGCCTGTCGTGGCAGAGCCCCTCTCCAGACATTTTGCTTCCTCCACGCTTAGGAGGATTGAGGGTGTCATTAAAGATAAAGTTTGACATACAAAGTATCGGGGGAAAAAAATAGCTGAATCTCAGTAATGTGCTGACTTTTGCTACACTGGGTTCCAACTGCAGGAGCTGTATTTTTATTTCATAATTTTAAACTGGTAGTTTTTCATATTTCATTAGAGCTAATACCCTGCTGTTCAAATTAAATCCAAAAGTGCTACTGAGAAGTGATGCAATTTTGAATCATTTATATTGCACAGGGGTGTATTCACTTCTGCTGTACATGTTAGGAAGTGCTACATCATATTGTTTAAACGGTTTTCACCACAGTTCGTGTTTACTTTACTGTGTTATTTCAGCTCATTTCCACCATATTATAGAGCAACGGCGCCTCGGCAAGGACAGCATGAGTGTTATCCTTCTGGTGGCAGGTCAGTTGGCTTACACACACTTCCTCAGGTAAACCACATTGTAAGCAAAATGAAGTTATGTAAGCTGTAAAAACCTGTCATTTCTACGGCAGACGAATGGTTTTGAAATTTAGTGCATTGCATGACATTGCATCATTTTTCCCCTTTTCGCACATGTAACCAGGACGGATAAAGTTAGCTTTAATCATATTTCTTCAAAATTCTTTTTTGCTCTGGTCTGTTTCAGGGATGCAGTTCTTGTACACAACTGTGTTCGGTGCCTTCACTGCCTTTATATTCATGAGAACTGGTGAGACTTGGAGTGAACTGCGCATTCACTTGCTAACATACTAACCTCCAGGGCACGCCTCATTAAATCTGTAATCTGTGTTTCTAAAGGTCACGTCGTGGGTCCAGTTTTGTGCCATTCGTTCTGCAACAGTCAGGGCCTGCCTGACGTCACCTCTGCCCTGCAACACCCTGAACGCCCAGCTCTGCTCTTCTCATATCTGATGGGAATACTGCTGTTTCTGGTGCTGCTATTCCCGCTGACGGACCCTTTTTTCTATGGTGCCGCTCCTGTCTGCAGCCTGGCTCCCCCTCCAGCGTCTGTATGTTAAATTAAATGAAATTACATACTGTCCAGCTCATAAAACCATGTCTCTTTGCTCTGGTTTTCATTTTGTGTTAGGTTTTCAAATAAAGAAGTATTTTTATGATGAGTGTGCCACTGCATATGCACTGTACATGTGTGTGTGTGTGTGTGTGTGTGTGAGCATGAGAGAGGAACGATTCTAGCAGTTTAGACATTTCCTGCATGGTCGAAAATATTTCCTACTGTATTGAAACTCAACACCGGTACAACTTTGCCTGGCAAAGAGCGAGAAAGAGAGAAGTGTGTGTGTGTGCAGCTGAGGAAAATAGATGAACTGTGAAAGTTAATGAGTGAAACGGGAAGGCAGCGAAGGAGACAGCAAGGAGAGAAAGACCAATATGCAGACAGAGAGACAAACAGAAACACAGACTGACACTGTTGCCAAGAAATGCACTAAAAGGAACCAAAGCAGAGAGATACGGCTATATAAAGTCCTGTTATTGGGACAAATAAGGCAACGACAGACAGACTTAAACAGAAACTAGCGAAAGAAGTGAGAAAAAGTGACTGCAGCCAGAAGCAACAAGAGCAGTGCCAGCAAAAGACATGGAGAGAAGAGAAGAGAAGAGAAGAGAAGAGAAGAGAAGAGAAGAGAAGAGAAGAGAAGAGAAGAGAAGAGAAGAGAAGAGGGAGAATTGAAAATGAAAGGTGGAATGGGGAAAGTTTAGAGTCTCCCCAGGGAAATAGAAAATGTGGAGTAGCTGTGCTGAGGGAGAGGAGGTCATTCGGGGTATGTGGAAATGACTGAGAGGTGGAAGGTTGTGTCTTATGATTAAGATTTATGAGACAGACTGATGAGTAACTTATGCAAACTATGTTTACAGAGCAAAATTGGGAAGACAGAGTGCATTCACGCATGCTTCTGTCAATGCACTTAGCTCAAGGTTCTAAATATAAATAACGGATTTTATCTCTCTTCGTTTCCTTGTATTTTTGGATCCATGCACTTGTTTATCTGACATCGGTGTTTTTATAGTTTGTCTTTTGCAAACAAGGGACAGAGATCAAGTTAGGTGAAGTTCTTCATGTGTATGCGTTTAAAGGTAGGGCAAGTCTAGTTTAGAATAAAAACTGGGAACAAGACAAAACAGTTAGTCTGACTCCGTCCAAAGGTAACAGAATCCACCTATGTGCAAAAGCAAGTATTTCAGTGTGGTATGTGCCAGACTATTTCCTGGCAGGTGCTGTGTCATGGACTTCTTTTTGCTGTGAATATGTTTTTCCCTACACATACCCAAAAAAATATCCCAGTTGCAGGTTTAGGTTCAAGGAATCTGCTTGGTATTTTGGGAAATGTGCTTCTTCGCTTTTCTGACACTCAAAGCTTCAACAAGCAGCAGGTCAAAATCTGTTTCCCTTTCAATTATTCTCACTCCTTATAATGATGTTAAAATGATGTTTGCTGTAACGTTCCACTCTGCAGCTGGCTTAGGATTTAGGTTAGATTATGATGAAGTGTAGCAGAGATAACAGGCCAGGGAGTGCATTTAATGGGTTTGGGTAAGTATCGATCTTTAGGAAAGATTTGGTTCAGATATATTTAAGAGGAAACACATGTCAACTGAGAAACAGTCTTTGACACAACAATTAAACTGAATTAAAACAAGCTGTCAACACAACACTGTCGTATTGCAAGCTGCACATCCAGCAACATTAATGTTTGTTTATGGTCCTGAATCTGCAAACTGGTCCAAAAAATCTACTCTCCTTTCAGCTTAATTTTGGTCTCTACCATCTCCTAAGGAAAATATAAAGCTTTTAGAAGCTAAATGCTCCAATATGTTCACCAAATAGTTGTGTGTTGTTTGGTGCTGGGCAGTTTTTATACAAGTATAGTGAGCTTTTACTGTTTTTTCACCTGCTTCAGCTGAATATGACACTACAGCTGTCTAGGAACCTGTTCCACATCGTCACGCCATGATTGTATACCTTATTTTAAAAATATTGCTTACAGACAATTTACCTTATATACAGTTACAAACTGTCCTGCGTGTTTGAGCCCTGAGCGTGCAACATCTCCAGTCCTCCAGTGTTTTTATGACTAACGTCTGATGTCGAACTAGAATTTATCTTCGTCTTCTCAGCGCTGTTAGAAAAAAGGTTATGTTTAAAAGGATTAAGGGGGCTTTTTTTCAAATCTTTATTTATTCAAGGTTAGACTGCTGATTCTTCATCTTGCTCCCTCTCTGCTTCGCTTTCATACATTTCAACTCAGTCATACTTGGGATCCTTCCAGTACAACAAAGTCTTCGGCTGCTGAAAGTTTGAAGCTTTGGAGGACATGGCTGCACTAGATCAAGCATGACAGCAGTTTTTGTAAGAAGCAACTGTATTACCTATTTACCTCCCCAATGTTTTCCCTGAGAATTATATCGAGATAAAAATCCTAACAACCTCTGATTTGGCAGCCACCCTCTGAGACAGTAAGGTGAAATGAAGACAGCAGAATGATTGAGAGGCGAAGACGAGGCTGTTATTAGACTTCCCTGCCCATAAAAGTCTGCAGAAGATTTTAGCATTGCGTTCGGGGAGTCATTTACTTTATTTTGCTGATGCTGAGTCAGGCGGTTTATGGTTTCTCTCCTTGTTTTTTTTCTGAAAAGTTGGTTGTTGAGAAGCACGCAGTGGAAACTGAGTCCAGATCACAAACGGGATGTGGATGTTTTGTACAAAATGTGAGGTTTCGATGAAACAAGACCAGAGAGAGAATAGGAGGAAATGGTGCAGAAATAAGTCAGACACATGGAGGTTTATTGGCAAGGACCTACACATCAGAGGCTGGTGTGTTTCTTTGTCGCGCCGTCAATCCTTTGTGTCCCGTCTCTTTCTTGTGGGGTCGTCACCCTTTCTTCTCACTGTTAATGCATTCACCATTACAAACACACACACACACACACACACACACACACATGCACACACAAAATGTATCCCTCTCTGGAGAAATGTGACTGTTTCATGAAAGACACTACAAAGAAGTGTAAGATGTCTGTGTGTTCATGGCTGTGTCTATGGAAAAGCTGAGTCTATCATCTGGTAAAGGAATAATCTGTCAGGAATTATCCTCTCCCAGTATTCGGTCCTCTCTCTTTCTGCCTCTCAGCAGTTTCTAAACCTTGACTCCCTGTTTGCCTGCGGCTTGTTTATACATGTGCGATTCTTTATGTGCAGCAGCCTCCTGTTGCAGTCCCGTCGATAGTACATACATCATTACCACCTGAGCATTTTCCGTTCACGGTGCGTTTTTATTTTCTCTTCTTTTTTCAGACACACAGAGCTCAACAGAGAATGTCTTATCTTGTTTTTCGGGTAAATGAAGGAACTTATTAGATTTTACAAACTATGCTTGTGCCCACAGAAGTACCAGTTCATGATTTGAAAAAAGTTGTTCCACTGTGGCTGCTCGGTGGTTAATGGTATGTGGCTGTGTTTGTACTGGGTAGTTCCCAGGTGTGAACATGAGTAAAACTGAGCATTAAGGAAGCAGAGCACGGCACAAAAGCATGCTCAGTAATCTACTCCCTTGTTAAATGAAGTTTTACAAGCTTCGTAATCAGACATCTTAGGTATTTAGACATATTGACGCGGTGTTACCAACTGGCTCGAGGCTACCACTAAAAATGTCCAAATATTTTTAGCTGATGGATTCAGTAACTGTAGATTTCAGCTGGCAAGGAGTTTATTCCCTGCGGACTTTTACAATTGGATAGCGACCCCAGTTTATTCAGATGTTTGTGGTAAAGATTTGTTGACAGTCTGGGTGTGGAAGGAGGGCACTCATGTCTGCTATGAAAGATGAAACACACGGACGTCGTAGAAAAAAAGTGGATAAAAGTATCGTCTTTTTCCTCCGCTGAAATCACCAGGAATGCCTACAGTCCATTATTTAACCACAAGCCTGCTGCTAATTGCTTCAGTGTGTCCGTGTGTGTGTGTGTGTGTGTGTGTCCCCATGTGTGTGTGTGTGTGTGTGTGTGTGATATAAGACACCGGCGGTCGGGAAAAATGAACAACTGACGTGTCCTTCTGTATTTGATATGGCAGAAACGCTTCAATAGGCCTGAATGGTGCGAGCCTGTGTGCCGCTGACCCAAAGCGACAGGGAAATAATAATCCAGTGTCCTTGACATTAGCAAGGAAATTTGGTAACCCCAGTAATAGAGGTAGTCTGACTTATTTAGTCAAGAGAAAGAAGTTTTCTTTCAGTTCTTTAGTTGGTTAGGCCATTTAAGCCCACAGACTTGAATGTACTCCGTATATGCATCGGTATTATATTGATTTACATTTATATTTAGTTAAAATATAAAACATTTAACACTTTTATTTAAAACTCTTAGATTTAAGCATTTAAGATGGTTATAGATATTGCATCTAGTGATAAATTCTTGCACAGAAATGGTACAACACTTAACCCTCTGAACTCCCAGTTTCTGGGTATTTTTTTGCTCCTGTCACATTTGTGCTCCCTGTGGGCTCATTTTTCACTGCAATACAGAGTTCTGCAGCTCAATGGAAACTGCACAACCATGGCTAGAAGTAGAGAGGACTCAAAAATGTCTTTTGTGCAAAAAATTAGAAGAACAACAAAAAGAAAAAGAAAACCTGGAATCAGCATGTACAACATATTTAAGTGCCCACTGGTTTTACCAATACTGGGAAAAAAAACACGTGGCTCCACATACTATAGATAATTTGTAGCATTTGGAATTTGTTTCCATGCTTGTCTCCTGTCTGCTCTGTGTGCACACTGCCTGCAGTTCGGCCTAGTTCAGCTGAATATTTCTTGAATATTTGTCTCGTGAATGGTGGTCGCAACTGAGTCACTACTGGCTTATCCGTTTTGCTGAGGAGATGCAGAATTTATTTTATTTTATTTTTTTTACAGAATCTGTTGAGGGCTGCAAGGTGACTCGGTGGTTAGCACTATCGCCTCACAGCTCGAAGATCACCGGTTCGCTTCTCGTGAGGACACCGGGGTCTCTCTGCAGGGATTTTGTTCTCTCCATGCGTGGGTTCTCTCCGGGTTCTCCACACAGTCCAAAACATGTTGAGGTTAATTGGTGATTCTAAATTGTCCGTAGGTGTGAATGTGAGTGTGCTTGGTTGTCTGTCTCTAAGTGTAGCCCTGTGATAGACTGGTGTCCCCTGCCTTCACCCTAGGTCAGCTGTGATAGACTCCAGCTCCCCCGCGACCCTAGTAAGGATTAATAGATAATAAGGTGTATAGATAATGGATGGATGGTGCAAATGCTTAATTTTTGGCAAAATTTTATATGAAACTTGTCAAATAACCATTGTGATGAAAAATCAAAATTTTAAGTTTAGATATGGATATGTTTCCTATGAAACCATATGTCACACATGACTTGTTCAAAGACCATTGAGAAATTTGAAAATTCATCTGTTATTGCTTTTTCTGGCTACCGAAAATGGTATGATCTTGGTGATTTTTAAAGGATAACATGCCTTTCCAACCTGCGGGCAGGTTTTGTGGTTAATGGAACTTAAAAGCAAAAATGCATCTAATATTTGTTTGTTTTCTGTCCACTTTTTCATTCACAACAGTGCTATATTTTCCAAGAACGTCTTGCTCACACGCTCACACCTGGAAGTTGTCCAGTACAACCACAGGCTGCTCTGTTGGCCACTAAGCAGCTCCACTAAAGCAGCAGGGGGTTAACAGCCAAAGTGGCCAAGGGCACCTCAGCAGTGGTGAGGGAGGTCGGGGTCATGGACGGCTGAGTGCTCCTCGTTCCACACAGATTTATCCTGCTGCTTTTCAGACTTGGGTTGAGTCATTTTATAATAAAGCTGGTTCGCTGCTACCCTTCATCTGGGCAACTGTTTGACTAGACATGATCTTAATGAGCGACAAGTGACTGAAAGCTTGTTTAAGTGGTCCAATCCTAATAACTTCTAGATGGATCGCCGTCATGTTTTGCACAAATATTTATGTTCCTCAGAAGGTGAAACCTCCTTGGCTGAGACTCCCTGACATTTCACGGTGCCACATGCAGGTCAGTGTTTTCACTTAGCCCGTGAAATATCTCAACATCTACCGGATGGATTGGTGCACATTTTACACAGACAGTCAGGATTCTCATGGCATGAAGTGTGCTGACTTTGGCAATCCATGTAGTTTTCCTTTGATGCCATCATGAGGTTCAAATTTGTAATTTAATATGAAACAAACCCTTAACTGGATTGGAATGAAGTTTGGTGCAGACATGCATGTTCCCCAACACATGATTTTTTAATATCTGTGGTGACTTTTTATCAAGAAATATTCAATCTCGGCTTAATTTGTGATGATGGTGAGCATATTTCACATCACATTTGCTGATGCTCCACCAGTGTACCCAAGCACAGCTTTACAGAGTTACTGTGCTTCCTGTAGATTCTTCATCTAGTATAATACATGTCATATGTTCTTTCCAGGGAAAGAAAAGTGCCTAAAGTGAAGTATCACCATACAAGTTTTAATGGTGTCCAAAGAACACCAAATCAAGACCAGCTATTGCATTGTTAGAAACTGAATTAGTGTTTGAAGTGAAATGGAGAGGCTTTAGAGCTGGAAGGTACAGCTCAGCAGCTTGGAAGCAAGAAGCTGAGAAAATATCAGAGCCAGTCATGATATGTGGCAAGTGGCGAGGAGTCAAGGAGGTAGAAAGCAGGCTGTGACCTAGGAGGCGGTGAGCATAAAATCAGGAGGTCTGTATGTTCCATTAGAGGTCTTTGGGTTGGGAGATAGAGCAGCTTGGATACACTGTATGTGGATTAATGTGAACGAGGGGAATTGGGAGCGCAGGACTATGGAAAGGAGAGGTTTTGTCTGTTCTATCAATTACATTTCTGGAATGTGTCTCTGGGGGCGTGGCTGTCTGGGCAGGGGGAGGGGCCAAGCAGGCTGAACGATAGAATAAACAGACTGAGAGTGGGAGGTTTGAGGTTAAAAAAAAAAAAAAATGGGGTTCTGGGGTAGAGATTGCTGATTTGCCCAAATAATGACACTTAAAAAATAGAGGGGAGACAGAGGAGATAAGGAAAGGGAGGAGAGCAACGGGGTGCAAGAAAAGAGAGGAGGGACAAGGGGGATGAAAGAATAATAAGGAAAGGGAGAGAGCTGAGGATGGGGGTAGTCCAAGAAAAGCAGAAAAGATAGGAGGAGGATGAGGGGATGTGGAGAAAGAGAAGAAGGAGGTGGGGGAACAAGACCAAAAGGCTCTTTAGGTTCTCCAGGATCCTGAGGTTTTATGTTTGGTCTCCCTCTACTTCCAATGATTGTTACATAACTGGAAAAGACTGCTGAATAGTAAAACTGTATATAACCTGTCTGCCAAAACCAACACGCCACAGCCAGCCGACTCATCTGCTGTACACAGAGAGAACACAGGCTTGGACACACGCCGACTGTGGCTAATAATTGATGCGACTGCACGTACAGCATGACTTTTCCATCTCATCATCCTTTTGTTAAGAGGCCGAAACGATGCTGTCAGTTCTAAAATTGTATTAAACAACCCATTCTGCGCCAGACTTAGTGGAAAGTTGCAGGATATAACAGTGACATAAAGCTGCATAAATTGTTTTGTGGCTGTTCACACTTCACAGACAGAAATTTGATGTGAGGTTTTATTGTTTGGCCGAGCAGATTCCCACCTATTGTTGAACAATTTAGTCTGTTTGCGCATGGTAGACCTTAATTTGCAGTCTTCTCAACCAGTTGTTTGCAGATTTGAGTCTGTAACTTTGCCTTAAGAAGGTGAATTCGCAAATCATGGATTCACATAGTATTCGCTGGCTTTGGTCGCTCCATAGACTCAAAGAAAAGTTTAAAAAAAAAAAAAAAAGATGATATTTTTCTTTGGAAAATCCAAACTCAGCCTTTTGACTTTGCTCTAGACAGGCCATTCATAGTGGACGGATCATGTGACGGCAGTGGAGGTACCCCCCAGTCGCTACTGCTCCCCAACTATCGAGAGGTCAAGCTGATGCACATCTGGCATTTCCTGTTTCCTTCTCCTCCATATGCCCGCGAGTGGTAGCCACACACACACACACACACACACACACAGGGAAGAGCACTTACTCATACACTTAGACATCTGTACTCACATGAAGGTATTTTATAACCCATGAGAATGAACTCGCACACACACACAATACACAGAGTCCAACAGGTATTCCATACTCAAATGTTTCCATTGGTCTGTAAAAACTTCCAGCTGGTATGGGCTTGGTAAAAAGAGAAAAGGGAGGAGGGGTGGCAGAAAAATAGAAAATGACAGGAAGAATGGAGGTAAAAAGAGAGGTAAAGAATGAATGAAGTTAAAGGAGAGAAATAAAGAGATAGAAAAACAATGAGAGGCTGACAGAGAAAAGAGAGAGACAAATGGGAGGACAGAAAGAAGAGGAGAAGAAGAAGAAGAAGAAGAAGAAGAAGGGGGAGAGAATCTGTGCATCTCACAAGCTGACAAACTCTTTCCACTCCTGTGGATGCTGTGCAGCGTGCACGACTTACAGACTGTGTGTGTGTGTGTGTGTGTGTGTGTGTGTGTGTGTGTGTGTGTCTAAAGCCATCGGCAAGATGGGGGACAGAATGGTGCCGTATGGTTTTCATAACTCTCCGAGAGTTTTCAATTCTCCAAGCACCCCCCCTCCACCTCCAATCCCTCCAGTCTGCCCTTATACACTCACACACTTTACCAGCCCCCTCTTCCAAAAACACACAATTCTTTTTCCTCTACGTCGACTCCCCCCCCTCTCTGCACCCTCCCCCATCTTTCTCCTCTTTCTGAGGTTCAGTCAGAAAGCCAACTTTGCAGAGGCAAGAAAGTCCCGGCAAGATCAGATACAGTTCAGGGGCTTCTGTCACTGAAATTCATCAAATTCATTGTTGGACTCTAATTAATTTTTTTGGGACGTTGGTTGCCCCATTCAACACTTTTTGTATCTGGTACTTCACTGGACTGTATTTTGGACTGTTACTGGACTCAACTGGACTTTTTGGGGATTCATTAGACTCCATTGATTTCAGTTTTATAAAGTAGGTTTTGTTAAAAATCTACTTTTCTGTGGCAGCAATACTGCCACTTTGAATGGAGTTTTATCTATTCTGCACTGTACGGCTTCTTGTCTAAGAGCCTGGGCCAACTAAGGTAAATTAAGGTAAACAGATGCCAGTCCTGGACTTATCTGCCTCAGGTTACTTTGACTAAAAGTTCTTTTATACCAGTCTATTTATTGCAAAACGCTAACAGGGTACAAAAAAGTAAGACAAGTCTTGAGTGGCAGGTTGCAGTTTGAAAAAAAAAAAGGAATAATCCTCAATTTAGCTCAAGTTTGTTTAGATAAGAAGGCAGAAAAGATAGGTGTTTTCTGTTATTAGGCTATTTATTTGACAGCAAGGTTAGGATACTTATTTGAATGTTGGCTTAGTTTAAACCTCATGTGTTGGCGGAGGATACAACAGATCATCAGGAGCAGTAGCAGCTGCAGCAGCATGAGTCTCTTGTGCATCTTATGGCTGCTGACAGTCTGTCTGGCTCCTGGAAGCCAAGGCCAGAGGCCGAGGGAGGCGGAGGGGGAGCAGCCAGGAGGCAAGGCTCAGCTGGCGGAGAGAGACGCACTCTGCCACCAGGAGGGATGCTACGCTGTCTTCCTCCAGAAGAGAACCTTCAGGGAGGCTGGGCGGAGCTGCCGGGAGCGAGGTGGGACCCTGGCAACAATGCACACTCACGAGGCAGCGGGTGTGGTCCACGAGCTGCTGTCGGCCATCGAGACGCAGGGGTCCAGGTTGAGGCTTCGGCTCTGGATCGGGCTTCACAGACCTCCACGCCAGTGTTCATCCACTCGACCGCTCAGGGGATTCGTCTGGGTCACAGGCAAAGTCTCACCTTTTTGACATTTGACCTTTCATTGTAATATTTACCTTCACCACTGTATCAGTCTTTTTGTGTTTGTTTTGATAAGTGAGCTCAGATGGCCCAGAAGCAGAAAAAAACACCTAATTGTACAATTAAGCATCCCAGTAAAATTTTAAAGATCAGTGCAATCACTTCTAATGAGAAAAAAAGGCTTCTTCTGTGGAAAATCTGAGTCATTACAATGAAAGCTTAAAAACTCATTAGTTAGCTAACTACCTACTTAAATAAAGTGGCTCTGGTAGGGCTCCAGCCTAAATTATACAAAACTAAATGAAATAATGCTACAAGGACTTTAAACACATGAGGATCCATGACACAACAATCTTTAGCATCTTGTATGATAATGTCTTTACTAATTTAACTTAAAAACCCACGGAGGCATAACACTATACCTTCAGATAATGGTGTTAAACCATTGTGGGTTGCCCCACCCTGATGGATAAGTCAGACTTTGGTACCCAGGCCAGCCTCCAGAGCTCTGCACAGACTGGATGGTTATTCCATTAACTGCTTTTGTTTTACAGAGACAGAGCTGGTGCAGCAGTGGAAGTTCAATTTCTTTTTTCACCCCATTGCTTCTCCTCGGCATGATTTATTCATTTTACAAAGCTTGCCTGCTAAAAACATATGGGTTTTCTGTCACTTCAAGTGTTTGTCTTGGTTTACAGTTAGTAAAAGCATTAAATTTTCAAGAGTTATGTGGTCAGCTTACTTCTTTTTCCCTCACAATTTGAAGGATTGGCTTAAACAAATTACAAAAACATACTTCTCACTTAGCCATGGTGGTAAAAAATCATGCAGATAGTTGTGGGTTTTCTTTACCCAAAACTGATGTGGATGTGAGTTGTGTTGCTCACAGCATTAACAAATGACCTAAATATTTCAATATGGTACAACTTTATCCTTTCATTGAGTGCTTTATATATAAGTTGGCAAAACTGTAGCACATTACTGAGAAAGTAAACAAGCTTCTTAAAGATTATTGCTGCTACTTGCTTGTTAACAAGCTATTTCAAGGCAAAACTCCCCCTCTTATTGTTTGAGGGACTGACCCTACCTCCATCAATGGAAAGAACTGAGGGGCAACAGGATACTGCTCCTACAAAAATAGCAGTGGCATTTTAAAGCCCATGTGTGTCAGATTTGAACATTTCGTACTTTGGTGACTCCTTGTGGCAAATCCAAGAAAGGCAGACAGCAACGTGGTCCGACCCCCACCCACACAAATCAGATGAACTTGCAGACTACACTGCATAGACTGCCTTTCTAAAAAAGAAAAAGAACACTTTTGCAGTCAGAATAATTTAGAAGACAGTTAAAGCAGATTAATATTCTGCATGTAGCACCTTTAATCGTGATAAGTTTAGCACTTTAGATAAGCTGCAGGTCTGAAAAAGCTAATAGACTGTAAAATAGAAGCAGGAAATTAAAAAGATGGACTTCCACTGACATGGCCCTTGTCTTTTTTTTCCAACAGGAGATCAGGACGGCCAGTTCACCAACTGGCTCCGTGAGGACACCCCTGGGACCTGTGCTGCCCCTCGCTGTGTCGCCATGACTGTCCACACTTCTGAGAATGGACGTGAGAGCAAAGACAACTTCCGATGGGTTGATGGCTCCTGTGCGTTGCCTTTGGATGGATATGTTTGCCAGTACAACTACAAGGGAATGTGTCCCCCGCTGGAGGATGAGGGCAGAGGTCCCGCTGTTTACACCACCCCATTTCACCTTGTCAGCGCCCTGCTGACTCATGTGCCCTACGGCTCTGTAGCAGCTCTACCGTGCCCTGCAGACAGCGCAGACCCAGATTCTCCTGCTGAGCAGACAGTGCTATGCATGGAGAGAGATGACGAGACGGTGGGCTGGTCCAGGGATGCCCCGCTCTGTTCATCCAGTGCAGCGCCACAAAACCAGGACTGGTGTAGCGGGGACCATGGATGTGAGCAGTTCTGCCAGAACACAGACACAGATTACTACTGTTACTGCTCCGAAGGCTTCACAATAGATGAAGATGGCTACAGCTGCAAGCCCGACCCCCTGGGTCCAACAGACCCACCTGAGCTGTCCTCCGACTCTGCCGGTTCCACCGACCAGCCCCACATGAAAGAAGTCTGTGTGGAAGCAGGATGCGAGTACGATTGCATGGAGACACCTCGGGGAGTCCGCTGCATCTGTCCACCCGGCTACCAAATGGGTCCAGATGGCCGTGGATGTTCCGACGTAGATGAATGTCAACAGCAGCCTTGTCCACAACTCTGTGTCAACATCCCAGGAACCTTCCACTGCACCTGCCACCAGGGGTATCAGCCAGACGACGAGGGCGAGTGCGTGGACACTGATGAGTGCCTTGATGAGGGCAGCTGTGAGGGCATTTGTGAGAACACAGTAGGGTCCTTCACATGTCTGTGTAACCCCGGCTATGAGCTGGGCAGTGAAGGAGAGTGTGTGGATTTAGATGAGTGTGTTGGGGAGTCGCCCTGCCAGCAGCAGTGTCTCAACTATGTGGGAGGCTACCAGTGTTTCTGTGACAACGGCTATGACCTGCAGTCGGATGGACTCACCTGCCAGCCTTCGCCTGATGATGAAGAATATTCCACCTTGACCCCTGATCCTAGTGACTCTGCTCACCCACCTGACGTGTACCCAAACCACGACATTCCCTGGTCCACTTCGTTCACCCCTGATCCAAACTTCGAAGCTGACACAAACTTTGACGTCGACTGGCTGACCGAAGCCCCTGAAGCCCTTTCCCCTGACATGGCTCATGGATCAGATAACCACCTAAACCAATGGGATTCCCTGTCACCCAGGCGATATCAGACAGCTCCATCCCCCACACAAAAAGACAGCACAGGCAATGAAATTGATAATGAGGCTGAAGCTAAAGCAGGAAACAGGGGAGCTAGTGGTGCGGCTAGTGGTGGAGCTGAGTCTTCAAATGGGTCAGCTGCTGGGACTCAGGAGGCAGAAGAACCAAAGATTAATAGTGCAGAGGACACCAGTGGCACAGCAGATGTTGGGGATGGATCTGCTGCAGGTAAACGGAAGCACGATAAGAGCTGGCTGCTTGTGGCCCTGCTGGTTCCGCTTTGTGTTTTTCTTGTGGTCATGCTGGCTTTGGGGATCGTCTACTGCACCAGCTGTGCTGTGGACAAGAGCCTCAGCTTCTCGGACTGCTATCGCTGGGTACTCCCTACAACGCCTCCTGACAGGAGGGACGGCAAAGCCCAAGCATGAACTCTAAAATAAACACACAGATGTGTTAAAGGCAAAGATGTCTGTTAACATTTCTCTTGTGGTGTAGGACTGGTCACTAAAACTACAATTTGGATATAGTGCTGACTGGCTCTCCCACTCATCAAGGAAAATTTGAAGTCCCTCTCCGGTCATTGTTTTAACTCCTAAAAAGTCATCTCTGTGTATCGAAGTTACTTATATAGAAATTTTCTTTTCCATGAAAATCATCTTTCTTACTCTTAAAATGGCTTTGATGTAACTGTTGCTTTCTCTAGAATGTGCAGCTCTATGAAGTCGTTGCCTCTCTCTTTACCTCTCCGCTTACCGCAGCTCGAGCACACCAGCTCACCTACGACTGCTCAAAACACTGTAAAACAGCTCTACGCTACACAACAGCAAGTTGAAATATTGAAGTAATTCAGTGATACGTGTTCGAACTGGAAATTGACTCTGAAGGAGAGTAATGATACAGAAAGTACCTTGCAAGTTGATATGACTGGTTTCTTGGGTTTGTGACATATGAAGGCTGAATATGTCTTTTTGAGACTGTCATCAGTAGGTTCAAGGTGGAAACACCCATCCATGGCACTGCCTGCCTATTTTGCTCATGATGTGTCTTTTTGCAAATGAAAAAAAACAACACATATGGACATGTTCATAGGGGGGGAAAAAAAACAAAAAAACAAAAAAAACAGACTTGATTTTTACCGGAGGGGGCCTTTAATACTTTCTGTTGCACAGCCTTTGTAAATAATTCACTCTCTCATCATGTTTTTAAAAATTCAATAAAACCTTTAAACTGATGGAATACTGTGTGGTTTGTAAGCCTGTCTTGGTTAAAACAGAAAGTGATGCCTATTCTTGGCGATGAAGAGTTGAAAGTGTGTGTGTGTGTGTGTGTGTGTGTGTGTGTGTGTGTGTGTGGAAAGAATGTGTGGTCATGATTTTATGACTAAATTGTGTGTCAAAACAAATGAAAGACGTTTTGGCTTTTAAGGAAGAAGAAAAAAAATAAGTGGATTGGAAAGAGGAGGAGGAGACAGTGAGGGAGGGTTGGGGAAAGGAGAAGGGGATTGTGGGTAGCAGCTGCCGGTGGACCACGTTGTGCCGAGTGTCACCTTGTCATGTGTGTCTGTTACATGAGCTGTCTTCCTGTGGACATAATCAACAGACAGCAATGTATCAGTTTCGGTTATGGACGAAATGCCTTCGTTTGAGGAAAAGGTATGCGACGAGGATGGGATTCGAACCCACGCGTGCAGAGCACAATGGATTAGCAGTCCATCGCCTTAACCACTCGGCCACCTCGTCATGTGTTTTGCAATGCCAGAGATTTTGGTAAATATTTATGCCATTACTGAACCATGTTAAATATTTTGTACATAGTATGACCGTGTAGTTTTCTTGTGTTAGACGAATGTACGTAGTGTTTTTCATGCTGAAACTTGTCAGAGAATTACAGCGTAAAGTGTGTCGGAAACTCCAGTGCCGCTACTTAGTGATTGGTTGAAATTCTTGTCAATCACGGCATGTAGCCTGTGATTGGTCAAGGGGCGGGTCTAGCGCTGAATGAATACAGGAAGTGTACAGCGTGAGACTGCAATTTGACGTTCGCCGGAGCTGATAACGAAATTAAGGTAACGAGCTGTTGAGTTGAATTTCACCTCCATTGCTGTCTGGTATTGATTCAATAGTAGCAAATCGTATTGATCGTATCTGAGACTAACAAAAGTTGTTGCAGTGTGTTGAAATGCTCTAATCACCCTGCAGCCGCTTTAGCATGCTCGCTAGAAGCTAACGTTACAGAGTTAGCTGTAGCCTCAACCGTATTTACTTAAACTTGCTGTCTGAGACTGATAATGTGCTGGTGGTTTTTAAAGCAACATGAAACACGTTGTTGCTTTTCGCATGTAGGCGCTTCACTTCACAGAGATATCTTGTTCTGGGGGAAAGTGAAACCAAAAACAGGCTTCAGTATTAATAACGGGCTGGTTCCTCTTGAATCTGTGCCACGGTCCGATAGTTTAGGATTCACCGATGAGCACCTGCAGTTCCAAAAACTGTAAAAAATTTAGTTTTTAGTTCACCTAAATATATCTGAAGATTTTTCTACTCTAGACATTATTTCGGTCCGACCCTTACTTACTAATGATTCTAACTTTATGTGTATATCACTTTTAAAAACAAGGGTGTACGAAGTGCTTTGACAGACAAAGCAGGGTTTTTTCTTTTCCTTACTAATTTAAATATTATGGGTAAGTCCCTACAGTGTTATACAAAATACTAATTTACCAGACTAATTCAAATAGTAAGCTTAAAACCCCATACAATTGACAGTTGTGAAAATGTACCAGACAAATTAAAATATGGCATTAAATTAAATACATACAAATGCAAATTAATACATTAAGTATCCTGGATATAGTTTTGATACTGTAAATGATCAGGTCCAGATTTGTGCTGTAAACCACTGTAAATTGAATATCTTTGGGGCTGTTAATTGAACAAACCAAGCAATTTAAGACCTCAGCTGTGCTCAACTATCATGTTCATTCATTATTCTCTCAACTTTATAGACTCAGTGATTAATAGATTAATGAATATTGCCTGAAGGAAAGTAATTGTTAATGGTGTGTTCAATCGGGGTTGATTGATTTAGGAAAATAATTCAATTTTTTCTCGCAGATACTGCAAATGTGTTTGGATTTGCAATATAATTTTATTTAAAGTCAAGTTTAAGGTTAATATTCATTATATAGATTTAAAACCTGTGATTGAGCATTACCACATGTGATATTATTAAATCTGTGACTGTCACACAAGTAGGAAGTCATTCATTTGTAAAACCACTGACACAACACTGTAAACCCTGGATAAGAAACACTGCTGCTAAATTTCACCCTTTGTAAATGGCTTATTGCATTGATTCAAATTGTGATTTGCTTTGAAATTAGTTTAATGTTCAGCTCTAGTTTTCAATATATCAACTTGGACTGTATTGTAAATTTAAATATATATGTATATTATAATAAATAATACACTTCAATCAGCAAGCATTTTAAAAAAATGTTATAATCAAAGTATTAAAATGTTTTCCTGTCCCACTGTTATAAAATGAGTATCTGCATGTTTGTACAGTCCACATGGTGTTCTTCTCTGCATAACCTGCCGAAAGCAGACAGGTGTGCAAATACTTCTAGAGCCCACGGTTTTAAAATAAGTACAATGATGTTGATTCTAACTTGCAGCTCCTTTTTTTCCCAATCTCTTTATCCCCCACTCCACTCATCTCATCTACTACCCCTGTTCTTTTATCTGTCCCTCCCCTTGTTTCTCTGACTTCCCCCTTTCTTCTCATCCTATTTACCCTTCCTTACTGCTTTTTTTCCCCAACCTCATCTTTCTTTCTCATTCTTTTACACTTGCATTTCCTTGCTTTCCTCTGCTTCTCCTAAACTAGTTCCTCTCTACCAGTATTAAATCTCAGACCCAAGATGGTGGACTCCCAGTACTACCTCCCAAATGACATTGGTGTCTCTGCGCTTGACTGCGGCGAGGCCTTTCGTTTGCTTTCACCTCAGGAGAAGATGTACGCCCACTATCTGTCACGCGCCGCTTGGTACGTTACTGACCTCGGGATGTGGCAAGTTCAAGCCAACATTGTTGAAATCAGGAAAATCCTAAATGAAAGCAGCTCTAATGAAATAAACATTTCACCTGTTTTAACGTAAAATCTGTAGACTTTTTTTTCTTGAAGAGTTTCAGCTCTGCTGATTTGGGGAAAAAAAACAACTTTGCTTCAACATCTGTCTTAGGTATGGTGGTCTGGCAGTGCTGCTGCAGACATCCCCGGAGTCTGCAAACATCTTTGTCTTGATGCAGAGAATCTTCAGGAAGCAGACGCCTGCACAGCTGGAACAGGTCGCCACAGCAGCTGGACTCAGCTCTGAGGAGTACCAGGTGCACAGTCCTACAGTCTTTTGGCTGTTTCTCTTGCTGTTTTTATGCAACCTTTCATTCACAAACAATTGCAAACACATGTAATAGTGTTCATTTTGCCATGTTTTCTTCTGTGTGTGATATTTAGGCCTTCTTGGTGTATGCAGCAGGTCTGTATGCAAACATGGGCAACTACAAGTCTTTTGGAGACACAAAGTTCATCCCAAATCTGCCAAAGGTAAAATGGCCTGCAGTGTCTGGTGTAAATCCATTTCAGCTGCTTTGTTTTATGACTTTACAGGATGAGGACACCTATAAAAATCCAATGCAATTTGATACAACACCACAGAGCTGATTCAACACTTTTTCTTAACACAGCATTGAAACATTTTTACAGTATAAGCTTTGCAAATATAGATATTGAATAGAACAAAGAGCACCTAATAAACTAGAAAGTTTTAGTAATTATAAGATGCTGCTGTGACATACTTTAAGCTGTCTGCATCTTTGGTACGTCCATCCAGGACAAGTTGAAAGCTCTGGTGTGGGCTAGCCAGGCATTTCAAGAGCAGCCTTCTGAGATGGAGGCTCTGTGGGACAGCTGCTCGGGTCTTCTCTACTCCCTGGAAGACAGACAGAAACAGCTGGGGCTGGGCGACAAGGTGGGGATCCTGTATCACTTAATGCAGAGTTCAGACCTGCTTTGACTAAAATTATTTTCTCAGGTAATATTTGATGAAATATCCATTGTGTTCCACAGACTGGATCGATCTAACAAATGTTAGAGGACATTTTTCTGTCTGCATCATAAATACTGGAAAGTTTTTGTTCTCTCTGGGAGATGTGTCCTCTTCTCTGTCTGCTGGTTTTCTCATTTTTGAGATGCTATTGTAACTGTGACCCCTCATAAACTGCTTTGTGGTTTTGTTTTGTTCAGGGAATTACCACCTATTTCTCAGGAAACTGCTGCCTGGAGGACGCTGAGCTGGCTCAGAAGTTCCTTGACTCAAAGGTCCGCAGAATTTACGCATATTATGTGTAATCGTATTTCCATAATTTTGTTCTGGTTCTCTTGTAATAAGCTGCAATCTATATTTTGTAGTAATTTTCTTTCATTTGTGACATGTTCATCTAAAAATAAATAAATATTTTAAAAGTTTGCTTTTTACCTTTGTCCTCTATTTTGATGACAGGATGAGTCATCTGCTCTTTCATGTTTCTTTCAGTCTGATTCCATTTATTCTTAGCTACGTTGTTGTGGTTTGTTTTCTAGAAACTGTCTGCTTACAACACCCGTCTGTTCAAGAAGGACAATGGAGGGAAAGCCTGCTATGAGGTGCGCTTGGCTTCAGCTGTGCAGAAAGGTCAGAACTACAGTAAAGCAACACTTCTAACACTTAATCTGGTGACAGATATGGCATAGTAAAAATTAAATGCTGCTCTGCTTTCTGGGCTAAAATAAATCCGCTACAATTAATTCAAAATTCTGCAGCGCAAGTGTTGACTGAGACCAGAGTAAGTAACACATTACACTTATTTTAAACTGGTTACCCGCTAAGAATCGTTTTTATTGGGGGGGAAAAGTATTTGTATAAGGCACTACCTGGTCCTGCAAGAGGCTACCTCTCAGAAATGCTACTGTTTTATGAACCGGGAAGGCCCTTCAGATTGTTTGGCTCTGCTCTTTTAAATGTTCTGCTGAGAATAACAAAAGCCACCGGGGCTGCTGCCTTCAACCATTATAGTTCGAGCCGCTAACCTAAAAACATGTCTCTTCAGTCTGACTTCTATGTTGTGATTTATAATTTTCTGGTTTTCGTATTTATACTTAGTTCATGTATTGTCATCATTATTATTTATTTAATTCTGTTTTATTTTATTCACATTTTACTGTTTTATGATATTTTCTTTTGAGTGACTTCATAATTTTGCGGACATCCTACATTGTGGCAATCATTTGGAAAACACTTTGAATAGTATTCAGTGTCACTCAGCACAGGTCACGCTGACCTCATGTGATGTCAGCGGCATTCTAACTTGTGACCTCAAATGTGATCTGATTACCGACGAACAGATGTGGAGCGATTTGTTTGTGTAACTAATGATATTGGTGATGCCGCTGATGATTAAAGCAAAAAATATGTACATTGCTACTTCACAGACTGTGCAGTGGACGGGGAATGCGAGTCCTGTTGCGGCAGCTTCAGCTTTGAAGACAAAGAGTTCACTGTGAAGAGGGGAGACTATGGTCCTATCATGGAGAAAGTCAGCCATAACCTTCAACAAGCACAGGTGAGACAGCAAAGAGTACACATGGGCATGGAGTCCGTGCTCAGTGTGTGTTTAGAAACACAGCAGGAATATAAAAAAATATCTAAATATGACGTTTGCAGTGATGTAAAGTGACGAGCATTTTAGAGAAAAACAAAACACAACTGTGGGTGTGAAGTTGTTAGTTGGAGAACAATGAAAGAGAAGTAGCAAAAGGAGAAATGATGGCAAAATTGCATCTCAGATATTATCTTAGATCCTAAGAAGAGGAAGTCAGAAGACAAATTTAGAGCCCTCTGTCTTGAGGAGCATGTCAGTAAAAGACTGCGGTTATAACCAAAAACTAATTTTCCTACAACAATTCTGCTTTTGACCTCCTTGTTTTGTTTGACAGGGGTATGCTGCCAATGAGAACCAGAGGAAGATGCTGGAAGAGTATCAGCGCAGCTTCACCTTTGGCTCAGTAGATGCCCACAAAGAGGGCTCACGTTACTGGATCAAGGACAAGGGTCCAATTGTTGAGAGGTGAGACACTGAATCACAGTACACAACATCTACTGAACACACTGACTGTCCACAATGAAGGTTGTTCTATCATTCAGTAGCAGCTTAGTTGCAAACATATTACAACATGTGTAATAACAATTTGACAGACCGGTTGATTTCTTTACATGTGATGTCAAATCATTCCTACTTTGAATGTAATCTGGTTTATGACAGACGGAGGAAACATGAAACAAATCTGTTGCTGATCTTGCAGTGGAGCAAATTCATTATTTCCTGTAGCTGTTTAGCTGTAATAAAAGTCTCTGTTTTTATGATAACATTTAGCATAATTATATAATTATGATTGAATATTTATTATTGCTGATGAATCAACTGTTTTTGTGCAGCCATAAAGGGGATCTGGTCTAAACTTTTATCTCATCAACCTTCACTTCCTCATGAATCTAGTTCAAGAGTGTGATAATTCTGTGGTTGTTCACTTCCTTTATGAAGTTTATTCTGACCTTTGCTCTGAGTGTTGAGTACTACTGTCTTTTATTAACCTCTGAAACATTCCTCCCTCTGCTCTTCACACCTCATTACTCTTCACTCCCTCCTCTCAGCTATATAGGTTTCATTGAGAGCTACAGAGACCCATTTGGCTCCAGAGGGGAGTTTGAAGGTAACTGCCCAGCAGATCACGAACAGTGGCATTAACATGTTTATTGGCATGCAAGCTGTGATCCCGTGGGCCTCTTTGAGTGTTATTGCCATGGTTTAGAGCTGAGGAGCTGGCCGAGCTCCTTAGCACTGTTACTGAAGTAGAGGTGGTCTTAGATGGACACGTACTGTAAAGGATGTTGATTACTACTTAGAGTGAGTCTGTATTACTCTGTTTACTTGACCATAAATCCAGCAGACATATTACCTTTAGCTCAGTTTGGTTAACCTTAAAGAGAGACTCATGTCTTAATGAGTGTGCAACAGTTTTAGCCACTTCAGATGTTTATTTTCTGATTCACTGATTGGTCCTTCATTCAGTCTGTATTTTTCTATTTACATATGTGGTTAACTTGCATAAAAAAAATCTTCACTTTGCTTAAGACTTAGCCTCAAACTTTTACACAGTATTGTATCAATAATTCATATTTCAAGAGGGTTTATATATTGTCTTTTCTTCAAGATAAGGAAGTAAAGGTCCCAGTGTTCAGTTCAATTCCTAGCTTGAGGTTGTGCTGTTATGTGCAGGTTTTGTTGCCGTTGTGAACAAGGCCATGAGCGAGCGCTTCGCCAAGCTGGTGAGTTCAGCAGAAGTCCTGCTTCCTGAACTGCCTTGGCCCCGTGAGTTCGAGAAGGACACTTTCCTTAAACCCGATTTCACCTCACTGGATGTTCTCACCTTCGCTGGCAGTGGAATACCAGCCGGTATCAACATCCCAAACTGTACGTACGCTCTGATGTCTGAAACTGTCAAGTTTGCTCAGTTCAAGTTTTGCATTTTTTTTTTTGTTGCTTTATAGCATTCTACTTCAGTATCTGTATGTTTTTTTGTTTGTTTTTTTATTCTGTATAGATGATGACATCAGACAGTCAGAGGGCTTTAAAAATGTGTCGCTAGGCAACGTGTTGGCTGTAGCGTATGCTACACAAAAAGAGAAACTCACTTTCCTGGAAGAGGAGGACAAGGTAACGTATTATCCTTCTGACTCTCCTACACACCAGCTCTCATCTCTCTCACACTCCTGTAAATATACATTCTCCTGTGTTTTCTTTTTTTCCATTAGGATTTGTTTATCAAGTGGAAGGGCCCATCTTTCGAGGTGCAGGTTGGACTTCATGAGCTGTTGGGACATGGAAGTGGAAAACTCTTTGTCCAGGTCAGTCAAACATACTGCTGCTGTGCACTCGTATCAGCCCTTTTATGTCCTTTAGTGTGTCAGTCAAAGAAATGTAAACAGTTGATGTTTGAGGATTTAGATATTGTTGGTTCCACCTTGTTAAATGTTTAATTTACTTGAACTGTACTGATGAACCATCAGTGAGGAAATAAAATCTGTTTTGGCTTTGTTTTTATTTGCTCTGCGGCCTCCATCTAAATCCAAAGGATGATAAGGGCAAGTTCAACTTTGACCAGAGTAAGGTGGTCAACCCAGAGACTGGAGAGCTGGTGAGTTGTTCTGTTTTTTGTGAGTGTGTAAAATAATGTTTTGTTTTTGTTTTTTGTTATAAACTCTGCATTGAGGTTGTTAAAAAGAGACTCTGTAACTGAAAGTGTGAGTTCATGTTTCAGGTGTCCAGCTGGTATCGGGGCAGCGAGACATGGGACAGTAAATTCTCCACAATCGCTTCCTCTTATGAAGAATGCCGCGCTGAGTGTGTCGGACTCTATCTGTGTCTCCAGAAACAAGTGCTCAGGTATTGTATCTTTGCTAATTTGATGCACTTAATATAACACCGACATCCCATATGTTAAACATCTTAGTTGCTGGTTAGTGGGGACAAATTAAGACAGACTAAAAAAATCACTCTGGGACACACTCCCAGGGTTTGGTGTTATCCAAAAATGTTATTGGAGCCCTGAAAGCCTCTTAAATTGTCAATTTTTGTCAGCTGGAAGAATATTTTGGGACTTGCGAGAGTCTCTTGGGAGCCATAACAAAGTCATTAAGTCTTTTTAAGTATGTCAAGTATTGAAAAGAAAAATAAACAGGAGCGCCAAAAGAAATGTTGCATATTTCATTTTGTTTGGTCGGGAGCCTCGATGAATGGCTTAGTTTGCTTTTGCCCAGGAGCAGTGAATTCTTAGTCTGATAGCGTATGTGTGATATTTAAATAATTCTTCTCATTGTGTAATTTAGGCCCTTTTAAAATAGAATGTGAAATAATGAAGGAGAATGGAGTGTTTTTTCATTTCTGCTAGCTGTGAAGGAGGCCAGTGTATTTATCATTTGTGTGTGTGTGTGGCAGCATTTTTGGCCATGACGAAAAGGATGCTGATGACGTGGTGTACGTCAACTGGCTCAGCATGGTCAGAGCTGGTCTTTTGGGCCTGGAGTTCTACACACCTGAGAGCAAGAGCTGGAGACAGGTAATCTGCATGAGCCACTTTTTTTTTTCCCCCCAAAGCATATGGTTTCACTCTTGGCTTGGTTTGTAACATTTCATTTATATAGCATTTCAACGATACATAGTGTTGGCCGAACACTGTTTACAGGACAAGTCGACGTATAGACTATTAAGTACGTGTGTCTTACAACCTGACAAGGCTCAGTGCGATGCGCCTGTGTTGCTTTATAATGCAGCATGCAGTGAGGCGAACTCAGTGTTTACATGAGTGTCAGCAGATGTATACAGTGTTTCACATGTATGCGTGCGTACGTCTCTTTGTCTCAGGCTCACATGCAGGCTCGTTTCGTGATCCTGCGTGTTCTGCTGGAGGCCGGGGAAGGTCTGGTGGGCCTGGAAGAAGTCACGGGACAGGACGGCAAGCCCGACGCACGAATCACGCTGGACCGTAGCAAGATCCACACCGTGGGCAAGAATGCCATCCATCGGTTCCTGTGTAAACTGCAGGTATAGCCAAGCTTTTCCATTTGCCTAACATGCACTGAAAATGAACACATAAATAAAACGAAACCAGTTCACTTGAGACACAGAGCAGCTTAATTTCACTTGTACACTGCTGGACATGATCAGTCGATTGAACCATTCGTCAACTCAACTGTTCAAAACTAATGAATTGTTTATTTTAAGCAAACCTTAATAGATTGTAGCCCAGCTAATGTGGATACATGTCTTTTATCTTGTTTTGTAGTTAATTAATGGTCTGTTGGTTAAACAAAACAATCAACTGACTACTATTTTCCAATGTTTTAATGGTTTAATCAAGCAGATCAACTGCACATTAACCAATAGCAAAAACAACTGCATTTGTTGCATTTAGAATGAAAATGTAAAATTAAACCAATATAATATCCTGGCAGGTTGCTATGGTCTCTTTGTTGCCATTACTGTTTTGTATGACTCTAGTGAGCTATCATAGCTACTTTATGACTCTGTGCTGCTCTGCTGTTAGTTTATGACTTAATAATTAACACATTACAACAGTTCACTCCTTGTGTAAAAATCATAGTGCTCTGTGCTTTTCATGGACGATTCATCGCAGATCAACCTAGAACCTAATCACAACCTTTCACTTCGGTCAAATATAAGCCATCATTAATCGTCTATGTGTATATTAGTCCTGTTGAATTCACGCCTTCTCTGCGTCCAACACATTGTTAATGTGATTCCACTGATTTGTAGGTCTTGAAGTCGACGGCGGACGTGGAAGGAGGCCGAGCTCTGTACGACGGCTACTCCACCGTCAGCGACAGCGGCACTCACAACTTCTTGCGTCTGCGGGAGACGGTGCTGCTGAGGAAGGAAGCTCGCAAGATGTTTGTTCAGGCCAACACCAGAGTCAGTGGTATGTAGCCGACCATGTTCAACCGATCCATCCATCCATTATCTATACACCGCTTAATCCTCACGAGGGGGCTGGAGCCTATCCCAGCCGACTTAGGGCGAAGGCAGAGGTCACCCTGGACAGTTCGCCAATTCATCGCACACTTAGAGACAGACAACCAAGCACACTCACATTCACACCTACAGATAATTTAGAATCACCAAGCCGGAGAACCCGGAGAGAACTTCCAGACTCCACGCAGAAAGATTCCGGTGCCCCCACCGGGACCTGAACCGGCGACCTTCTTGCTGCGAGGCAACAGTGCTAACCAACTGCGCCACCTTGCAGCCCATGTTCAACCAATGTAAAATACAAATACTATCATTCTGCCAAAATCACCGTGGTTAACACTGCCAGCGGCAAAATAAATAATTGGACATTCTTCGCTTAGCTCTGCCTATTCTGATCGGTTTGGTGAAATACAAACAAGCCATGGCACTTTTCCCCCCTCTGTGGTAGAATGGTAATAAGCACAGCTAGGCCGTTCTCCAGTGCTGACACAGCGCTGTGCAAGTAAGTCTGGCTATGCGAGACCAATGGCAACAGCACTAAGTGTGACAATTAAATTAAGTGTGACAATTAAGGTCCTTTCAAACTGTTAGCACATTCCTTTTGTCTGAATAAGTGAGTCAAATCTGAACTCAGAGAGATGGATGTACACGTCCGTTCATCTGTGGGTACAGTGCAAATGGGAAATGTTTATAGCCAATTCAGCAGCTCGAGTTGTAGGCCACATTTTTCATAGCAGCATTAGGCATTCTGTTCACATGCACCAAGCAACCAAATGGAAGTGAGGCAAAGAATAGCAATGTTAGAAGTAAAATACATGAATAAGACTTCAGCCGGTTTCATGTTGTATGAAAAAAAAAAAATCAATGAAAGGAAGCATTTTTTCCCCTGTGAATCACCCAAGTTTTCTAGAAGTTTTACTTGGAATACTACAAAAATAATGTCTCACAGACGATACCTAACAAAAACAATGGTCAGGTAAGGTTTTTTATTAGCACTGCTTCGTCAATACTACAACAAATAAATAGCAGCTGGTTTGCAAAAAACATTAAGAAACATGCTACTGGTAAAACGATTGCCTTTATAGGCAGCAATAAAAAGCAAAAATGATTATTCAGCCTGCGTCTGACTGTGTGTGTGGTTTGCAGGGGACAGCGTGGAGCTGGTGGAATATGAAGGCAGCGCGGCAGGTTTGATCCGCTCCTTCACCGAGCGCTTCCAAGAAGACGCAGAGCAGCTGGAGACCGATCTTCTGGAGCTGAACAAAAGAGACGCCCCCTGCTGGTGTTGATGGATGTCCGGATTATCTATTCCATAGGTTTCAAAAATACCAACTGAAATCAGATTTTATTTGTTTGTTTTGGACTGTATGTGAAAGCAAAGTGATTCTTAATTAATGGTTAAACAGACAAAACTTTAAAATGATCCAAATACTTTTAGAATACACTTCTGCTGAGACCAAATTTTGGTTTTAAATTTTCAAATAAAGCCATAAGACTAGAACTGATCTGACACAGACACCAGCAACAGTTTTCCAACTCCGATTCTTAAAGCATGCTGGCTCTGTGTCGGGTCCGTCTACGATAACTGGATCAAATATGAATAAATGAGCTGCTTATTAGTACATCACTCTCATAGATGCACTTGGAACCATATTTTTCTAATGAGACGTACTGTCAATTAAACTGATGCAAACTGACAATTAGAAACAGATTCTAGGCATAAATGTGAAAAATTGGCTTTGCAGAAATGTACGAAATGATTGCTATGACATGTTTTTCTTGTATTCAAAAGGAATAATTGATTTTTACAGGCAACCGTTGGCTTAAAATTATTCTACCTTTACAACTTATCCTCGAAGAATAGTTCCCAGCCTTTGTGTTGATGACGATTTGACAGGTTTAGACTGTAAGGCAAAATAATACTTCATGCTATTATTTTTTTTTGCCAGGTTTGGAATGAATAAGTCATGGATTACTTTTATTGCTGTGTCTGGAAGGCGTAAAAACTCTCTATGTAAGAAATGTGGTGATGAATCTACACAAATAAAAATCTGTTTGATAAGAATTTTACTTGTATTTTTTGGTATACTGACTTTAAGCCCTGATGATTCATCTAGGATTTTTTTCAAAATGGCACATTTGATTGAAAATATGAAAGTCAACATGCAGAGAAGAGTTGTTAAATTCAATTAAACTGAAATCTCAAGCATTTGCTATAATAAATATCACACATCTGGCGTTCTATGCTGCAGTTTTGATTTAAAAAAGTTGTTGATTGCGATGACTTTTGGTAGCCCACTTGACTGTAATTCTTGTTTGTAACGTGCACAACAAAGATAATATTTATTTGCACTTTTAATACAAAAAACTAAAGTAATTAAAGGTTAATTCTAACTGACTAGCTAGCCAAAGTCAGTTGCAATGCTCTTGGATTCATTTTTTTTTTACAAAATGATGACTTTAAAAGACACAAACGACCCTCTTATCAGGTAAAAACAGACATGCTGCTTCGAAAAGTTTTGTAAAATTTATTCAAAGTTTATTTTTAAAAATAAATCTGGGTATTATGGCTATCTCCATATCATTTCCAAGGGTTTCTAAACAATGCTTTGTGATATCACATAATCTAAATCCGTTGCAGTCTTTCCCTAGAGGCTTGTACCGTCGGCCTGTTTGTTGAGCGACTGATGTCGAGTCTCTGCTACGTCCTCAGGACTGCAGGTCTCTGCGTCATTTAGAGATGCAGCGTTCATCTGTAAAACTAAACTCCTTTCCTCTTCTTCCCTGTTGTTGTGCAGAGCTTCTTTCGTTTCACCATCTCCGTCCCTTTTTCCGTCCACATCAGCTCCCTCCTCGTCAGCCTCCCTCTCTGGAGAAGCCTGCGAACAAGAGGCCTGTTCTATCAGCTGAGGGAAGGACTGGGAGGTGAAGGGGGACAGAGAGAAGGGGACCTTAGGGGAGGCAGATGGGGACTCATAAGGGGAACGAGAGGGCGAATTACTAGGCGAGTCATATGGAGAGAGGGAAAAGGGAACCTTGGGAGATAAAGACGGGGATTGATAAGGCGAGAGGGAGGGAGAAGCCCCAGGGGAGTCACGAGGAGAGATGGACGGGGATACTTTGGGGAAGAGGGGAGGTGCCATGGGAGAACCAGATGGGGACAGGTAAGGAGAGAGGAAGGGAGAATTGGATGGATTGATCACCGGAGAGGGCTTCATGTAGTCTGAGTCATTTGGAAAATTCTCTGTTAATGTTAGCTGAGCTGTAAGGAACTTTCCTTTGACTCCAGGTTTACTTTGGTCTGATTCAATCTGTGTTTGCTCCTTCACCTCCTCAGGCTGGAGGTGAGGAGATGCTGACGGAGGCTGCACTTCACCAGGAGTTTTCTGTGTTCGAGGCTGAAGCTGGGCGCCTTTAGCAGGTAGATCAATCTGAGTGGGTTGACATGGACTATCACTGGGCTGAGCAGTTCCTTGTCTCCCTTTCTGCAGTTTACATGTCCTCTTGGCTTTTGGCATCAGAGGCGGAGGAGGTGGCGGGGCGAGCGGCGGAGACAGAAGGGTGGACGTCTCTGTGGAAATCCGAACCTTGAGGCTGCGCTTGAACATGCGCCGTCGGCATAAAGCGGTCTGAGACTGCAGGAAAAGAGGGTTGATGAAACAGAGAGCGCCCATGCCGGAGCCATAGTCCAGCTCGCTGGGGCTGCGTGTTGTGATTGGACAAAACTCGCGGAACAAGTCGGTGTTTGGACCTGATGGTTCTGTGGCAGCGTCTGATTCAGGTGCTTTACTGAGCTGGTTGTCAGGTTGGGGAGCTGAGTCAAGCTGAGAGCTTGTTTGTGGTGCAGCAGCAGCAGGAGCAGGCGGTGCTGGTGGTACAGTGTCTTGCTTCTTGTCCTCGTCTTTCCGAGGTTTGGGTGCCTCCCGTGGCCCACGAACATTTAGGTGGGAACTCCAGAATTCTGTACAACGACACATATGTAATATTTTCACTTCATATCACCAAAAGTTACACCATGGACACCAGAGTGGATGGAAATGGCAATTTCTGCCTCTTAGTAATACTATTTAGTAATGATCATTTCATAAACTGTACAAAACAAAAGCACTTTTCACAGACTGCATAAAATATTAGACATTGTAAACACTGTGTGAAACTTACAACATCCTTAAAAGCAAGATACAAGCTAAGTTTATAGATCTATCGTTTCAATGAATCCATAAGGCTTAAACAAAAAAGGAGGTGAATTACGCAAGTTCCTTCACACCTTTTCTTTGGTTTTGATTGACATTGCATAACTTTAAAATTAAGTAATCAGTGGACAAAAGAACAAAAACACCCACATATTTTCCCAGTGTTTATGTTTGTTAGCCAGCAGTTGAGAGGTAATTACTGCTTATGTAGTATCCGTGTGCCCTGTGTAAATAAACCCTTAAAGGGCGAGGTATTTGAAGGTGATGTTACAAAATCTGCCGTGAGGAAACAAGTAAATCACCAACCTATTCCCATATGTGAGATGGACTCCAGCTCTTTGTGTGACGTCGCTTTCGCGATGGCGTCAGGAAGCTCCAGAGGGAACGGCAATACATCTCTGACACACAATATATATTAGAAACACCAACATTAGTTCTTGCAGAGCCACAGATATCGACATAAATGTATGAAAAGATGAACAACTTGTGATAATGCGAGAGAAAATGAAGAAACAAAACCTAAAGAGAAGATTGAAAAAGAGCAGCTGGGGAAAATGAGAACTGCTAAGACTAAATTGTACCTGCTGACACAGTAGAAGGAAATTAGTCTTGGGAGATCTGGAAAGCTGATGGCTGAAGTCTCCAGAGACAGAGCTGGGGATGTTTGGATATGGAGAAGGATGGTTAGCATCAGCAGTGTGGTTGTACTTCCTCTAAAGTCTCACTTTTTGGGATATTGGGCGTATAACAAATTAAATTCCTTTACACTGGGTCACTCTGAAAGCAATTATTATGTAATCATGTGTTAAATACCGCGTAATACTGAAGCAATCACAGTGTACTTTGAGCCATGAGACTTTTAATTGATTTCCTGCATTCCAGTCACCCACTGGTTATGTGAAAATATTTTAAAGAGACCAGGAAATCAATCACCTCATGGAATAGTTGGAGATAGTGTAAAACATACGAGTACAGATGAATTAATTAATTGAAAAATGTAGATACATTAATTTAAAATAAATAAATGATGTGTTTTCTTTTTTGTGTTTGCTCATATATACATAAATAATAAAGCAATAAAGTACAAACATATATAATAACAAGCTAAAACAATGCAACGAAACAAACTGTCAATTGGATGGATTGTGCCATCTGTAAGCATCTTAAAGTCGACAAATTTTGCTGATTGTTCCACTATGGATTTTAACATAACATCCACCTGGAGCAAAAGTAGGTTGTTAAATGTTGTGTTGGAGCCTTAGGTACATGTATAGATTCAGAAATTGTAACAGCATCGCAGATGTAGTCAAAACAATGCAATTTGTGATTTGACAGTGACATATTTTTGCATTCGCTTTGTAATCCATCACATTAGATTTGAATAAAGATTATAAATGTTATCATGCTGTCTGAATGTGTGAGTAGTTTGCTGGAGAGTGTCATATTAGTGAGTGTTGACGCCTTACTTTTACTGGACTGCTCCTCTATGATGCCAAACTGCTGGACGAAGGATGGCACGCTATCATCCGCCAAGCGCACACAGAGCACATTTCTCTGGGATGTGCGAGACTTTCGAACCAGGAAGTTCTGCAGGACAACACAACTGATTACTGAGTGCATGTGGAAGCATGTGGTGGGGGGACGTGGAAAGAAAAAGAAAGAAGGTGGATCATGTGTGTTCCTGACCCCTGGAGGCTCCCTTCGCAGTATGTGCAGTGCGTTGGCAGGGTTGATGGACAGCTGAAGCCAGACGGGGACTGTGAGCAGGAGTCGGTCCAGCACGCTGATGCTTCTCAGGGAACCTCGTCCCCTCTGGTGTCCCAACAACTTGCGCTGTGACGGCTGTGAGGGCTCTGGGAAATCATACAGGGGCTCCTCTTGCTGCGCCATCTAAACATATTGACATACAGGACAAATAATTATCAACAGCACTTGAAATGATCGTGCATGCTGTGTGGTTATTATGTCTCTGTGGTGCAGTGACATAACAGCAGGATGGGTGAGATTGCTGCACACACACAGACACACACACCTGCGTAATAAAAGTGCCTGGATTTGGACAGCAAGTCCAGACATGGTAAAGTGCAGCAGCTCAGACAGAGCTTAAATGAAATAGGAACCTTTAGAAAACAGATCTTTAAATTAGAGACACCAACACAACACACAAACACCACCACAAAACTTTGATTGTTAAAACAAAGGCAAATGCCACTGATTCAGTTTATTATTCTGAACGTATCAATAGACTAAATCTGACCGCACTGCCTACATGTCAACATCTGTCTGCATTCCTGCAAAACTTGTACATTACCTCCTCAGACTATGTTGCACAGTCTTCCTGCTCTACAATCACACAACTTCCCCTCCCCAAATCTAATCGGGCAGTTTTTTATTTACACAAGACCTACCTCTTTGCCTGGATCATCCATTTTTAAAAAAAGTTTTATCCCCTCCGGATCCACTTCATGTTGATATGTTCCTTTTTGTTCTTCCAACAACTTTCCTACAATGAAAAGACAACTTCTCTACCCCTACGGCCTGTCATGACGTGCGCTCACAGATCTGCAGATGTGTTTGGCTCCGCCCCCCTCAACCCACCTGACCTCACCTGCAAACAGACGTCATCACGCTGCGCGTCGGTTGCCAGACTCACGTATCGAGTGAGAAGCTTTTTCTGATATCTCTGGGCGTCATCTCTCAGGAGCCAGTTGGGAAATTTCAAATTCACAAATGTAGATTGGCAAATATAAAACCAAATTTTGTTAAATTAACTATTGACTTTGAAGAACATATTAAAACATTTAATAATATAAAAACAAAAAAGCAATAAAACTGTTAAAATATTTAAAGAACTGGTCCAAAAAGAACATTTTTTAATATATTGGGGGTTTTTTTTGTGTTTTTTTAAAAAAAACTAGCATAGATTTTAAAATTCTCAAAATACATTTATTATTATGAGCACATGTCTGTCAAATTGTTTATGTTATTTATACAATTCTTTGTGTGTCCATTCGTTGTTAAATAAAATTCTGTTATACAAAAAAAGTCTCCAGGAGCCAGTTTAAGTTGCTCTGTTGCTATTGTAATGTTACACTGCAGCTGATACACTCACAGATAGTAGAAAAACTAATTATTGACAAAATAACTGTTATAACTTAGTTGTACAATGTACAAAATATCTTTTTGTGAATTATTAGCCCACTGACAAACTCACTATTTTTGTGAAACACCAGATGTTAGGCTATGTTGCTTAATATTTGATGAATAGCAACAACTCTATTTTTTCCCACAAAAGTACAAATAGTAAAAAAAAAAAAAAAACAGGATCTACTTATCTGTCATACCAATCATGTGTTAAAGACCTTGAAAAAAAAACAAAAAGTTGTTCTGTTCAGTCAAAATATTTTTATTTAGCTAGTTTTTTTTTTAAGTTTATTTCCTAAATGTAACCATATAAAGCTATGTAAATCTCAGTCACACTCTGCACTCACTGTGATCATGGTGTGGGTTCAGTATAGATACAAAACAGGAAGGCCTTAGTTTGTCTAGACCACAGTGTGTCACATTTTATATGCGTTTTACTCTGAATAAACATGGACGTGGTGCAGTAATCGGATTAGATTCTAAAGATTTTTGGGCTGGGATAAATCTCCACCATGTCGAGAACGTAACACATGTGATTTGTGCGGTAAACAGAATTAAGCCCGTCTGTGATGCACAAATCAGTGTCCGGCAGCCCTTTGAGCTCTGTCGGTAAAACTGCGCCCCCATGGCCGCCACACAGCCTCAAGAACCCGGAGCCGGATGTGAGGTTTGAAATGCAACAGCTACAGGACCGCGTTGGGTAAGGCTTCTGTGTACTCTGCTGCCATAAATACCGCTTTCCTTTCTTTTTGTACAAAATTGAAAACGCAACATTATTATCTTATATACTTTATGGTAGCTTAAAGCAGCGAAATAGGTTTAGCTTTAGCAAACGTTTTCCGCCGCTCTGGTAAAACCATTACGTTAGCTTTAGCTAGCTTAGCTAACGTTAGCTAACGCTTCATCGTTCATGTTGGCGTTTAACAAGATGGCCAGGAGTGTCAGGAGTTTTTAGCTAACTGTTAGTCGAGCTTACAGCTCGCCGTACAAACAATTTTACAATCCCATTGGTGCTCCTTTTGTCTGCTGCTAGCTAAACTAACCGATTCAAAGACTACCTGTAACTTCATCGGATGCAATTTCGCCGCGAAAGTTAGCGGGTTTTATTAGCTTAGCTAATAATACCTGCTAACGTCAGTGCGATTATTGCTAAATGGCCATACAGTAACTCCACAGATGGATAATAACCCCATCTGGCAATCTCAGTTCAGATTAAAAATCAGCTATGATGGGCCTCTCCGGAAATTCCTGTCGAGATTGATAAACCATACGTGTTAGCTAGCTAGTGTTATTCAAAGTACCAAACTTAACCAAATGTCCTCTACGTCCTGTTTACTGTTTTGCAGATGCCTGGCTGATACAGAGATGAGCGATAACGTGAAGTTGTTTGTGGGGAACCTTCCTTTAGATGCAACTCATGATGAACTCAATAAGCTTTTTGCTCCATATGGAGAGATCAACACCTGCTCCTTGCTCAGACAGTATGCCTTCGTTACCCTGAAGGGAGAGGGGGCAGCAGACAGGTATTCAAAGCTTCATTATGTTATTGCATAGATATGATGCATGAATTGCTGATCTGTAACTGCGAAATAAGATTGAATGGAGTTTTGACCACAGGTGAATAGAGGATTGGCACTTGTGGTCAAAATAGGCTAAAAATGGAAATGCATTCCTTCTAAAGAAAAGTGTATACTAGTAATGCTCAGTATTCTGCATATGTACAATCTGTATATACACAGCAAAATACATTGTTTTACAAAAAATCTATTTATCTAGACCACAGGCAATAGAAATCACAAATATTGGTGCAACAACTGTAACAGGGAAAAAAAGAAATGCATCATTGCAAATTGTTAACTAATTTATTCTCAAAAAAAGTTACTGTTTATATAATATCATCTGGGGGAAGAAGTTAATGTTTTAGCAAATTAATTTGTTGTTTGTCTTGTAAACATAAGCTGAAAATAAGAAAATGTGCATATCAGTGATGCTCAGTCTAAACTGTACAATGTTGTGCGCCTAGTATTCTGCATATGTACAGTCTGTTTATACACAACAACATACAATATGTAAGAAAAATTATTGAAAACATTTGTCTAGAACATAAGCAAGTGTAAACATTAACTAGTGGTGCGACAGCTGTCTTGGTTGTCTTCCACACTGGCATCATGTCCTGATCATGTTCTGGCAATTTTACGGATGACCCACTGTTTTAGATTTTCTGCATATAGTACAACATGAACATTATGTTTGGTTACCATGAACATTACTGTGTAAAAAAAAAAATGCATTGTATTCCTCACTTTGAACGTAATTTTTCTGAAGTGTGAACGATGAAAACTTTAATGAGCTATGAACACTATGAAAAGGCAGAAGGATAGAATTCCCCATAAAGCTCTAAAGCTTCCCTAATAGAGATGACAGACTGCATGGTTTAATGTAGCAGTATCTTAAAAACTTTGAGTTACGTATTGTGCCGCTATTGAAAACAATATCATAAGCTGATCAGCTAAAGAGACTTGGGGTTTTTCAGTCTGTTGAAAGTTTGATGCATGTAATGTTCTATGAAAAAGTCAGTAAAAAAAAAAAAAAAGACTAGTGTTTGTATTTGTTCTATTCAATCTGTTCTGTCATTGATTTTTTTTTTCATATTTGTAACTTCATTTAAAATGTTGTTACTCTTAGTGCCATCTGTTGTACATCTGATGACAATTAAAATGACTGTGTTCTTACTCCCAAAGGGCCATACGGCATCTTGATGGCAAAGAGTACAGAGGCAGACCCCTGGTGGTTGAGGAATCTCGCGCACGCCCACCAAACTCCACTAAAGTGTTTGTGGGAAACCTCAGTGCGACATGTTCAGCAGATGACTTGCATGGACTGTTCTCAACCTTTGGAAGGGTTTTAGACTGTGATAAAGTCAAAGGTAAAGTGAAAAGCCTATAACCAGTAGAGTTGGTACAAAAAGAAAAAAATGTATGAAGTGAGGTGTTGTAGAAATTTGTACCTATACTTAACTGACATAATATATTTTGCGCAAAAACAGTGCAAGATAGGAATGCTCTTATTAGATTACCATGTTCTGTATTTGATTTAGTAAGTTTTCTGGGAGCACAGTTGCATCCAGACAACAATGGTTAAATATTAAATACAAATTTAAAACAAATATTGGATGCACATGTTTAATTTTGAAGTCTGTCTCATGCAAACACTTATCTCCCTGTTTCTTGTACACAACAGCAAGATTATGCTCAAATGTCGGCTATGCGTTTGTGCATATGGAGAGGAAGGAGGACGCCCTGGCAGCTATCGAGGCACTCAATGGGACCATGTTCAAGGGACGTCAGCTGGCTGTGGAGCTGTCCAAAGCCCAACCTTTGATCAACCAGATTGTTACAGGTGGAAATTCAACTAATGCTGGAGGTAGTTTAGCAGCACATGAAGCAGGATACATTTGTGTTCTGTGAATAATAAAATGCGACAACTCATACCTATGCTCTCTTGTTTTCTGTTTCCCTTTGCTTGTAGGTGGCAGAGAGGGTCTTCTCCCCAGACCACCTCCATCACTAGAGCATCATCAGAGTCAGGCAGCTGTGCTTGCTGCAGCTGCAGCAGCTGCTGCTGGACTACCCATACAGGTCAGTTTATTCTTTCGCAGGAATTTCCACTGCCACGGGAAACCTTCTTGTCACGATCTTTGAAAGTTACGAGTTATGGACAAAACAAAACAGCACTTGTTAGGAGACAAATTAGATCAAGTAGACATTTTGTGAACTTATTTTCACACTTTCCAGGCCACATTCTTGTGCTATCCTGTAGTGTTTATCTAAATTAGATTAGAGTATATCACCAAACTTATCGCATGTCTTGTCTTTCCTTGCAGGTTCAACAAAGTGTCCATAATTCGTTTTACAACACCACATCTTTTGACCCCACCTACGCTGCTCTCAAGGGTATCACAAGTGCTAAAGGTGCAGATGGGGTCATATACGGTGCTCTTGCCAGCCAAGTGTATGGATCTGTTGCTGACCAAGTGTATCAAGATATGGCAAATCACAATACCACAGTAAGCGCCGCCGTTGAAGAGGTAGAGCCGCAGACTGCACCAGATCCAACAACGCTGTTCGAGGCAGCAAGAGCAAAGTTCTTTCAGGAGGGACAGAAGGTCTGTTAAAATTTGAGTAAAAATGTACAATGTACTTTTACTGTGTGTTTTTATGGCACTAACAGGATTTTTCCATTTATTCACTGACATGTTTTGAATGAAAGGTTCTGGCAGAGCAGCAGGCAGGGAGAAAGGCAGCAGCATCTGAAAATGAACGGGATCGCAGCCCAATAAGAGGAAATCGAGCCCCTCTACTTCCTGACCCTGTTCCGGGTTCGTTTGCCCAGATACGACCCAAGCGCCGCGCCCTGCTGCCAACGCCACCTGGAGGACCTGAAGACACTGCAGTTGCCACCACAACTCCTGAAGGGTCAGACCCTGTTGCTAGGTACACACAGCACATTCTAATATAGGATGGAGCTAGAAGAAAAATAAGCGTGTTAATTCTTCTTACACATGATGCAATATTGATAGTAATTAACATAGCAATAGTTTACGTAACCTAGCACTTACCAAAAACAGTGATTACAAAGTGTGTTTCAAAGAAACATGAAATTACAAATTTCTACTCTCTCTTCTGTGTCCCTCTGATCTATTCTCCACCTGTAACCTGTACTCCAGGTCGTACACAGAGTACTACCAACAAATGCATCAGTACCAACAGTATCAACAGTACCAGCAACAGTACCAGTACCTCCAGTATGCCTACACGAATCCTCCTCCGCCACCTCCTCCACCTCCACCGGCAACCACACAGGCACAAGCCTCCACCACAGCCCCCGCACCCCCGGGGACGTACACAGCACCCCCCTCAACATATGCCGCATCGGGAGCCTACCCCCCACCAGGAACGTACGACACTTCGGGAAGCTACGACGCCTCATCTGGGAGCTACGACACTTCATCTGGGAACTACGATGCCTCGTCGGGTAGCTACGACGCCTCGGCAGGCTATGACACATCAGGAGGCTACGGAGCGTCAGGAGCTTATGATTCTTCAGGAGCTTACGCAGCAGCGGGAAGCTACTCCACATCCACACCGTATGAGCAGACACCCGCACACGGGCAACCCATGCCCCAGCGCCATGATTACCCTTACCACACGCCAGAACCCCCTTATCGATAGTCCCACCCCCACACGCTCCTTACACACTGCAGGTGTGTGTGTGTGTGTGTGCGCGCGCGCGCATGTGTATTTACATAAGGGACAGTTTAAAGAGGAAATACAGAGAGGGAGGAAAGTTGTAATTCGAATGTGCATTAAATTTGAAGCATCTCCCCTTTTTCTTCATTTTGGCTAACCTGATCTCTAGTTTGTTTGTCACTGAATGGCTACTGAGTTAAGTGGGTGATTACATGAGTTGGCAAAGTCGTTGGACCAGTGGAGATAAGGGGGGCAGGTAATATTGGAATGTTGTCGAGCATTCATAGTTTCTGTTACGTGTTGTGGAGGCATAGCTGGATCCTTGTTGAATGTTGAAGGAGCTGAAACCTTGCCTGGGACATGAGACTCAGACAGCATTGGATCTCTTCAGAGAGGCTTTTTAGTGCTGGAAGAAGGCCTTTTATATACTCTCCATAAAAATGTGAACATAATTTCCCTGCTGCGTGGTGATCTGTCCAGTCCAATATTTATCTCAGTATATCTTTAACTGTACCATCGCACAATTCAGGTAAGCCATAAAATGAAAAATATGGCTCAATAAATAGCAAATTAATAGGTTTAATCGATTCAAACAGATGAACTGGCATCCCGGCAAAATTAGACTAAATTGCCTTTGGTTTTTTCCAAAAACTATTTATTCTCTACAGACACATACTCCTTCATGATGGCTAATTTTAAATATATACTCAGTGTCAACTTATCGATCTTTTCGGAGGCTGCAATTTGTAGTGCCATTAAGCTGTATTGTATTCTACTGACAAATGATTATTTTGTCCACTAATTTATTTATCAATCAGAGTGGACTAAATAGTAGAAACATCTCTCTGTATAATGCAGTACAGTTCTACAACACTACAAACTCCATCCTCCACAAAGGTCATGAAGTAAACTTTCAGTAAAGCAGCAACAGAAATGGAACCTCATACATCAACCTCATACAATTAGAATTTACTGCAGGACTGCTGAATGATTCTGCAGTTTTAGGTAGATTTACCTGATAACCTGGTATGTGAGCGTGTCCAAGGCCACTTCTTGAAGTGGTTTATGAATACTTTTTCTGCAGTATATAATAGGCCTTGGTTTGACTTCAGTTGCATTTACCCTTTTGAAACAGTCAGCCTTGTCATCCTGACTAGTGTTACATGGAATTCTTTTAATTTGGTAGACATCACGAATTGACTTGTTGGAATTGACCTTGTAGCTCTGATTGTAGTGCAGTCCACTTAACTCTAGAAATGAGGGGTTTGGGTTTTGCAATTTTTTTTTAAAGCTTACCTGTTGTTTTTTACAGTGAAAGGACTGACTGTGCAGTAAGCTTCTAGTCCCAGAGGTCTTCCTGTTAACTCAGGAGCGTTTGGCTGACTCACCATGAATATGACCATTGTGTGATAAAGGATGCTTGAACTTTCATTGTTAGGAGAGAAAGCCAAATTCAAACTTTGAGTGTGACTGACAACCACAGAGTAAAAACACAGGACACGTGTTGTCAGTGATTAAATTAAAGTACATGAGTGGTTGTTCTCTTTGGAGCGATTTGTCATAATTTACTGTGTTTCTTTTTTTCCTACTAAGCCCAGGCTTTAAGTGTATCTCAAGGTCTATACAAACAAATCAAGATGGAGCATAAGTCCCAATCTCAGGAGTTGAACAGTTTTTGGTTAAAGGTCAGTGTTTGCCTCTAAAACGTCAGAACAGAATCTTTAAGTAATTTTGCTGTCATTGACAGTACTTTCTTTCTCTTTCAGTTTGGTGTTGAATTGTTATCAGAACATTCTGTGTGAAAAGCAAGTTGAATGCATCCACATCTTTCTTTATTTTAGGCAATACTCAGTTGAACCCAGCTATTTGATAGAAGTGTTTTATTTTTTTTGTTGGCTTTGTACATATGTGAATTTCTAAAAGCCAGGGGGAATGTCAACAAGTAACGCATGGCCGATGAGCATCACATAGTTAATTTTTCAATTGGTTTTTTGACATTTTCTATCATTAGCTTTTGTTTGAGTCTCATGAGCTGCTGTCATGCTTCTGCTCTCGTGGAAATTATTGGTGATTTAGAGGGAATGTCGAGCTTAGTTTTCATACCAGAAGATGTACAATTTGGTACTCGTGTAAATACTTGAAACATTATTTGAAACTGAGAAAGCGATGCCAACCAACTTTTGGTAAAAAATATTGACTGTTAATAATAAGATGAAGTGATTGTATTTCTTACTAAACAGTTGGAAACCCGATGAAGAAGTACAGTTGAGTTGTTGTACCGAACTCTTCTCAAAAAAAAAGAGGCAACCAAGTCGTATGGCTGAAAACGATTACCATCATGTTTGTAGCATGTAGCGAGTGGAGCGGAGCCATCGCGGCGTCAGTGTGTGTGAACGAAATCTGCTGTTAAATCTTTGAATGATTTGAAGTGCAGAGAAACTGGAGAACAAAGCGATTGACCGTTTGAGCAGAGATTAAGTACACATGCTTTTTTTTTTTGCCTAAATGCAGTGCAGTGGTGTGTGGCTGGTGTGTGTAGCATAGTGTTATTGTCAGAGTGGATATGAGGTGACAGTTTTGGTGCTGCAGGTGATATGAAGGTTGTTTTGGATTTTGTAAAGGCCGCCGATTTTCTCGGGCGGCAGCGAGAAGAGCCGATGACCTTTCCTTTTCTTTCTTCTGATCTCACCAGAAGCACACATCCTTTTGACACACGGCTAGGATTACTGGCTTTCTCTGCATTCTTATCACACCTAGAAAACTGTCCAACTCCACACTCCAGACGTATTTCAGCTGGGTTTCATTGCATTTCACTCATGTAACGCAGGTTACACGTGCAAGTGATACTAATGCACACCTGATTCCACCTGTATTTTCTAACTTACAGCAGTTGCTCTGATGTGATTGTACCACACATTAGCTGCTCATCTTATTTCTCATTCGGCACCTGATCTGACGGTGCCGTGTTAGGTTTTAAGTGACACATAGCCTCTCTACATTGTCCACATTATTCCACCTTCTCCATGTGAACTGTTAGTTGCATGCCTTGTTGTTGCTGCTGCTCCAGCCACCTTCTTCCTCTTGCTGATTATTGCAGCTAGAGTGGGAGGGAGCCAAACTGAGCCCTTGCCCTGGACGTACGCCACACGCAGCTGTAGCGTGGGATGGGGAAAACAGCAGCGTTAGGCCTGAAACTGCTGTGGACGATGGGGTGTCCCCCCACTAAGGTAAACACTCAGACCACACACTCCTGCCCCTCCCCGAAAACACGCGTACACACTCACAAACACACGCATACAGTACAGACACAACTATGTCCATACTTCTTAATCCTTACCTGCCTTCAGGGATTTTGATTTGTCAGGATTTTTTGGAAATGTACCTCCCATCTGTTTTTTCTTTTTTTTCCAATGGGAGATTAAACTTTGTCCTGCTTTTGATTTTCCTGTCCCCGCCATGTTTCCCTCCCCAAGCATACTCTGCTCATACATTCCTGCTCCCAACGTGACCACTCACGCAACCTTTTGAGGACATCTGTACCACCGTTAGTCTAAATCTGAACGCTTTGTGCAGCAGGCGTGTCGTCGTTAGTGCATCCTGTATCTAACAGCCTGTCACTGAAGAGTACCAGGCAATCACGGCTGATCAGAGCTGGATTCAGGACATTTAGGTAGGATGGGTTGTTTTAGTTTTTGTAAACGCGCCCCTGCGGCCACTTCGGGGTTAAGTGCCTTGCTTAAGAGCACACTGGTAGGCCCTCCATTTCAGAGTTGAATAACCTGGCTCAGGATCGGTTGCTGGTTCAACGCTCGACTCCCCTTCTCCCCCAAAACGATTTTTGATGCCACATTCAACTTGTATGAATGACAATGAACACAAATACTACCATGTTGTTTTAAATTACATTTTGTCCTATGTTCTTTGAAATGTTTAATTATCAATAAATGAATTTCAACCGAAACTACACCTTCTCTGTGTGAATATTTGAAAGATGTCAGATGCTTTATGAGTACTTCGTAAAGTGAAGCATAGCGGCGCAGTCACCAAAAAACTCTCCAGTTCGGCATCAGATGACGTTTTATTCCATTTTCTTCCAAAAACATCAATCTATGCTTTTCAAATAAAAACCAATAATTTGATAACAATCCAAACCTGATGATAATTCAGTCGCTTTAATATACAAAAAAAGAAAGTGAGAAGAAATTGAGGGTATGGGACCTCACGCCCTGCTAACAAGACTGTTTCATGGACACTGCTGAGTTTCATGCCCTCAACAACAATGAACAGTTTACAGATGGACACTAGAGTACTGAATGAGTGTGATGAACGCAGTATAGACAGATGTACTGAGGTAATATTCTCAGTAGGCTTTTGTACGTAAATGGACAAAGGGGTGGAGCGTAAAACTGCAGAGACATCATGCGCCATTCGCTGGCATAATGACATGGAAATGCAGCAGTTTCTACTCTGGCATCATAAGTCCGGTTTCCAGCAGCCAGACTAATCCGTGAAGTTGCTTCATCGGTGAGTACAAAGATTTTTTTTCTAAATGCGTTGAGAATCTGCAATCAGTAGGCAATTGAAAGTCTTCCTTTCTAGGAAGTCCTACAAGCAACCCAATGTTGAGAGTACACGTTGATTTAAGTTCACCTTTTGGTGAGTTGGATTGCATGTACAAGATTTGTGTACTTTGTGCAGATTCTGGGATGGAGAACTTAGAGAAAATCTATTTCTCTTACAGACCCACCTTTCAAAACTCTTTATCTCAAACTACTCAGTCTGAGAAACTTGTCTCAGGGCGCTTTTAGGAAATCCCACCGCAGATAAAATATAACTTCTATATTTTGCCTTACAGGTTTTATTCTCAGTCCCTTTCTTTGACTTAGCAGGGTAGAGGGAAAGTAAGGAAGAGTAAATTCTTGCTAAATAAACTTTTACTACAAAAAATAAAACGTACAGAGATTTGACAGACATGGGGCAGGGAAAAGTAGTTCATTTTACCCATCTGTGTTTTCACAGTGGGGGTTTGAAAACAACACGACTGATCTCATCACCCCTTGTCCGGCTCTGTACACTCTCTGGCCTGCTTTGCCAAAAATTGCTCAAAACAGAGTTGAAGCTTCTGTTGAATCCAAGCCTGGTTTCAGGAAACCAGTCTGCGCTTTTGAGAGCATGACTGGAAACTAATAAGTCTACTTGATGGCAACAGACAGGACAAGACTGGGCAAAACACATTAAAAACACCACACAAAGTGGACCAGACCAAACACGTATTACAGTACTGAGACTTCCAATCACAACCTCCCATGATGCTGCTGGCATAGTATGAAAAAGGAGCGAGCATTCAAACACACGTATTGAAAATAGCAACGCTTTAATAAAGAGCGATTTTACAAGACTGCAATGTCTAGCTAGCTAGGTGATAATTGGCATTGACATCCATGGTGTTTTACAGAGATGCAGTTATGGTAACTGGGTTTGAAGTTTGATGGGTTACTTGCAAGTTGCATTTCTGCATGCGAGGCAGCCTTCAAACAGTTACAGACCCTACATTGTAAAACAGTTGATTATGAATGTCAATGAACGTTCATGTCAAGAGGTAAGTAAAAAATCTCATGGAGAAATTTCCTTAACGTTTTTCCAAACACACCGGTAAGTGAGAGTTCACACAATGGTCATGCTTTTACCGGGCACACAAGCCAATAAAAAGACGACACTTAATCATGCAAAAAAAAGACAGTTTCTTTGTCTCTAAAAAATAAAAGAACAAAAAAAAAATCCTTGGAGTTCTGATATCATCCATCCGTAGTGACCTTGAATAAGAAGAAGCTGCGCTTTGATGATGACTTTGGTGCAAAAAAATGTTCCTGTTTTGAAGAGGACAGACCCTGTCCTGTCCACTTCCTTGATGAAGACACTCTTGGTATAGACCAGTTGTGATAGTTTACCCCTAACCCCCCGCCCTCCCGACCCCACCCCCGTTCCTCCTCGAGATGGACACAAACATCACGAACATCGACCCGAGCCCACCCACCCATCCCTGGATGATGACACCTTCAAAATACAACCATTCAACACACAGATACAGCAATAAATTGTCCCACGTACAGTACGTCATCCAATGGGGCTTCGATCACTTTACAGAGAGAGCACGTCTAAAAACACATGAACGGCATTACCTATATACAGAGGACACAGTAACAGTCAGAGGTTGGCCCAGGATGGATCGAGCTGCGTTGTGGGAGTGAAGTGCACAATGAAAAGAGCATTCAGCTGACAGAGAAAGACAAACCACTGGAACAAGGAATAATGGAGGAGAGTGAAACAACAGTGTTCCAAAGGAGATACCCAAATGTCAGCTGACCACTTATTTAGATCTCCGTTCAAAGGTGAAACCTCAGAGAATATCTGCCTGCTCTGTGATGATTTCTAACTCAAGTCTCTCTCGCTCTGCTGGTAGTAGAGTTGTAGCTGCAGGGAGATTGGTTTTTGCGTTGCCAGCAGTTACAGTTCAAGCTTGAATCACAACAATACGGCAACATAAGAGTTGCAATTCTCTGATGATCTTGTTAGAAATCACCAGCCTGTGCAGCTCCAGCTGTCTGGAGAGGTTCGCCTCAGACTCGCTTTGAGATTCCAAATCTCATGACTCAGGGCTTTTTTTTGTTGTTGCGTTTTTCAGCAGATGAGTGATCCTAGAGCCACCTTAAATTGATGTTTGTGTTGTACAGACTGAGACACGGTCACAATAACACTCATTGCTAAGTTAGTACACGCTACCGGCTCGCTAGAGACACTCTGGTCTCTAACCGAGGAACATGACCCTGTTTATCTCTATGGGAAGGCATGTGCACACAAACACACATACAGTACATGTACATAGAACAGACACAATCAATAGAAAACGACTTCATCCCCAATCGATTATTGCCCCTTTCGACTGTACATCCCAGCAATGATTTTAGGTTTTTGTGCAGCAGAGCATTGCCCCCTCTTCGAAGGTTTGTGCTATATATAAATATCATCTGACTGTGGGTCTAACTTGCCCTTGGATCTGCCAGAAAATCCACATTAACATTTAACGTCTCATTAAAGCCTCCCCATCTCTGGCTGTCCGAATTAATCAGTATGCCGTCACTGCAGGCATTACTAAGGTCGCGATCGACAGGCGCTGGCCTCAGTTGCCTTCCGACGGTCTGGCCTTCATTTGACTCCCCCAACTGACCTTTAGCTGTCCTGTCCTTAAATGTTAACACTACATTAACAGACCTTTCTGTGTTAGCAATGTCTTTAATTCCTCCAGGTGGAGGTGAGACATCTGCTGTGAGTAATTTCCCTTATCTGGTCTTTTTTGAGGCGAAAAGGACTTGACAGGAGACTAATTTTGGACAGGACAAATGCTCAGGACAGAGAGGGTATCGTGCAGTTGGGAGTTAGACCATTTCTGATTGGCTAAACTGAGAATCACCTTCCTGCTAATTATCCACTCACCTCTCTGTCTGGCTCTCAGTGCATTTTTCACTACTTTTAGAGCAGTACGGGTATTTAACAGAACAGGTTATAAAACAAACTCAAAAAAACGAAATCCCCAAAAAAACAGCATTCTGTAGAGAAACCTGAAGTGGACGCACAAAGAAGTACAACACTACAGCAGAAAACGCTTCTTAACAGGCTACAGATGGGTTGAAAAGACAGTAATGAGGTTGCATGATATTGCACAGCTGTAGAGGAGGAAAAAAAGAAAAAGAAACCAAATACACAGTGTGTACAGCACGTCCCCCAAGTAGCAAAGTTAGTGTGAGAGGTTTGTTTACATCCAAATGCGATGCCTGGGTCTGGCTCAGTGCTTTCGTCAGTTAGTTCCAGTGCAGTAACACGTTGGTACCTGGCAACACAAGTAATGACATCAGGTACCAAAAGAGAAAACACGCAAAAGTGCATACTCTACACAGCTACGTCCATCCACAGTCACACAAGCGCGCCCACAAATCATTGTTTTACGCCGGATTCTTGATGTGAAGTTGGCAATTAAGAACAAACAGAGCTCATAAAAAGACTCAAAACAGTGATGTTGACGCAGCACGCTGAAATGTAGAAAAAGGGACACGCACACACACGCATTCAAATCAATAACTTCTGACATCAGGTAATGGATGACACGCAAACCGGGAACCGATCTGAACGAGATGCTAAAATCACCTACACAGAAAATACACCCTTGGCAAAGTTCACATTGAGTAAAGTGCCAGCAAACGATCCAATCAGAGAAAGAGACGTGTCCTCCAAGTTTGATTCAGTTGTGGGGATGGAGAGGGACGTTGGTAAGCCTTTGTACAAGAAATTATCAGGGTAAAAGGGGGTGGGTCGGGAAGTGGCAATAGAGCTTCTACACTTCCACAGAGTCTGTCTTCATAGCGTCATCACAGGTCGTAATTGCCATTTGAACTGGCAAATCAAACAGAGGATGAGTGGGATTGATGCGGAGCCTCTGGTGCCCCCCAGCACTATAGATTCAAAGACAGAGAGATCAGTAGCCACATGGAGAGAGGAGAGGAGATTAGAGGGTCAGGTGACATGGAAACTGACATCAGCATCTCATTCTTTATCCATCCTCTGGTCCGCTCTCCGTCTTCCTCTCCCCTCCCTGTTCCTCTCTGCCCTCTTCTTTCTTCCTCCTGCACTGGATTTGGTTCTGGATTTGTGTTCGCCGTCGCCTCTTTCTCTCCATCTCTTTTCTCTCGCCTTCTCTCTCTCTCGGCTTTGCTGCCATGGTTACAACATCATCTCTACATGAAGTGCATCTGCAGAGGACGGGGGGAGAATCGAGAGTAATTTAGTTCAACAAAACACCTCATCAAGTGTTCAGGCATCTATTGACAAGCATATTACCTGCCGCAGTGCCAGGAAAACAGCTTCTCGGAGGGCACGAGTGTTCAGTAAGCAATTATATTACTCTTATGTTTTGAATAATTGCTCAGAAATACACTTGATTGTTTGTTCTCCTGAGACTCCTGTATCCTTAAGTACTGATGATTACTTGTTGTGAAAAAACACTTCTTTTTTCACACTTCTCGGTCAATTTTATAATTATCTGACAACATGATTCATCCTGTTTCTGGACGGGTCCACTGTTTAAACACAACTGATCAAGCTTTGGAAAATTGCTATGAATGAGTGCATCAATTATTCTAGAAGTGTATAGATTCAGTGTTCGTGTCAAACAAATTGTCAACATTTGGCTGCTCTGCTGTAATTCCTTATATCACTTTAGGATGTGCAATGCATCTCATTTATTTTATGATGAAATAATTAGTAGTAAAAAAACTAATTTTCCTCTTTATTGGTTTCTGCCTCAGACAGAAATATACTTTTCAGAAAAACATTCAATAACCCCCAGATGGCTGACCGTAACTATACCGACTACTGTCCCTAAAGCTACATATAGCAAAGCATAAAAGCAGGAGTTGCACAATATTCAGTCATGTTTCAGCTTGGACTGCTTTCCGCTTCGCACCCGGCTTATTGCCTACTAAACAGGGTTTCGTTTATTGAGATAAGCAGTGATTTCTTTAGAGATAGCTTAAAGTATTTATTAGGGAAACTGTTAATGTTTATATGCAAAAATAAAGCTTCAGGTCACACTGTGGTGTCAATGATGGAGCAACAGCATGTGGGGCTAAACCAAAAGTTGTAGTTTGTAATATACATAGTACATAGCTCATAATAAAGATGAAGTTAAATGTTTATTCAACTGCAATTTAGTTTTTTCAAGATTGATTTTAGTAATGTACAAATATGTATATTTTGATGTGTGTGCTTCTAAAAGTGCCCAGACTGGCATGCTACATCATCCACTGCAATGCTAAGGTTGTATTGAGAATGATTATTATATAGGAATGAGTTTGGGAAATGTGCTTGTTGGCTTTCTTGCAAGGTGCTATGTGAGAAGACAGATGCTCCCAAAGTTCCTCTAGAGCAAGGATATGTTCCAATATCCATACTAACATATCAGAAAAAGATTTAGCATGGCCCTATACATAAACTGGTATGAGAAGATACCTTAATGTCTAACTACATTCAATCTGATTTTGCAGTATGCAAGCCAGCATATGTTTCTGGCCACAATCCTGTGTGTAGTTACGCCGCATAGGTCACGGTGTCTTGACGAGTGTGAACAAGCTTGAACTGCTGAGATCGTACAGACAGATAACACATAATTTTGCACGAAAGACTGCGATGGTCAAAGTTTAAGGCGTAATATTATGTTCCAGTTGTATGTATGCAGCATGAAACAGTATGTACTTTGTAAGGGCAGCTGCAGTACATACGTAATGTAAAAAGAAAAAGTGTGCGATTTGTAATGCAAGCCAAGTCTTGCCACTTGGTACCATCTCCAAGTAATACTTTTTTTTTCTTTTTGCGAGCAAGACTGAGATCCTACCTAAATGAATGTGGCCATAGAGCCATAACTGCAATTTCAATATTCACTGCAACATAAAAACTGTATGTGTAGAATCACCAGTCAAATCAGATAAAAAATTGCCTCAACGGTTTGGTGACTTTGCCCCAAAATAAAGCTTTAAAAGTTCTTTTTTTTCCCCCCAGCAGGTACTCTTCTACGCTTATGTAGTTTCACAACACTGCGCTTGTGTCAGTGCAGCAACATGATTGGCTGGATGTGTTTTGGTTAAACTGTTATAATGCTTTTGGTTTTTTGACAGGAGAGGCAGGACGTGTGTCATACAACTGCCATGTTTGATGTTACGAAGTTCTGTCAGATTTCTATTCAGGAATCTTTCACTGGTGAGTCTCCACCTTATAACACCGCTGATACTATTCCTACATCCGTACTATAAATATAAGGCTGCAACTAGTAGGTGGTTAGCTTAGCTTAGCATTAGGAGTGGAAATAAAGGTAAAGGAATCCATCTCGAAGCATCTCCAAAGCTCACTGCTTAAGTTGTTTAATCTTGTTGTTTCATCCTTTTAAAAAGCAAAGTCGTGGTGTTACAGGCCAGCTATTTGCTTTCATCCTAAGCTAAGCTAACCAGCTGCTCTGTATAGTCTTACAGACATATCTCCCAAAGCTGTTCCTGCAACGGCACTATGTGGCATGTGCACTAATATGTCAGTGTTTGTGTTACCTGTGTTCCCGGGATGGGTCCAAAAGGATTGGTGGGTCTCAGGACAGGCTGGTTGTACATGACAGGCTGCGGGGGCATCATGGGAACGCCCCCCATCTGATGACTCATCTGAGGGGGGAGCTGAGTACAAGAGACAGAGAGAGGTGTGGATTAAACTCGGCACTGTGGATGGAGACTAATAATCTAGTATTTACAGTAGGAATGACAGATTTCTGTATGTATGACTAAGATTGGAAGACGCCTCTTACCATTCCATACACAGGCACTTGGGGTGTCGTCATAGGAAAAGCCACTGGTGCTGGAGCCTGTACAGAAAGAAAACAGGTAGAAAGACACTTCTTAATCTTGACCTAAAAGTCTTATTACAAACATAGTCCTGATGCTGTCAACCTCACATCCAACCTGTCGAAGATGTAACGAAACAACAAAGACAGAAATGTTTTTGCTTTCTTTAACATTTGCATTTGTTTGCTTCTTGCAGGATACCTAATCCTGAGCGACGAAAAGAGGTGCACCGTTTAGTTGACTTGCAGATTGGCAACGCATAATAACCACGACAATGTCGAGGCAGCACAATAAGCAAAGGTATCTCCCTTTTCCCCTGATAATTCATGTAGCATCAAGAATACAAACAGCCTAAATGATGAAGTGTCACAGGAATAGCAAAGACGGTTTTTGACGGATGACAGGATGAAGTCAGGTGCAAGAAGACGGGATGAAGGGAATGTGAATTGACAAAACTTACATAGCCAGTATAGATCATCCCATTCTGTGGAGAGTTAAAGAAAGGAGAGGAAAGAGAAACAGTTAAAGAATGCAGTTCTGCACACTAAAGTTTAAGCCGTGCTCGTTCCTTTTCTCCAAACGGGCAGAGAAGATAAACCAGACCACTGCTCATTCCTTATGTTACAATCACTTCAATTCCACTTTCTATTCAAGTCGTGCCGCCGGCTTTCCGAACCATTTGCCGACAAAATGAGCAGTTTGAGTTGAGAGGTCAATCAGTGCAAAATTAAAAAGATGAAACCAGACTGAATGAAAGAGACGTGTAGATAATTGGAGTGGAGCACAAAGGACAGAGACACATTTGGGAGCTCTGACAAAAGCCCCGAATGCAGCAGAAAGTTACATTTAGCTGAAAGGTGTATTTGATGGATCTGAATCCGAATTGAGATATATCATTAGGAGAAACTGACTTTACTGGCAGAATGATGGATGGCACCAAATTAAAACACAATGCAACATTTCTTTCTAAGATTTTTGGGAGACTAGTTTTTCAGTGGCAACCTAAACTGATAAGACATTACTGTCTTTGGCTTTGATTTTTATTTGATGCAGCTGCTGTAGTTATGCTGGTGTGTACTTATTTTTATTGTGGATAAGTTTTGTAATTAACATCTAGTTGCTATACTTTATCCTACAGAAGTCACCTGACATTGAGAGAGAGTCAAAGTACACCCTAGAGCGGTCACCAGTCCATTGCAGGGCAAAAACTAAGATACAGACAACCATGCACAGCCACACTCACACCTATGACCAATTTGGAATTAAGATGGTGTGAGGAAGCTGGAGAACCTGGAGAAAATCCACGCAGGCGCAGGGAGAGCATGCAAACTCAACATAGAAAGAGAGCAGCCAAGCAACAGGTATGAAACCAGAACCTTCTTGCTGTGAGGTGACAGGTAATTACTGCACTGTTCTGTGACTCAAATTACAATATTATATATGTCGGAAGGTATTTATTCCACAAAGAATCAGTTGAGGTCTTCCTGTGTTTTTGAAATCATGACAAAAAGGTGACAACAGCTGCTGTACAATCATTGGCTGTAGACTTGAAGTTCACCACACTGACGAGTTCAAAGTTCTGCTAACTGAAGCCCTTTTTAAAAAAAAAAAAATCCAACTGCACGACAGTCAAAAGCTATATAACTACAAATTTCCAAACAACCAGAAAGCTTACTAAGACAGGGTGAACCCTGGACAAGCACAAAGGTGTTTTCAATAACTCTAGTTGTCAGGTTGAGGATGGACGAAGCAAAATGGGAAATTACAGAGATGTATCTCTCATAAACAGACAACTCCCTCATTCTTCTGTTAGATTGGCTAATTTGGTTATATCAACTAATTCCAAGTATAAATCTCTGCTGACTGGAACCAGCTCCAAGTGAGTGGGCTGCTGGGGCTGCTCCAAATGGAGATCGCTTGAAATACAGAAGGGGTGTAGAAATAGCATCTATTATTGTAGTTGTAAGCTCTGTCAAAGTGTTGATTTAGACTATAAAGGCAAAGGTTAACAATGTTAGTAAGTGAAATGTAGTCATGCAGATACACTGATAGTTTTGTTTAGGTTGGTTTGTATCATATATTAACATCTATCAGCTCCCTGTGTCTCCATATTTTTCATTTATCTCATCTTGCATGCGAAAATTAGTTTTTAAAACCATGCACATGCTTCTGATGATTCATCCTGCAGTCAGGGGAGATCACATATCAAATCAAATATGATTTAGGGTGACTAGCTTGTGTTTGATTTTCAGCTGGTAAACATGTGATAATTAAGAATGTGGCAGAAGTCCAGTTTATCTTTTTAACTGTTGTTGTGGTTACTTACAGAACAGATGGAGTTAGTGTTGGAGGCTAACAGCTAGTCCTCTGCAGTGCTTTAGTTCGCCATCTTTCTTCAGTTCCACTTTGTGTCACCATGTTTGCTTAATAATCCACTTTTCGTGAAGCAAAATCTATCTAAAAGATTTTCAGTTTCCACCTGAAACATTTTAATCTTAATCTCTTTGTTTTGCTGTAACTTCAGTTATTCTTTTTGGGAATAAATTTCATTTTGCCAGTCCTGAAAATGAATGTATTAAGAGAACTGGATATGATGTTGCTGCAGATTTTTCCCAGTGGTCAGCATTGCATCTACAAAAAATCCCCACCCAGTCATCAAAGGATTTGCCCCAAAATTATAAAAGAGACATCTGTTAAACTGCTGAGGATTTATTCTTTCTAATGTGAAATTCTATTCCATTGAGGTTTCACGCTTGTAGAAGGTTCCTTCCATCTCGAATCATCACCGGACTTTGGCTTGACTGACACTGATTTGTTTGAAACTTTTTTTAATCATAAACTATAAATATTTAAAATGGCATCTGTGAAATTTTTCATTGATATATCAAATACTATATTAAAGGCAGTAAATCCACTTTAATACTCTAATTCAATACTGGACAAGTAGATCAAACGATTTCTGATTATGGGTGAGTTGAAATGCATCTTTTTAAATAGTTATATTTTCTGCTATAAAATATATTATGCAAATGTATATTGTTCAAAAAATGTGATGATTTGAGACAAAATGAACCTAAACTTTCCCAGCAGAAAGAAAAATGGATTTAATTTTTGTAAAGTCATCACTATATAAAGTCTACGGTTCATCATGAACCTATTTTCGTGTTGAGCAATTTTCATTCAAATGACCAGGTGCAATTTGGGGGATTTTTGAGCATCCAGCTGGCTGATGCTAGATCGTAACAGCCATATGGAAGCAGTGGGAGGGATGACAGGGTTGGTTGTTAGGTTTGAAATTCAGCTTATCTTATGGATCCATGGTGCCGACTACTTTCTGCTTCTCGGCCGTCCTGACTTGGAATCATATGAAGCCATAACATTAACCAACCAAACTAACAGGAGAATGAGGGAGACGTCAACCGATCACAGATGCTCTCTCCATACAGTATTATGAGGAGATGTAATCAGGCAGCGCAAGTAAAAACACACACATAGGGGGACTTCAAGTACATTGCAGTGCCCCATTAACTCGATGGCAGTAGCACAGAATCTTGCTGGCACTTGAAACTGAGTGTAGCTGATAATTTACCATTTGAGGGACGGGCATGGGCGCAGGTGCCATGGGATGAGTGGTGTGAGTCCAGTTGGTGCTGGTGCACATGGTCTTCGACTGCCAGCCGCTTCCTCCTGTGGGTTTCTTCTCTACGAGCTGACTCCACTGGAGCTCTGGCCTGATGCGCAAAACACACAGAAGTGCATTTACAGGTGCACAGATGGTGCAAAAGCATGAGAGATTGGACAGCTATAGACAGACAGCGGAATAATTTGCTTGTGGCTCAGTTTTTGATGTCAGGCAAACCCACTCACTTTTTAGCTGGCGTCCCCCCAAACTGCAGGTCTGAGCGAAGGGAAAAAAAAAAAAAAGAACAAACATTATTTGAAAGGAAGCAGCACAGTCAGAGAAGAAAAAACAGGAAAAATGGAAGCGATGAGTGAATATTTGGAGAGAGACACTGAACACTCACTGCCAACGAGGTTGGCTAATGAAGAGTCCAAATCGTTTGGCAGCATTTTCCCAGAGTGCAATGGGGCTCCGGGGCTGTGAATTTGAGTGGGTGGGGATGGCTTCAGCAGGTCACCTGACATCCAAAGGTAACCATGGCAACGTAAAAGGAGAGAAGAGGGGGAAATGAGTCAGGACCGTGAAGCGACTGGTCATCCCTGTCACAGCAGATCCAGCTCTTGGTGTGTATCCAGCCCTGTTTGTGTGTGTGAGCGAGTGGGAATTTATTTGCACGCTTCGTCGTATGTTTGCACGATTACGTGTTTGTGTGTCTGTGTGGAGTTGTGCATGCAGTCCTACCTCCCCAGGCATTGTTATTGTTGGGCACAGTGTGTGTGGTCTGGATGGGGGTGAAGTTAGGCTGCAGGGTGAACAGCTCACTGGTCAGGTTTGGCACACTGCAGGAAGGAAAACGGAGCAGAGAACACAGTTTAGTTTTCTCATTTTGTTTTGAAAATCTAATTTGCGACAACAGCCCGAGTAAAAGGCTTCTTGTTAAAGAACTGAGGTAACAGGATAAAACTAAATAACAAACCAAAGACTGCTGCTATATACCAAAGCTGCAAAATTGCATTTGAAGCTTCGCTCTTGCTGCAGTATCCAGAGGGCATTTTTCAGTGTTTACATTGTCAGTGACTGCAGATGTTAGACTCACTGGTTGTTGACAGGTACGATGGGTGAGTTGGAGAAGAGGTCTGTGGCCCCTCCGCTGCTGTTGGCACTGCCCACTGACTGGGTGCTGGGTGAAACATTAGGCGTCTGAATGTCGATCACCTTATGGCCGTCCTCCTGCATGGAGCAGAATATAACTGCTCTTATTGTACACTGTAGAATATATTTCCAGTGTTAACATCTTGTTTAAAATATGAATATTTCTTGCATTTTTTTTTTTTTAGTTTGTTTTTTGTTTTTGTCTTTTTAAATAGACTCCTTTGCTTCTTTAGTTGAATAAAAGCCCCACTGCAGAAGTGCAGTATTTAAATTGTAAGTTCATTACTATTCTCTGTGCAGCTCTTCACGCTATGGGCCAACAGCCTGAGACAGACCGCGTATTTCACTGTACTGCAGAATTAATTCACTCGTCTATTCAACTTTAACAAAAGTGCGGAGGACAAAAAGACTCCAAATACAGATGTCTACACAGTCCACAAAGGGAATTCTGCAGTATTTTTCTCACATAAAAGCAAAAACAGTTCATTTGTGGAAAGCAGTAAGCAGTAATAGCTGTATTTATCTATCTACAGTGTGTACATGTGTGATGTAAGTGTACTGCAAATGTCTCACCTTGTGTTGCTGCAGTCGGTTGTCCTCCGTCTTGTCGTCCATACGGCTCAGAGAGATCCCCGTGCTGGAGAGAGACGACACAGCACTGGACAAGGTGCTGGATCTGAAGGTGAGACAAACATACATGTATGTTTTTGCAAAGGCTGCAGAATTATCACAGTTGCTATACTGGTTTCTGTAGTTTCCCTTTGCTGTTTTTTACTTAGTTGCACTTTAAAGTGCTTAGCCACCTCAAAGTCGCTTTCCAGTTGTTGATTTATCCTCTAAAAACTCCTGCCTTTGTATTAGATTTTTTTTTCCAAGTAAAATGTAAAATCCCTTAAAATAGCAGAGCACTGATCACTGAAGCTACTGCCACACGCTCCACGCGCTGCAGCAGGAGCACACCAGCTCTACTACACTCTGCTCGAACACTGTAAAACTACTTTACACTACACAATAGCAAGTTTTAAAAATTGCAGAACTTCAGCTGCCATTCATGTTTGAACCGGAAACTGATCCTGAAGAAGAATTATGAAACTCCACCCCTTCAGCTGAAAGGATTGGTTCTTCAGGTTTGTTTCATATGGAACTCCAGAAGTCTTAATCTGAGTTTTTGAGACTGTCATTAGTACAGAATCAAGGTGGAGATGCTCAGATGTTGCGTATTTCGCTCATGATATGTCTTCCAGTATATAAACAGAACACCTCATGAACAAGGCCAAAAACTTGACTTTAACCAGAGATCACCTTTAACTTCAGAATCTACAGACATACGCTGCTAGGCTGTTTTACACAAGTGTTGAACAAAGACAATGATGCACTAGGTTAAAGGTCCGACAATAAGAGTTTAATAAGAATTCATTACCTGAGGACCAAGAATTTCTGTACCAAATTTCATGGCAATCCACTCAAAAACAGATGAATTAGTTAGTTAAAAGCAGCAGTGGCGTTACCATTTTACAAAACCAGCACAATCCACATGGTTACTTTTATGTTACTGTACATATTTCAATGTCAGTCCACTTTCAAAAGGTGCTTGATGAACTGCATTGGATTTTATTACAGATATCTGTAGTGCTCAGATGTTGGTGAAGTTCAAGATTGTAATAAAATTTGGTAAAAACATTTGTGTCCCCTTCAGGATGATGACTTTCCCTCTAGCGTCAAAATTTCACTACCTGCAAAACTAATGACACTAATGGTAAACTGTTAAACTGCCTGCTAAACACCAGCATGTCAACATTATCATGTCGCTGTGAGCACAATGCAGACAGTAACATTGAGTCTCTATGGTAGCTGCTTGCATGGCTGCAGACTCTCCATGTTGCTGCAGAAATCCATTAAATAGCAGCAGTGTTAGTAGCAGACCATCAGTAGTCATAGTACTATAGCTATAGTAGTTGTAGCTTTGATAGTAACAACATAAGGAGCGGCTAAAGTAGTGGTAATATGTTTAAAGTAGTATTAAGAGGCTGGTGCAGCAGGTCTGAGCAGCTTCTCTGGGATGTGATCATACCTGCTGGCGGTGGAGAGGTCCTTGAGCTTCCTCCCCTCCAGAGAGGCTAAATGCTGCTCCAGAGCCTCCAGGAGAGAGCTGGGAGCCTGAGGGAGGCAGGGGGAGTAAACGGGGATGGGGGTGAGGGGATAACATTAGAACCACAGCCAAGTAGACAAAGTGGGGCACACTGCTTTCTTTCACCCCCTTTCCAAACTTCTTGTTTTCTCTCCCACACACACACACATACCTACACACACACCTACACTCACACACACACACCTACACACACATACCTACACACACACACACTCGCACACACACACACACACAAAGCAGTAGCAAAAATTAAGACATCACCCTCAGATTCGCTATCTACTCTATGACAGGTCTTTGTTCTGTTTTTGCATTTGGTTTCATCAGGTTTGGTTGACCAGCATGCACACATTAGCCTTGGATCATGCAAGCGAGTCCACAGCAGGACTGACAGGTCAGGACAGAGCAGAGCATCAGCGCTGCAGGGCTCCAGAGTAGAAACACAACAAAAAATAAAAAAATAAAGAACGTCTCTGAACCATCTAACGAGCCCATGCAGAGGCCAGCAGTGCACAAACGCTCTCATTAACACACGCACACACACACACACACACTTACGCACGCATACACGTAAAGAAAATCACGATCCAAAAAAACTACGAGTTAACTCGTGGATTCCACTTTAGGTTAAAAGTCAGATTTAACGTGTTATAGGTTTGATTTAGTCTGCAGATTACGAAGCAGGTGGTCAAAGGATCTGAAACTGTTTCCCACTGGAAGCCAAGGAAGTTAACTCAGTCAAATGTAAACATCTGGCGAAGAACCGGGTATGCACATTGAGCAGCTGGCCGGCACTCTTTATTGGAAAACAAAAAAAGGATGGATGGGTTCGTTTTGACCACATGTGACACCGCGGTTTTCATCCAGAGCTTTACATTTCAGCGCCAGAGAACACAATGCAAACACAACAGGCAAAGAAAAGATTTCTCATATACTTATTTTAAGGGGGAAAGAGAGTAAAATGCGAATTCTGGATATCCTTCTTCAGAGAAATCTAGAATATGCTAAAAGTTTAAAAGTAAAACAGACACATATCTAGAGCTCAGTAAAGGCATGGGTCACTATGTTGTTGAATAAGGGCATATAAGGTCTTCATAAGCACTACAGACATGACATCAGTGTAAATAAAAGTCAGCCCTTTTCAGTTTGTCACTTGATTTGTCACATTGTAAACATCCAATTATGCATCCACTGAAAAGGATAAGCTGTAATTCAAAGCCTTTAGCATGATATGCAGTACTTATGATGGCATTATGTACACCTATCCAAGTCATATTTGCAGAAACCTACTTAATAAAAACCATTCGCTGCTCTCCCCACAGCTAATGCAAAGGGACATAATCTTTTCAGGACATGATTTGAACACTGCTTGTGTGGGAAAAAAAAACTATTTCATAAGGTTGTGCTGACTTCTAGTATTTGCATGATAAGCCTTTGAATCAACAGACAAGCCTTGATATTTACACTGGGAAAATGCCAGTAAGACTGCTGGGGGGGGAAAAAGACAGATACTAAGCCCCAGTCATGGTCATCTAAAATGAATCTTGCAAAAAAGAAAAAAAAAAGAAAAAAAAAAAGCTAAAAACTTTTGTTACTCAGCTGCATAAGGTGCTGATTTAAAAATCTTACCTTTTGAGTAAAAAATTTGTTCTGGAATGATTCAGATAAGAAAAAAAACTGTGAAATTCCTGAAATAATGTTTAAAAATGTTGGAGGGGAAAAAGGAAAAAAAAAAAGCATGTTGTTTCAATTCTATTTGCAGGTCTTCATTTATTGTTTCCTCTCTATTCTAGACTCTGTTCAGACAGAAAAGGAGACAAAGCGAAGGAGTTAAGGAGAGTGAAGAAGAGAGGAGGAGGACGGGGCAGCTGCAGTGTGGGCAGGTCTGTAGGGTGAGTAGGGAACGGGAGCGTTTAGAATGAAGCATTATGGGACTGACTCGACAGATTTATATACTGGTTGACTGACTGGTTGATTGACTGATTGAGATGAGATGTAGACTGACCTGTGTGAGATCGGGGCTGTCGCCCTGATCTATCCCAACTCGCTGTGTCACAAAAAAGGAGGGAGGGGTAGGGGGGAGGGAGGAGGGAGGCAAAATAAAAAATAAACCAAAATGTAACAACAAAACAAGGAATAAACCAAAAGACCCAACAAACCACAAGAGTAAAAAAAAAAAGAAAAAGAAAAGAAAAGAAAAGAAAAGAAGGGAAGAGGCGTGTGAAGGAGGAAGAGGAAGAGGAGGGAGAAAGAAGAATCAAACCCAAGCATTCATTACTTCATGCAGTGGCTGGAAAAGGAAAACAAATAAAAGACAACGGAGGAGGAGGGGAGGAGGGCGCATGCACACGCATACAAACACCGATATATACATAGTTTATGTACATACACGCACACACACTTATAGATACACGCACACATAGTGAGATCTGGTTGGAAATGAATGCTGAGCACAACGACTGATCGAACAGGCAGGGCAGAGAGGGCAGACAACAGGTCACGTGACTGCGAGGTAAGAAACATCCAAAAAAAGGAAGACACTCAACTAATGTTGACTTTGAACAGAAAGAGAAGGGAGGGACACAGATGACACACAAACAGACAAACACACATTTTGTTAGACAGGTAAAATGAATGGGTCCTTAAAGTCAACGTTAGTCTGTTTTTTTTTTGTTTTTTTTTATGTCTTTGGATCAAGCGGCTGCACCCCAAACCTTCTTCCAAATGGGAACGAAACCAAGCAGTGAGAAAGCCTTTGAAGATGGCGCACGGGATAATGCTACGCAGTCTACAGAGGATAGAACTGTTGGTATTCACTGTGAAGCCTAGCAACTGTTAACTGGATAACAGCCATTATAAAGAAAAAGACAAACAATTTTGAGAAAAAGGGAAGTAAATTAAAGAGGAGAGAGAGGAGACAGAGATAGTGATAGAAAAAGAGCTTGCTTGGGCATGCAGTGCAGGCATGTGAACAGGCAGCACGCGAGGGGTCCCTCAACTGGAAGCTTTACACGAGTGGCTCTCTGATAGGCTAAGACTCAGCCGTTAATGGCTGACTTGGAGTAACCCCCTCCCCAGGTCAGGGCAAGAGAAGGACAGAAACAGGGGAAAATCTAGATGCAAAAAGAGACTCGGAAGATTAAGAAGAAGAAGAAGGAAAAGAAGCTCCTGGAAGCTGATTTGCAGTCAGTTTAGGTTTCAAAGTACTGACCGTAAATCAGACCCCCGGGGGTAACAGAAGTCTAGAGCAGATCTCAACAGGTTGAAGCATTTTTTTTCTTTGCAGGTTAAATTCCTCTGAGTGACATGAGAAGATGAGAAAAGTACGTTTAATCTGTTTATGCGAAACCAGACAAGAGGACGCTGTTGAGATTCACTCCAGACGGATATTCCCATCGTCTCTACTGGGGTTTAAACTCTGTGTTTCCTCCTCGGAGCAGGACAAACAGACGTTACCTCTGCCACTTTGAGAAACTCGGACAGTTTGGTCATCCTGTTGAGGAAGGTCTTGTAGATCTCCAACGCTTCTTTGCACTGGTTCTTCTTCATGTCAAAGTACTTCTCTGTGTGTCAGAAGAACAAAATCAGTGAAAAGTATGTTAACTTGTTCACCTTTAGTAAATGCTTAATAAGGGTTTATTTAATGCCACTGAAGTGCTAGCTAATGAAGCTTTCCCGCAAAAAAATAAAACAACCACTTTTCCAACAAATGCATGTTCTCATTTGTTGAAATAGTTGAAATAAATTCTACAAAAAGTCCAACTTACTATATAACCATAGCTGGGTCAGGTAATCATTTAATGAACACAGTAAAGAGCCTGATAGACTGTTCTGGACCCCTCACACCTCACTGGCTTAATAATTAATGGAGAAAAAGAAGGTGCTCATTACAGTCTTTAATTGGACTTGGAGAGACAGTAGGAAGAAAAATTGATTTTTCTCTAAAGAAGGATTAAATGGAGTTGAATGGAGTCACAGTCTTGTGATCTCGACACCAGGAGAAGATTACTGCACAAACACAGAACAAACTAAACTCTGAAAAACTCTGGATCTGCTGTGCTCTGCGTATAGTTTACCCAACATGTTGATGACGCCTTCGTTGTACGCAGCAAACAACCGTATGGAGTCTTTGAACAGCAGCATGAAGGCTGTGTTGATCACTCCGTTTGTCAGCTCGTTGGAGTTGGGCTGGAGGACGGGAGGGTGGAACGAGAGAGGGTGGATCAGGGTATAGAAGTGAACAGTCTCTTACATGACTGGCATTCAAGTCAGACGCTTACCTGGAAATCCAGCAGTGCATCCAGCTGTGTCTGAATGATGGGCAGAGTCTTAATCAGCTTCTCTGTGTTCATGGTGCGCATCACACCGTCAGCCCTGAAAGCACAAATGCAACACAGACAGAACTTACTAAACCTGTAGATGTCATAAAGGTATATATCTCTGTGGAGAACCCAAAAAGGTGAGGATATAATAGAGAAATTTCACATCCTACAAACCCAACTTTTCTTTCCCAGTTCAATACCTTTTTTTTTGTTCTTCCACTACTTTCTCATTGTGTCTGGTATGACCACCAGGTTATGGATAGTGTATTTTTGCTAACAAACTTTACAGATGAACATTACTGGGTCAGTTCACTGAGTGAAACACTACAATTATCCTGTAATTACCACTTGTGGCTGTAATGACTGCTGTTCAGAGAGAAGAAAAATAGAAAATCTATAGTTGCAGTCGAGCATGAAAAAGGACACTTTGCCACATGTTATAGAGGAGACACAGTGTTCACAATCTTTTTGGTGTAAATCACCCTCCATTTAATGTAACATTTATGTGTACATGTGAAAGAGTGTTTTACCCTCTCTTCATCTTGGTGAAGTCCACTGCTGCTAGTCTGTAAGACATGGCTTTTTCGTTCAGGTAGCGGCTGTAGCGTCTGATGAAGGTTGACATGTTGTAGCCTGGAGGGCAGACAGGTGGCGTTGCAGTTAGAGACAGCATCTGGCTTATTTACAAATCAGGTTAAGAAGCTGTAGCCCCTTTCATATGAAATGTACTACCTTCTCTGTGACCAATCTGCATTTCCAAATGTGTCACACCAGCCCTTGCTCTACATTACTTTGAGATTTTTTTGGATTCAATTTTCCTCTCAAAATATTTAATTACAGTAGCATGTGTTTCCATTGTCAGCGGCTTCTTGTACCAAACAAAGAGCACATTTCTTTCAGCAGCTTTTTTTTTTTTTTTCAATCTTGGACTCTTTGAAATGGGCTTTGAATCGTGCCTTATTGATAGTGTTACAGAGCCAGCGAGAGTCCGACATAAAGTCATTTTGTTAGACGTACAGCACTGCTGAGTCTACAAACAGCCAGATGCCATTAAATCACCTTGTAGTGCAGCCTTATCTAGAAAGTTGTTGAGGTTGAAGAGCGTGTTTCTGGAGGCAAGGTACTGCATCAATCTCTGATGGAAAAAAAAAAGAACAGAGGAACAAGTTAGTGATTTATCTTTTCCTACTGCCTGACAATATCAAGTCATGTCCACGCTGACAGAAGGGCATCGCATATGTCTGGAAAAGTGAAGAGTTTATTTGTAGACAGAAGTTTGCAGCTTTAAGCACATTTCAAGACGGCATGTAACTTAAAGTTGGTGATAAAATGCACCTTGGTTCAGTTCAGGACACTTTGGGATTTTACTGATCCGGTGTCAGTTGGTTCAGTGAGAGTTTAACAAACTCCAGCAGATTTTGCTTTGTAACGCTCATGACTTCCTCTGTTTGCTGACATTTTGACTCATTTCAGTTTGCAATCTCTTATCACGTTACATTTTTTTAGCATTTGTATTTTTCCAAAAGTACAAGGCCACAGTGACATCGCTGTTCTTTCACGAATGAGACATTTTAAACTCTATAAAAGACTGTAGCAGCCATTCATTCTACATGTCAGGACTTCATGGAGGTGGTTTAATTGGAGCTACACATTAAAAGCAAGCTGAGTTGAATTGTCAGAGGAAGAAAAAAAGCAGCCGCTGGACAAAACTGGTGCGTATTTATCTGTATTTGTCACTACCTATCAATACACTTTGGTAACATGTTTTGTTTCCTTTGGTTTATTTGAGTCTTGGTTGCCAGGGTGAAGCAGGCCAGCCAGCACACTGCGATGTTTTAATATCAAGAAATGACTCGTGATTCTTGTTTGATCCTGAACAAGCATTAGCAGAATTTGTAGCTAATAATACCCTTCACAATCTGTCTCTATTACCCAGACAAAGAACCTTTCTTCCTTAATTGATGTCCAATTTTCAGTGAGCCCATTCCAGCACCCTGTTTTGACGTGATTAAATCACATCAAAGGTGCAATAATAAGATTTTGAACACAACCCGAGCAATAACAATCAGAAAACAACTATCTGCAGTGTAACGATTTAGTGAAATAATGGTGTCTGTAGCAGAGAATAAAGTCACAGTTCCTCTCTTGTGAATGTGTTGTAAACCAAGATTCTTTATTTTGTGCTTTGGTAGCTAGGTTGGTTGCATGTTAATGCATGTGATTCCCTCCCTTTGAAACTGTTGGGTCTCCCCATGCTTACAATTGGATCAAGATCAGAGAAGCGAAAGTGCATTCTAGCGTTCAGCTGGTGTCCCCAAACACATTTTATCTATGTGATTTACCTGATTTATATGCACTCAATTAATTTTAGATAAGTCTGAGAGTCACTGTTGCTGTTTTGAGTCTCCATGTTTTTTCCTTCTCCGATAATGTCTGTTCCTCTCCAGTCCATTCATGATGTAACGTAAAGACAGCGTTATTTGAGTTGACAACAACTTGTTTTGGCTATTGTATGCATTTTGCAGTGCTAGCTATCTGTTGTGACAGGGTTACTTCTGTTGTTTCGGATTGTAAATTAATGTGAAGGGAGGAGCAAAGGTGTTGCCAACATTTGTTTTGATCTGAGAAGCTAGTGATCTAGTGACAACGAATGGTTCTGAATGTTGCAAACAGAACCTATACGGAGGCATAGAGTCCAACTCTTTAAAGTCCATGTAAAGGAGATTTGTTTCTAAACACATTATACATGTCAGAAAGTAATCACTAAAAACATGTGAAAAGACGACAAACTATGTAGTACAGAATTGCAGAGTTAGACCGTTAAACTATAATAACCCTTTATAGGGCACTCATTGAAGTACTTGGAAATGTAAAATTTCAACCCTAGAGTGTTATTGGAGGATATAAGAGGACATTTTTTCTTTTTTGACTTTTTAAAAAGGTTTTAGATTTAGGCTTCAAATCAAACTCAAAGCAGTTATGATTCCGTGCCCACCAAGGGTATAAAAAAATCAAAACAATATCTGAATAAATGACTGCAAAATACACATATAAAGATGAAGGAACATCTATTTCCAAAATCTATTACCAGTCAGACTTATGGAACTTATGACGCTTTTGTCAGATTATCACTCGTGACTGGTCAGAGGCCATAGTGACGGTGTTGTGATGTAGCCTGACCCTCACTGATTGGCTGGATGAAATCATGTGATTCTGCCCCCTGCCATTTTTAAAGTTACTCTATATGTTTCCTTGCCCGATAAACTCTCCTGTAGTTTGTGTTTTGTCCTCTTTGCAGGTATCTCTGGCTGCAGAGTTACACTATGATTGTTCGATCTCGCGCCCTCTATCCTCACCCCAACCAGTCGAGGCAGATGGCCGCCCTCCCTGAGCCTGGTTCTGCTCGAGGTTTTCATCCTGTTATAGAGGAGATTTTTCCTCCCCTTTTTCTTTCCTTTTTCTTTGTTCGGTTTCTCTCTGTAAAACAGTTTTGTAAGGTCTTTAACTTCCAATGTTAAGTGCCTTGATGACTCATGTTGTATAAAGGAAACCCACTGAATTGAACAGTTTTTCATAATTTTCGTGCTCATTCAAATTTGTCCGGGTGGTTAATAACAGTTTTCTGTGGCGTGACAAACTCAGAACACATATTTATCGCTACAGTTCTTCTGGTCAGATTTAAAAAAAAAAAAAAAAAGTGCAGAAAGCCAGGCGAAACATACAGGCAGTTTACACAACCCTGACAAATTTTCAAAACATCATGTCACCACTCGTGTCACTAAAAGCTTTGTTGTTCCAGTGCTTTGAGAGGGTCATCATCCCCGCAGTAATCGTCGCCGCAGCCTTTCTTTTCTACTGCGAGGCGCTCATCATTTAACGTGTTTGATGTTTTGGTCGTTGCTCTCGTAGGGCGAGCGGTGGAGCGAGGTGATTTGTCATACTGGCCATTGAAATGTCAGCGGGAGACTTCGTCTGCCCTTGTTGGACACATGGATGGAAGATGCGACTTCAAAGAATCTCACAGCGAGAGAGTTGGATCGAAATTGCTACAACCTGGTGAGCAGTATGTCAAGACTTTTTTTTTTTTTTTGACAGATCAATAAGTCAAGCTGACTGATTGGCAAACATTCACATCCGTGTCCCTCTCTCTTAAGCTTGTGTGCAGAGTGTTAGATTGTACCGGAAAAGTCTTTGTTTCATCTTTTCTGACTTGTGGATGAATTGAATAGTTGACTAATAGAATAATATTCTGCAGCCTCCCAGTCACATACAAGAACTGATACTTAGTTCTTCTCCATAAAACTTTAAACGAGAGGGTATGGTAATTCTTTGCTTTATATTTCTGTATACCAATCTGAAAGAAACAAGAAGGCATTCAAATAATAGCTATTTTACATTTTAATACATTTTCAGTCAGCAATACAATCCAGTGAGAAAATATTTGACTTTACGTCACATTTGTAGCTCTTTAGAGCATGAGGCCTGAGCTTTATTATTTTACACCTTTTGTTTTTAATTTAAGAATCACTTTTGCAACCCCGAAAAACCAAAAGAGCTTCCTTTAGAGCTTGTTTTCTCACGATAATATGCTGGGAATCTCTGCCAAGATGACAAACTATGTTCCCATCACAATGAAAATGAGTAAAATAATCATACGCTGTCGGGCTCACCTCGTTGCCGTACATCATGAGGTGGTGTGTGGTGATGAGCGCTTTGAAAACCACAATCCAGCTGTTGCTAGCCGTGCGCTCCAGCAGTGTGTCTGCCAGGTGGGGGATGCTGACATTCAGCTCATTGGTGCAGTGGATCAGGTCTAAAGGACACAAAAAACAACATGAAACAAAATGAACAGCAGAAAAAATATCACAGAGGTTTAGGTTTGCAGATTTGTGTCCGTAAATACCATCTGAACACTTTTTTTTGCAGTGTTACTATGAATAAAAGCAGCAGCCACACAATGCCAAAATACTAATTTACATCCTTGGAGAGCTCACAATTTTAGTTATTCCGAATCGATGAAATGAGCGGACGGCCAGGATGATTGAAGTCATATCGACCTGCGCATTAATTTTGACTGACTCGATAACAGCACACAAATCTATGAACAAATGATTGTTTAATGACGGAGACGTGTATAGACAGATGAATCACAACCAAGGCTATTCAGCACTGCTACCTACCTATCCCACCAAATGTCAATACAATATCAACACCAGAAGATGGAAGGGTGCAAAACAAGGTCAATTCGATTCCAGCACAATCAACTTAAGGGACACATATTTCAAAAAACACTGTCAAATGAATAGACTGAGGATGAATAATGAATCTGAGTTTTCTTCCACAGCATGTTTGTTAGTAGTGATGGGCTAAAACTGAGATGACCCCCCAACGTTTATCCTCTGAGAGTCGCATCTAGAGTGCAAATTGCCTCTTCAAAGCAAATGTGGAACACATTTCAAAAGGAAAATAGCTCAGTGTTGTGCTGTGAGTCGGATTCAAAGGTCTGACAAATGGTGGGCTGATGTGTTTGTGTGTGTGTATTTAAATGAAATGCTGACAAGTTAGCACAGAAAAAGGATTTTTTTTCCCAAAAAAAGTAAAAAAAAATAAGTGTTTGGTCTTATATTTACCACAAAAAGAATGACATGAAATAGAGATGGATTCAGAATTCTGCAGCAAACACACAACTAGGGCAGATTGTAGGAACATTGCTCTAAATTCTTTAGGGATTTTGCCTAAAGATCAAAATGTGAAGTATGTATGGCATCTGTTTAATCGCAAAGACTTACCGACGCCTAGCAAAACCACACAAACACGCTCCTTCTTATGTGCCCTGTTACATTCAGTTCCCTGTAAACTGCAAAGACTGCCAAACCATAAATGTGATTCCAAAATGTTCAGTTACTGTAAAGAAAATGTCTTCACTGACTAAGCTCGACCTTGGGCATTTTACAGTAAATCCCTAATCATAAATGGAGTATTGTGAACTTAAGGTATAAATGTTCCATGAAATCTCTTCAGTGACATTTATCAGCAAGTTAAAGATCTTTTCAAGGATAAAGTGTTCAAATTATTTAAGATTAATTCATCCAATATCCATTAAAAGCTGTCAAAACTGAAACTGTGCAGACATTTTTAAACCCAGCTTGTAACAGGATCTTAGATAAAACTGGTAAAAACAACACACACTATCTCTCAAATTGAAAAATTAAAAGTCTAGATGAGAAGCAGGCGATAAAGAAATGCACATCAGTAACAGATAATCATAATGACAGGAGCTATAATGAAAAGGTCGTGGTGCTGCAGGTGAAACCACAGTGGGACTGAGAGGATTGAGCTCGGAGTCAAAGACAGACGAGAGGAAACTTCAAGCGGTGTGGCTTCTGAGGTAAATCCTCGGCCCATTTCTTTCACAGGATCAGAGGTTATCGGGGTTTATTTGAAAACCACTGTGATGATTTCTGTGCCCACTGAAACACTGGATACCAAAGAGTCACGGTTTGGTTAAATGTTTAACGCATGTCAAAGTCGGTCGGAGCACCAGCAACTCACCGCAGCTAATGTTTCAATCCTCAGCTTGACTTTATTTCTTTTTTTTAAATTATTGTTATTGTTATTATTGAATATGAAAGCCTTAGCAGGAGTAACGCAGTCAATACTAAGTGTAACAATATTGATTGTAGTCCGTCGACTCATCCTGCTTTTCCTGCCATGAATCACGAATGCAGTCAGACTCTGCTACATTAATGTCATGACATTTTGTCGCCTGCTTTAGGGCCAAATATTAGTCAAAGGTCTGTGCGCTTCAATATCGGCAAATGGAAAGTGAAATGTGCATAAATAAACCCCAAAAATGATCCTCAAACAAACACATTTTGCATATATACGCATGTACGACAATGGCAACATCCAAATAAATGGTTATAGACTAAGAGTAACGCCATTGCCATTTGTAACCATGCTAATAATTTATAAGTTCAGCCCAGGAAGAGCCTTTCTCCTTAAAATATTGTCTGCCTCCTATCATATGATGAGATTAGGAGTGGTATTTTAAAAAACGAGAAAAGTGTTTGTTAATTCAATACCTAATTTTTCAGTGCCTTTAAGGAACACCCTGGAGAAGTTTTTTGATGGAACTAGAACTTCTTGCTGATGAGTTTTACAGATATAAGCAAAAGCAAGTTGTGGTGATTGTAAGCATGCTGCCATACTTGTAGTTTTTCCCCATTGGTTCGCTCGCACATCAGGGAGCTTTGATGATTAACAAGCAAACCAAGTGGACAGCTGCTAAAAAACAAACAAAAAACCTATTTACTGGCATGAGATGGTGGAGACCAAAAACAGAGCAAACACCTAAACAATAATGTTGTCCATTTACATTAGTGTATAATAAGCAAAAACAAAAGACAAATTCAGGCCAAGAAATTGCAAAAAAAAAAGAAAGAAAAAACCCTCATTTAAATACAATTACATATAAATAATGAGTTTCTTCAGTTGTTCCACACTCTGTCCAGCTCTATGTATTTCTTTGGGCGACAATACATCATCTAAAATTTAATTATCGACATGCGACAGTGCAGAGAGCCAGCGGGATGTGATGAAGTATCGACTGTGTGATTTCCAGCTAGGATTATTGATAAACTACGCTCCAATAATATAGATCAATAACGCAATTAGAAATGAGATTTATGATATCAGTGTGTATAAATGTATACAATTTGATGGCAATGTGGTGCTAGAAAGCTAAATTAAATTCTAGTTTTGATAACATATAGGACCAGTGTCTTAAATATGTGCAACTGAAGGGATTTCTGCTCATAAAAAGAGCTGCTTTAACTTTATTCAACATGTTAATTCAATATGGTAGTCAATATAAAGTGACCTTGGCTTTAGATGAAGTGAATCATTTTCAGAGCATGTAATTGCACAGCAAGAGAAGGTCATTAAAATGGCACAGAGATGTTGGGAGTACGTGCGTGGGAGTATCCATTCATGTACATTACTGTCCTGTCAGGCTGCCTGCGGGCCAGAGCTTCGTCATCCATTGTGTTTTTGTTCGTGTCGTCACTTCTGCGTTTTGTCGCCGTCGTCTTTTTACATAATTTGGCGGAAAGGCCAGAAGCGTGCCATCAGTGGAGCAAGAAAGCAGATCATCACTCTCAACCCAATTTGCTGATTTTGAAACCATCTACAACGCGTCACCATTACAGTCATGACACAAGACCAGAGACGTCACACACCGGATAACTCCACTGACTGTGCTTTGAGTGCAGAAGGTTATTTTTGGGCCTGATTGCTATTCTGCCATCCCATTATTCTGTGTGTCATGCTCATCATTTGCTCTGCCTAGTAAATAATCAGAATCCGCCACTGAAGTCACCAACTACACTGACAAGGTCATGACACTGTGAATTTAAAAAAAGAAACCTGGATTTGGTCACTCCTTCAGTGACCAGCAGTGGATTTGATTGATTTTACATTGCATTGTAAAAAATGCTAACTGTTATACATCTTTTCTTTATGCTTTGCCTGCTAAGAATGGAACAATAGCATGTTGAGTATGTTTAAAAAGTTAAACGTGGAATTTATTTATCCAGTCTCTCAGGTTAGATCATCGGATTCAAAATCAGTGTCGAGGTTTCTGATCTAAAGAGATAGAGGGAAGTTGGATTAGTTCTAAGGCTGAACTTTACATCCCACTGATGGATAACTTGAACTTGACTAATTAGCATATTTAGAAATGTTATTTTTTATTTTGAACAAAGTGTCCTTAATCCTGGAACAAAACCATGAAGCTACAGTTTCACTTTAGCTCTGGTTTTCTTTTGCCTCCTTGCTGGCATCAACCGTGCCCGAAGGCATTGTGTTTTTCAGTTTTGCCCATAAGCACATATGTACGTTCAACATCGCACAAACAGGTGTGTGGAGAGTCTGAAACATCCACTTGTTCTGCATGATGAACTGATTTCAAATTGGTGGGCAAAGGTCAAAGGTCACTGTGACCTTACAAAATATGATTTTGGCCATAACTCAAATATTTTTGCAGTAATTATGACAAAACTTCACACAAACATCAAACAGGGTAAAATGATGAAGTGATGGCATTTTATGTCCTAAAGGTCAAAGGTCACCTTCACTGCTTCATGTTGTTCTGCAAAGTTCTAGTCATTATTCAAAGCCACAGCACTGTCGTCCACCTACCTCATTTATAGAAGGTGTCAAAACTCTGTAGTTATTATTGATTAGTTGTCTTTTGCACTAAACTTTGGTTCACTTTCATTTCGCACGAAGTGCTGGTTCACTTTTTACACCTATCTATGGTTGTACACAGCGGTTAAACACTCCTTCTGTGAACTGTTGCACTTGCTTGAATGCTTGTAATTTAATTTGTGAAAGGACTTTGAGAGCAAAGAAGTGAAATTCCTAGTAGGTGTTCACATACGTGGCCGATTTAGCCGATTCTGATTCTAACCGTAACTCAGGATCAGAGGGTAAGATTGTGACCTTCTTTCACATTTGGTCAGATACTGACTTTGGGACACTAACCTATGTGTACACCTTCAAACTATAGTGATTGTATAGATCTTCTGTGCTAGTTGAAAATGCGTGTGAAGCATCCACACTTTAGAATTTCCACCTTCTATATTTGAAGCGCTGTCGACTCTCGTGGCTACAACTTCTATCAGACACAGCTTTACTGCTCAAACATGTGTTCACATACGAGCAATGTGACTCTTTGTTCTCTTCATAAACTTCCACACCTCCAAATTTTCACTGCATATATTATATGAGTCTGAACAGACATGGATGTAAACTGCAACTTGACTGGTTGGCGATGGGATTCAACCACAAGGTGATAATTCTAGCACCATTTTCTGGTGTCACTCCTGCTGAGGGCTTTTATAACCGCTCCATTATCGAAAAATATAAGCCAAGTGTCAGTCGCTTTTTAGGACACCTGTTTACGAGCCAAGTTGAAAAGGAAAAAGGCTCTCAAATGCAGTGATGGTAGCACAAAGACAGCATGGGTTTCACACATCTGACATCACAGACCTGAGATCATCTTCTAAAGCTGACTCATCAGAAGCTCCTCCTTGTGTTCATCGCCTTTTTCTTTGCATTCTTTACTCACTTCCCATCTAAGCTCCCCTCAGCCAGTCGAGGGATTAGACCCACTGACCTCCTGATCACTTCCTTCCTGCATCCTTCCCTAACCCTAAAAGTGCACCTTATGCACTCAATAAATGCCAGCGAGAGAGAGAGAGAGAGAGAGAGAGAGAGAGTTGTACATTATATCATGCCCTGGATAGAGAAGAGAGGCCCCTGCAGCAGGAAATAGAAAGTATTTTATGGTGAAAGCTAGTTGGGTCTATTAGAACAGCTGCATCTGAATGGCTCAAGTACAAAACACTTATTCAACTAAAATTGTAATCCGGGCTTCCAGGAGGGTGAATCGAGGCAGGCGTAGTTTTTTAGAGGCTTTTATTCCACTAATGATCAGAATAAGAGCTGTATCAGTCCAAAAAAAAAAATAAACTCATATAATCACCTCGAACAGAATAAACTGACCTGCTCTGAGAGAAACTTCTTTGTCCTTGAGAGTGGGGGTATAAACCGTTTTATAATCCATCTGACAGATGGAAATTTGTCATGTAAATGCTCCAGTTCTATTTTCAGCATATCTGCTCTCACCCTTGAGTTAAGTGACATTTACAAGTTTCTGAGATACTCCCACTGGTGGCGGGTGCTGAAGGTGGACGACCTTCTGCCATTTAATATCTGCAGGGTGTACAATGTTCTTATAAAAATCAAGGCCTCTGTGGCAAGCACAATAACAAACCAATCACGGTGGCAATCACTTAATGCACTTTATCTGATTATTTTTAGCACTTGTGGCAACGCTTTATTCGGAAACACCCTGTCTGCTTGATTTTCTTTAGAAAATATTACAATCGGTGTACAGCAGAAATCCCTCGAGTTTCCAACTGCACCACCCAAAATGTAAAACATCAGCCTCACACCACTGAAAACCCAAATAATCAACTTTTGTCAACATCGAGATAAGACTAATGTGAAATCAAAGCAGCGGTAATTACTCAACGGTGCCATTCAACAGTCACAAAAGGCCTCACAAACTTGCCTGTGAACCAAACAGGGCCCGCTGGGTGTTTTCTGCGTTTGTGGCCTTTTTAGCGGGGCAAAGCAACACAACCCCCTATTTAGATGTATTATGTCGAAGTGCCCGGTGGCAGATCTTGTGAAGGGAGCCCAGAATTCCCAGTGTCACCTCTGCTGTGGACACGACTGACTAATCCACTGCCAAACTTGCCGGCTGACTGGCTGGGTGTGTGGCTGGATGACTGACTCTCATTCTGTTTTGGCACTTTGCCTTGTGGTTTCTCTCAGACTGATTTATCCACATTTCCCTCCCTCCCTCCCACCCACCCACCCACACTTTCTGAATTAGCCATCTTGCTATTTGCCCGTCTGTCTGTCTGTCTGTCTGTCTGTCTGTCTGTCTGTCTGTCTGGATGGACTGCCCGTGAGTCTGACTGGCAGCAAGCATTGATTAGCTGTGCTCTCTATTGATCATGTCAAGTAATTATAGTGAGGCAGAAAAGCCACCTAACCTAACAACAACCTAATAATCACTGCATGTGAGGAATCATCTTTCTCCTCCACCTTGTGTTATGCTGCATAGGTAGTGGAAGCAGAATGTGCACTGACACCGGGATTGTAACACCCACCGGTGTGACTCCCTGCTCCTCCAGCAGCACCTTCAGGATGGACACATCCGTTAATGAGAACGCATCAGAGGACATGACAGTGAACTTGGATGAGGAATCGTAGAAATGAGGAGGGGGGGGAGAAGAAAAAAAAAAAACCTTGGTGATGCTGCACAATAATGCACATTCTGTACTGAAGTGTCTCCAGGGGTTATAGTGCTGCTGCCTCTGCTGCCTCTGCTGCTGCTGCTGGTGATAGTGGCGTTAATAATGGATAGGCCTACACTGTATAAAGCGGCTGGTTGCAATATGATTAGCCCATGCCAGAGTGGCCTATTTCCCCTGAATGACATGCACAGATAGTGCCTGGCTGTTTGCCCCCACCTCCCTTCCTTCTCCATCCCCTCCTCTCTCGCCCTTATATTAAAATTTACTGCTTGCAGTAATGGTCAGACGCATTGTAGTGCATGCTCTTGCTGCGTAAATCACATTTTAATCTAAGGCAATGTAATGGAGCCTAATTAAAGAGGTTGGATGAGAAGGTGGTGGTGGTGGTGGAGGTGGTGAAGACAGGAGGAGGGGGGGCAAGGAATAATAGATGCTGTTTATACAAGCTACCCTTTGTGAGGAAACATGCATGCAGGCTATTCTGTACAGTAAGCAGTGATGGTATGCTTAACCTACAGTCAAGGTGCTTCTTCTTGGGTCCGCTGACTTCGTGCGTCGTGGCCTTGCAGACGGCTTTGCTGATGGCAGACCCGGTCATGCTGTGCTGCGCGGCGGCGATCCGGTCCGTCAAAGACTGTCCCGACATGTTACGGAGGAGGAGGAGGCGGATGGTGGCGGCGGCGGTGGTGGTGGTGGTGGTGGTGGTGATGATGAGGAGGATGAGGAGGAGGCAGGCGGAGTGATGGTCGAGTCCGGGTTAGCAGGGGGGGAGCCGCGGAGGACGATCAAAATGTCTTTAGCGGCGGGGAGGAGGAGGAGGAGGAGGAGGAGGAGGGTAGTGCCCTCTGTGAGAATCGGCCGGAGGAGGAGGTGGTGGTGGTGGTGGTGGTGGAGGAGGAGGAGGTGGAGGACAGCAGAGTACACCGACGAGGATCCGGTGGGAGAATTCATGCGGCGGCCAAATGCAACATAAGACGCTCACATCCAGGTGGAAAATTCAGGCCAGCTGTAGGGACGGATGGAGAGCCGTGCGTAAAAAGGAGGGAAAAAAAAAAAAAAAAAGAAGGAAAAAATCTGTCAGATCGGCCTGCATCCAACGCTGGTTATTAATAATAAGACAGTGCGCTATAGTTGTATCCCTGAAATAGATGCCGCTGAAGGGTGAGATGCCGGCGGGGTGCGTCTGAACGAGGGCTGAATCCGAAATAGCGTCAATAATCGAAAGCGCGCCGGTGATGATTGTTAAATCTATGCGGCATCCCCCTTATGGCTGAAGACTCATCTCTCAATATAAAAACAGCATTGTCCTTTTCCAACCTTTTTTCCCCCCTCTTCTTCTTCTTCTTCTTCACCCGGTTTTTCTCCTGTGAATCTACGCAGAGATCCGAGCGCAAACGCCTCCTCTGATCCACACAGCACCCCGCGCTGGCTGCATCTAAACCTCAGCCGCTTTGATTTTTATCCTCAGTCTTTTTTAATCTTCTTACAAAAGGGTGTATTTCTCTTGCTGAGGTTGCGGATAGGCCAGTTCCGTTTTTTTTCTCCCCTTCTTTTTTTTTTTTTTTTTGTCAGTCAGTCAAACTTGTGTGTAAAATGGCAGTACATGAATCAGGTGACTGGGAAAGGAGGGCGATTGGGCCACTTCTCGGGTCCGGGGGAGGGCATCTTAAAGCAGAAGGCTGCCCCCGAGTTTCTCAAAGGCATCAGCTGGTTCGTCACCTTGGTGCATATATGTGGATGTGCTCGAGCGTGTGATGTGCGAACACTTCCCTGATTATCTGCCGCCCAATGAAATGTGGACACATAGGGAGGAAAATCCATGATGGTAACAACACGAGATGTTTCATTTGTGTGATGCTTAACTAGGAGTCCCAGTGATCCTTCGTGGTTCGGTCCATTTTATGGGTTTACAGTGTGATCTGATGAAATCAGAGTGTAGCACCTCAGTGTGGGCTTGACCCCACAGTTTATAAAGATAACTTGTGGTTGAAAACCCTATAAAACAGTGACAATCCACACATTTCTTGTGTAATGATTTCCCAGGAGTTTGATCCGTGTAAATCCAACAATATTCCCATTATGTGTCTTATGATATTCCATGTTAGATATGGGATCATGAGGTTCCTACAGGTCACAGGACAATGTTCTGATAAAGTTAAACCTAGAAATGCCCAACAAAATTGAAAGTTTTATGAAATTCTATCCATTATTTTTAACATATAATGGAGAACGTTTTTCTTGTTCCACCACACAACATCTCTACAACATAACGAAAACAGCAAAATCATACTGTGCAGATGGAGAAGAGGTGTCATGGCTCTTCCTGAAGGGCTTGGTGAAGTTGGCAGACATTTTTAGTTCACTAGATCACGTTGACAGACATCCAGAGCATCACAGATCATCTGTCCTACTGTCCAGTCTGAAACGGTTTCTTAGATGACAAACGGTTGCATTGTGGACGTTCAAGCGTCCTAACTGGCAAGCCAGCATCCAGCCTATTCTGTTTTGTCTCTTGTTACCTGTGGCATCCTATCATTTGAATAAGTTTGCATTTTAAGGTGGACTTTTACAGTGACTGGTCAAAGGATTGTCCATCTACTGGTCACATCAGCCGATTAGTGTTCTTTGAAGCCACAATCAAACTCAATGGTAGAAAATGTGTCGCCAGTTGAACAGCTCGAAAGCTTTTTATGCACAATTTGGTGAATTTAACCCTTTTCTAAACATGGCAATAGAAGTGAGATTTTTAACTTTTCCTCTAAGTCGGAAAAGAACGCAATTTGCATTCTGCATTTTTATTTTTGTTCAGTGTACTTAGAGACACTTCCTGGGTAACTATATTACTCAGAAAGCATTTGACAACATCCTCTTGAACCTCAAAAAACATTCACGCAGCTAAAAAATGATTTTAACATTGACTTCTGCACCAGCTGTGACACTAAATGGCATCTTTATTTGATTTTTTTGTCACACATAGTCAAGTGAAAAATGAAAGGAAAAACCAACATAAACTGTCATCGTAAGGTGTTGGGCCTCTACATGCTGCCAGACAAGTTTCGTTGGCATTGATTTTCCAAGTCTGTGAGAGTCTACTGAAGGGATATTTGATCTGTTTCTGATTTATCTAAAATATCAATCCAAAATCTACCATAGATGCTTAACTGTGTTGTGATCTGGTGACTATGAAGACCATAGCATGTATCATTCATGTTTCATTGTAGGATAAAGGTGATCACTCAGAGCAACTTTGTGTTGATTTGCAGTAACTCTTCCTTCTAAGGGGACAAGTGGAGCCAAACAACAGCTGCAAAATGCCCCTAACAACACAACAGAGCCACCAGATAACCCTCAATGTGGGATTTGAGTTTTCCTTTCAATTGTATGTGCAATATCAATCAGGAGGAGGAAAGCTGCTCCCACATTAGGATATATTGCTCTCTAGCTCTGCAAGTAGTTATTTTTATTATTCCCTAATCTGCTAATTACTTTCTCAGTTAACTGTTCTGTCTATAAAATGCGCAAAATGCAAAAAACATGTCCATCGCCGTCTCCTAGAAGGTGAAGTCTACAGATCTCTGGCGTATATTCAGTTTGACATAAAACAGAGAAAAGCAGTAAATCCTCACAAGAGCGAAGCCACAAATAATACAGGATTAGTCTATTCTAAAAATAGCGGCACATTAATTGATTATTTGTTTGAAGGAAAAACGTGTCTCTCTGTATGACACGTCTGTGGATTAATGCAAAGATCCTGGATGAACATTGCAGAAAACATACGGCACATTACACGGCACCGCGAATACATTATTTATTGCATGTACAGTCTGGTCCTCGGAGAAAGCGCTCACAAATGTGTTGCCGTACAAGGCCGAGTTATTACACATCAAAGGGGGGGGGGGTGAAGTAAAATATAAAGCCTAATTTGAAAACATGGAATTTCAAATAACACTCGAGGCGGACTCAACAAAAGCAGGCCGCGCTGTCGTTGCCGTGCAGAAAAAGAGCAGCACATGCCATGTTTTTGACTGGCAAGAAATTGATTTTAGGGTTGAAGAAAATGCCTCACGTCAACAATGGAGCCAACAGTTTGACAGTGAGTCGGCTTTGAATGAGAGTTATTTATATCCGGAGTAAAATATCCACCTTTTGAGGATGTTCACGTTTACTTTCGAAAGGAAATGTCAGTTATTACACACTGCATACTGTTAAAGTGGATACCGTGAAAAGACAGGAGGAACCAGAGCTGTCTAAACTGGTTTGCGTTTTTACTGCTGTTCCTAATTAAAGAAATCCTCAATCCAGTAATAGCCTTTAGGTTTGATCAACTAATTGAATGGTCTGTTTAATGGACATATCTGCTAAACAGCCTCTCCTCCATTATCGCCACAGCATTTATGTTTATTTCTGACTGCAAAAGGAGGCCTGTGTGCTTTTCTCAGCAGCATGCGAGAACAGATTTCCCACTCCATCAATTCAAGATGCAGCGTGAAAGAAAATATTTTTACATGCTACCATGTGAATACGCAGGATGTAACCTTCAGATGCCACACATCAGTGTTGCCCACATCTCAGCGCTGTTCCACTGTATCAAACCTTTAGAGATTATACATTTGCTCATTTTATAACCTGTTCATTTCTTGGGGTACCAGATAAACCTCCTCAGTGTATCTGAACATCATCCTCCAGTTTAAGACAGTTAAAGACATGAATGTGTGGAACTGCTTAGTTAAATCTGAGCCACACTCCAGTGTGTGGACTGTGTGCATAGAGACACTGTCTTGCAATTGTAGGTTTAAGTTTGGGTTCAAATTCTCACAATTTGCCACATAAAAAAAAGAGTTCCTGCCCAAAACTCTGAACATTTCTTTGTAAGCACTGGCTGTAGCTGTATTTCTAACAGCCACAAATGATTAAACACTGATAAAAATGCACAACAGGCTTCTGATGGCTTAATACAGGAGAATATATGAAGATGGGCTGACAAAATAATATGAGGAAGATTAATGCTTTTATGTGTGTGTTCCCAGTTCAGGCAAAAATGAAAAAGTTTGGTTTGTTTATTTTTTTCTCAGATAATATGCAAGAAAAAACACAACCGGGAGCTGTTATTTCAGCCAAATGTCAAAGTCACAATGTCAGATATATTCAAAGCAAGTAGGTGAAGGTAGTATACTGTATGTGCAAACATTTCTTGTACAAATGTTATTTTTGGATGTTTTCATTTATATATAAGACATTTTTAATACCTCTAAAGGCAAAAAATATATTACTTTTGACTTTCTGTGCTGAAAAGGATGAAATAAACAAACAGCTTTCTCCATAATTGCGAAATAAAATATCTATAGCTTAAAAAAAGGTTGACGTATCCGTTTGATACAGATCACATTTAATGTCTAATGATCTTTCTACAACTTTTAACTATTTAGAACATTTTCAAAAGTTAAGTTAAGACTTTTTAAGAATCTGTTTAAAATTTCATTCTCTTGTGTGCCAGATGTTGACCTCCCGTATGAGCACTGCAGATCTACATGTTTTACTTTAACTGTTTTGCTTGCTTTAACTGTACTCTGGCAAAACAATTTCCTTCGGGATGAATAAAGTTTATCTTTATCTTTATCTTTATCTTTATATTTTTCTTCACTGATCGCTGTGAGCTGAGATTTCTTTACAGACAGTCCCTGGGCCAAACGTTTCTCTGTGACCGTGGCCTCACTGCTGCTCACTTCCCAACTGGTCAGAAGTCACCACTTCACGCATGACGAACAATTGAAATGATCCTTTGTGGTGTTGGTGTAACCAGACAGAACGAGGGAGCCGGGTTCCCGCTCTATGCCTGGGTTCTCCTCGTTGCTCAGGATGTGCTCCACCAAGCAGCGCGCCGCCTCCTCGATGTTTGTGTTCTCCTGAGGGTGAGACAAGAAGAAAACGCAAAGAAGTTATTTTATAGCTGCTCTCGTGGTTCTGCTCTACAGATGGCAATACTGGTCAGTGAGTCTACCATTTGGATTCATTTTTTCTTTTATATCTTATCAACATTTTAATGGATTGCCATTAAATTCTGACTTTGAATCTAATAAAAAATACCTTATGTTAAGCTTCTGAACCCTAAAACTGAACAGCAGGTTTGAAAGGCATGTTATCTTTTAAAGGTCACCAAAATTATACCACTCATCAGAAACTGTAAACACAAAAACAATTGTTAGCTTTTTTAATGTTTTTTTTTTTTCCACTAACCATGTGTGATGTGCAGTTTTGTCAGGACCATGAACTAAATCCAAGCTTAAACTTGGGATATTTAATCATCCATCCATCCATTATCTATACACCGCTTAATCCTCACTAGGGTCGCGGGGGGGCTGGAGCCTATCCCAGCTGACTCAGGGCAGCCCCAATATTGAATCAAAATCACTTCATTTTGCATGTCACAATAGCATTTTTTTAAAAACCAAAAACACCACAATTGGAATAAACACATTGTGTAAAAAACTAAAAATTCTGTGGTCCGAGTCGCAACTGTTTAAGTCATTAGTCACTCAGCTGTGACCAACAGTCATGTGACAAAAATTCTGACTTTTCAGCAGAAATGGATTCAACTGCAGGCTGTGTTTACACAGAGAAGATTAAAGACATCCCTGAAAACTAATTAACAAGCTTAAGTAATTAATTACCTTTAGTATTCAGAGCTACCATTCCCCCCCAGTACTGGAAACATCTATGGACACTTGAACAAATGCTTTACGTACATTTTTTGTCATTTTTTGTCATTTTTTGTCAAATATATAATCAAAGAAGTTCAATTTTACTTTCATCTTCAGCACAAAAGACATTTTTGAAGTTCTTTCTAGTTTTAGCCATGGTGGTGCTGTTTCCATAGAGGAGCAGGACTTTATATTGTAGTGAAAAACAAGCCAAAAACATCCAGAAGCTGCTTGAATGCTCAGAGTTTTAAGTCCAAGCTTTCCATGTTGACACTAAACACATGTCACACCGTCTGTCAGAAACTCCCCGCATCTCTTTTTATGCCGACCTGTCTGCTGAGCCACCGTGCTCACTTTCAACTACACAGCTGTATCTGACTTACACTCTGGTGTGTAACTCATTAGACAGGGCAGAAGTCAGAAGTCTAATTCACACCAGACTGCTGGCATTCCTCCATTTGTCTCTTCAGAACAGAGCAAATAAAGGTCTCCGGCTTGTAGCGGCTACAGTGAAACACCCTGCAGAAATTTTCAGAATCATTTGGTTTAATGGTGGGCCTCTATTCTAATAACTCGGCTACTGTTTTACTCCCCCTCAAATAATGTAGTTAATCTGAATGTAAGAAATGATGTTTGGAACAGATAAGTGAACTGTTTAAGTATTCTAGCCTCAAGTCCGTCCCGTTTATGACACAGAACTGCTCGTTTTATTTGGGGTTTAATCAGAAAAGGCCCTTAACCTTTAATGACTCTGGCCCACATTTGCACACAAATCACTGGTACATTAAATGATCTGTGGAGAACATTTTAGAAAGCTGCAGTGATCGCCTCCAGAGACACGTCTCCTCTCGTGTACCTTTGCAGAGGTCTCAAACCAGCCGACGAAGCCGTTCTCCCTGCAGAAGGAGTCGAGTTTGGGCTGCTGGGAAGAGAGTTGGTCTGACTTGTTGGCCAAGAGTACAGTTGGAACTGGCTTCCCGTGGTTCAGGGTCACCTTAGGTAAGAAGAAAGTCGGGTTACATGATGGTAGAATCACATATCTACAGTCGAGGGCAAATTTAACCATATAGAAACTGATTGCAAAAATACCTTGTCTTTAAACATGTACAGACACTGTCAATTTCTAATGTATGTCTGATTGTTTTCAGACTGTTCCTTTAAATGCCAAGTTTCTTTTCTTGGATATTGTTTTAGTTTTTTTAAGCCACAGGCTCCGGCATGCTTGTAGCTGCTGCAGGTTACTCCATCTCCATTGTTGTATTTGCTTCCCATTTCAGCTCTGACAATCCAGTCATTGCTGATATTCCAGTGAGGAATTATTGCCACCAAAAGGAGATTTAAAACTGTGGTATACTGCAAAATATAGGGAGCTTTGTCTGCTGTTGATTGTCTTAATCAGTACTGCATGAACTTATTTTTGAAAGACTTGGATGTAACAGATGTTAACTTATATGTAAAGTCTTACACTCTGGCTTTAACATCTAAACATAAAGGTGTCAATATGCTCAAGAAGAACTAGTTCTAGATCACACAGAGAAAGGTGAAACACAATGGGGACCATAGTTTCAGACACATTTTGTTCATTAAATTCTTCTTTCATTCAGGTGTGCACTTTACAGTTGCATAAGTAATAGTTTTGGAGAGCTAAATCTGCAGTAACGGATTATTTTCACAGTCAGATCAAGTTGTGAGGATAAAATTGACATATCATTGGCTTTTTTTTTTTTTTTTTTTTTTTTGCTGAACCAAACCAAAAACGACAAGTTTGCAGGATGGCTGACTAAACAAACTGAAACACAGCTGCTCCTCACAACTGCTTTAAGGGCTCGGTATGTGTAAGAAACAAGACCAACATCTAAAACCCCTTCCCCTAATGTCTTCTGAATGTTTTTTTAAAACCAACACGCTGATGATCACCCTCACTTTATGAAGCAACCTGCAGAAAATAAACAGCATTTGAACTTCCCTCATAGTTACTGTGGTTACTTAGTAATTCTGCCATTGCTTGTACATACATGTGCTGCAGCGTGCATTCCTGGAAAGAGTTCCTGAGAGTGCATGGCACTAATCCAGTTTGAACAATTAGCACATCTTGTCCCTCTTCATGACTTTTTTTAAAACTGCATGTTATGCAAACATCTCTGTTTTAAGCATATGGACACCTTTGCTGAAACTGTAAGCCTCCCTAGATCCAGTGTCAGAGATGTTTGGTGTTAGAGGAGCTCAGAAAACTTTGACAATCAGACAAATAGCATATAACAGACACTTTAAGACGTTTCAAACTGTGAGAACTCTTGCACACCGAAAGTTTCTCGTACACAAGAGAGTAAGAGGTCCAACAGGCTGTACACATTTAGCCAATCAGAAGGCAAATCCCACTATAAAAAAAAGGATATTTAATCTATAATAAGCAGCAACTTCACCGATATACGCCCTAAAAATAAATAAAGTTAAAGCCAATCTATCAAAAATCATCTCTTCCATAATGGCAATATTGATAAGATTAGAAATATGCTGGATCTCAGAGTAGCACCATCAGTTTTCTCCCCATGAATATCAATCTAAAGGTGCAGCAGGTTAGAATAACACAGAATCACTGCGTTTGCGTTCAATATTGATGATGGGATGTGCTTTCTAATTCTTGCTTCCCGTGAAGCCAGGTTCACAAAGACATTTCAGGCTGGGACACAGGTGAAAATGTACTCTTACAGGAGTTTAAAGATAAAGACTGACTTATTTTCAGGCTAAAAAGTTTGCCTCTGACCCCAGACTAACTTAGATCGAAGAGCTGCGTGTCAGCAGTAAAACTCTGCAGCCCCAACGGATGAAAACAGAGCTCATAAATTGTGATTTTCTGAGAATACTGTAGAATGGAAATTGACTGCAGTCGCATTCTTTCAAAATTAGGGACTTTTTGATTTGTTACATACTTTGATAAACCCTGTTTGTATGAAGTCCTCATAACAAGGAGGCTTTAGTTTCCTACTGGAGCTGATGTTTGTAGTTAAAATCTTCATTTATCCTGTTCTGCTTTAGTCGAAGGCGAAACAACTTTGTACAACAGTTAAATTTGGATGAATTTAGAGTATTGGTTTGATCTGAGCCACTATCAGGGTTTATTTTTGTGAAATTGGTCCTTTATTGGCCTCAACTGACAAAGTGTTGGCTGTTATTTGTCTGGCTTGTTCTCTGTCTGTCCTTTTAACCTGATGAGGACTGAAAATCTGTATTTCCAATCAAGTTTAGCGCAAGTAAAAGGTCTTCTTTTGCCTTAAGAAGTTCTAATGTACCACCCAATGAAGCATCATTTCGTCTTATGCCTCCTTAGTAACAACTGTACTTAATTGTTGAACACTAAAATGATTTTTTTGCTTTCTCCATGAAGCCCTGGTCTTCAGATCTGCCAACACATAATTATTCCATAAACAGCTGTTAGTTGTACAATGAAAACAATTTTTCATCCTTTTCTGCAGCGTTGACACAATTCATGCTGGTGTGTGGTTGGACCTGTGCAGGTATGGTGGGAAGTTTCCATCTTTGATAAGGCTTAATGACAGAGTGTAAAGAAAGGCCTCAGTTTGTGCTTCTGATGTGGTTCAGCTGCACTCGTCTGACCTTCGAGTCCAGGTCGTCCTTCCACTTGAGCACGGCATCGAACGTGGAGGCCCTTGTCACGTCAAACACCACCAGAGCCCCGACCGCCTCCCGGTAGTAGACACGAGTCATGTTCCCATAGCGCTCCTGTCCTGGGACGCAAGGACAGCCATCAGACACACACATACATGCTGCTGTAAAGTCCAGAAAATCTAATCAACTCAGCAGCACGCTTCATTAGTGACAAATACAACTGTGTGTGTGTGTGTGTGTGTGTGTGTGTGTGTATTTTCTACAGTAGCTGCCATCATGTGACTGATATTATGAGCATGGGATCACTTGAGTCACAGCCAGGCACAAGATCTACATTCCTCGACCAGGCATTAAATGACAGGGAGGGACCCAGGCATGCAGTGGACAGACACACACTGGCTCACTGGGAGGAAATCTGTCCGTATCAAGTCTTTAAAAAAAAAAATTCTTATGACCTACCAGTGAGTTGTTGGAGCTAAAAAAAAAAAAAAAAAAAGATCCCTCAGTAGTGATATTTTTTATTTTCCAGTGCAGCAAGATGTTTTGTTTTGTTAAAGTGCAAGAATATATATTAAAATATAATAATAAAAAAAGACTTTCAGAAAAAAGTGCTTTATGACATGATGTTTGTGTCTCATTTTGAAATCTGCTTTCAAAAATCAATGTACAAATCTGATTCCCAGGACACAAAAGGCTTTTGTTTCCAAATAACCCAAAGCTCACACCAACTGTTCCATCAGCTGATGTTTAAGCCTGTACACAGGGATGTATGGTGGGTAAAGTTTGACAGACCTGCTATGTCCCACAGCTGCAGCCGGATCACGGTGTCACTGTCCCACTGCAGCACCTTCAGGGCGAAGTCCACCCCGATGGTGGCTCGGTAGTGCTGGGAGAAGATCTGGTGCACGTACCGCTTGATGATGGACGTTTTTCCGACTCCCAGGTCCCCGATGACCAGCACTTTGAAAAGAAGCTCCTGCTGCATGGCTGCAGCTCTGCAGGAGGGATATAAAAATCCTCAGTAGAAGGAGGAAGACTTTGAGAGGGATGCTGGTGCACAGGTATCACAACAAAATTGGAGCAAAGTGTTGGAGTTGAAATTGTTGTTAGAAGGACATTTCTTCAGGTTAGCGCAGTTTAAAAAAAATAAAATAAATCTAATGGTCCTGTGTCAAGACAGAAGCGGTGACAAGCGCCTGCAGCCACCAGAGTCCAGCCGAGTTATCACACAGGACAGTGTGGATCCGCTTTCTTCTCTCTCAGCTGCAAACTCCAGCTGTTCATAACTGATGGTGCGTTCAGGGGCTCCTCGTAAACATGGGAATCACACTTCTACTGAGGTAAAAGTATGAAATTTTCCCTATTACTACGTATGCTATCAGCAAATTTTAGGTGACTTAAGATAACAAAAGACATGATTTAGAACATAAAACTTTTACTTTAGAAATGCTAATGAAAAAAATACAATTATAACAACAATACAAATAAACAAATGTCAAATTAATGAATAATTAAAAGAAATGCAATGCAACATAAACAAAATAAACCTGACTACAATGCATATTAAGGCTGAGAAACTAGTGTGTTATTAATTGTGGAGATTAACCTAAGTAATGTAATCATTAAGTTGGACACTATGGTATTATAATTTATACAACTTAACCTAATTAATATAAATATTGTGGCCAAAACCCTTCAGTGTTATTGATTTTGGCGATATTTTTGACTAATTTAAAGTTTTGTTTTTTTATTTTAATTATAATAAATCTAAACATTTATATTAATGGTTTTTGTTTGTTTGTTTGTTTTATTTTTGTTTTGTAAGGATCTTGGAACATTCTGTTGCCCAGCTGTTTTTAGATCTTAACCTGACATTTGCTCTATTTTCAAGTTATTTTAGGGTAAAATGAATATGAAGTACGAGACACCTGCTCTGGTTAAAATGTGTTTCTTATGCTACGTCCAATCAATTATCGCCAGTGAATTTCACATAACAGTGTACTTTCTTATTTACAGTCTGTTCATGTTAAAGTACAACATCAAGCTGGATGTTTTTTTGTTTGTTTTTTTCTGTTTTTTTAAGGATTAAATGTTGAATAATAAACAGGATGGAATTTTAGAATTATGGGTTAATCTTGTAAAGTTATCGTAGTAAAGTATCACATCTAGGGGGGAAAAAAACAATATACAGAAATTACAAATATCAAAAACTGAGTAAGCAGAATCTGATTAAAGGATCATATTCGTGTGCGCTCACCTTGTGTTTACAGTATTTTACTCCTACAGTCCGTGAATGCAGCAGCCTGAGGATCGTCGCTGCGCTGCTGTGCGCGCAGTTACGGTAATGGTGCTGATGAGGGCGAGGAGGAGATGTGTGCGCGATGCTGCTGTTGTGTCCTGCTGCCATTTCATCAGCGGATCATCACGGATATATCAACAGTCCTGCTCACATGAAGCAGCGGCTCGCATTTTCACACTCAGCCGTGTGTTTTTTGAAGCCTTTAGTCAGTGATGCTGGACAGGAGGCCTGGTTAATGTGCTGCATGTTGTTGGCGGGTTATTTGTGTGAGCAACAACACAACCGCTGCTAGTCTGGAGGGTCATTTTCAGGAGACACAATCATCGATATGGGGTTTGTTTTTTGCAGGTACTGAGCTCTGAACTTAAGGTAGGTCATCATTTACAGTTTTTTTATTTTATTTTATTTTATTATTTAAAAAAAAAAAAATTCATTCTTGTCCCGGAATGTTCTGCATCAAAGTAAAGCATGTTCATTAGGCTTAGAGGGCTGGGCCTCATGATTCACTTTAATCCTATTATTTATTCCTGGATATCTTGTTATGGGTGTCATTGGAGGCCTTCTCCAAAGCTGCCTCCTATCTGTCATGTTCAGCAGCTATCTCTTCCTTAAGCTTATTTCTGGCTCGCTTCAAGGCCTCGTTGTGTGTTATTGCTGTATAACAACCACTTTACTATCCACATGGGGGCTGACTACGCCACTGTTTATTGAGTTGGAGAGGAGTGGCCACCCCCTCCCTCCTTCCCCTCAAATTAGATCAGCCAACTGTAAATCACATGGACACGGCTGAGATGATTTGAGCCTGTTGTACTCTTGTCATGATGGAAGTCATAATGCAAGAATCATCCATGTGATCAACAGGATCTGTCTGGTAAATGTAATGTTTCATGTGGATGTAAAACTAAGAGTCTATTTGAACAGACAATATTCAGAGGAGAGACTCTGCCGAAGCTTTAAAGGTGTGTTCAGGTTAAAATGTTTTATTTATTGTTGTTTTATTCCCAATTAAAGTCCATCAATTTGAGTGTTAAGTAAGTTTTAGAATTCTACATGATGCAGTCATGTGATTTTCTACATCGATCTCATTTGCTTTTCCAACTTCAGAGATTTCAAATTCTTTCTGAGCGCTTTGCTTCATCAAAGAAACTGCAGGCAAAGGTTGAAATCACATTTTCAATTTTACATAAACCAAAATTCTGCTTACGTGCTACAAAATAGTTGGTCTTGTGGGACAGAGTGCATTCATTTCTTTGCTTAAGTCTCAATTTGCATTGCACCGTGGCAACACTTTGTCCGTTTTTTTTTTTTACCACACTGAGTTCAAATTTGTATTTTAGTTCTGTCATCAAAACACAAAAACCGTGTCAAAACTGGTTAAAACAGTCTGAATATGTAATATGATGCATTCGAACTCAATTCGTCAGGTAATCAACAAAAAATATTCAACTTCTGTTTTGATGAGAAGCTAAATTGTTTCATTAATATGAGGATTTGTTGTGACAATGAGCTCTGCATCTTGATTTGAAGCCCTGATGTGGATGTGAGTGACCAAGTGGGTGATTTTTCTTTGTTGCAGATTTTCTTTCCCTGAGACATGGAGACGATATGGCTCTACCAGTTTCGTCTGATCGTCATCGGAGACTCCACGGTCGGCAAGTCGTGTCTGATCCGCAGGTTCACAGAGGGCCGCTTCGCCCAGGTGTCCGACCCCACCGTGGGGGTGGACTTCTTCTCCCGCCTGGTGGAGATCGAGCCGGGAAAAAGGATCAAGCTTCAGATCTGGGACACAGCGGGACAGGAGAGGTTCAGGTAAAGACAGAAATCTTTCTCTGCTGCTGCTTTATATATCCGCAAAACAACCTACAAGTGAGACTCAGAGCTTTCACTCCCTCCACAGCCTTCACTTGCTCACACTGACCTCATGCCAACACATCTCACCCTCTGTTCTGCCCTTGGCGGGGCAGTAAAGGTCACTTAGGAATACGTGCTCTTTCATTACTATAAACACTGGAATACATACTGTAAAAACTCACTAGAGGACTAAAGATTTGTTAAAATACAAACTACAGTACCCAGCTGCTTAATAGAATTATTTAGCCTAATTTAAAAACAAAAGTTCACATTTGTGATGTTTTTTTTACATTTCACATCTTCAGTACAAATAAATGACCGACTAACACATTGATGGTTTCGGTCTTTTGGTGAGATTTGTCCACAAAAATGAAAATACAGGACATCACCTGCTACTGAACACCTTTTAAATGCGTTTAAAGATGTTGTTTTGTGATTAGGGTGTACTATGAAGGCGATATGCTGTATCTTACTGTTCGTCAGCAAATCCCCTGAAACTACAAAACTTCTCTGACTTCTCTCCTGTATCTGTAACAATTAGGTCCAAGCTCATTCTTTCCTACTGCATTAACTTCTATGTATAAACTTTTTCCATTTTAAAGAAGGCTCTGTACATTTTACAGCAGCTGAACGCTGTAGTTTTTGCTAAATATCACTCAAACAGGAGCAAATCCTGCATTTTATGGGGGACTATTTTCTACCAGTTATTTACAGCATCAACCCCACATGCATCTATCTCCTCAGGTCCATCACCAGGGCCTACTACCGTAACTCTGTGGGTGGTCTCCTGCTGTTTGACATCACGAACCGTCGCTCCTTCCAAAACGTTCATAACTGGCTGGAGGAGGCTCAGAGCCACGTCCAGCCGCACAGCATCGTCTTCCTGCTGGTGGGCCACAAGTGCGACCTTGAGGCCCAGCGTCAGGTGACCCAGCAGGAGGCCGAGAAGCTGGCAGGGGCCTTTGGGATGCGATACGTGGAGACATCGGCGCGAGACGCCATCAACGTGGAGAAGGTCTGGACACTATTATGTCTTTTTTTCACCAACACACAATTTGCTGTGATGCTTTTATTGTGTTTTTGGCGTCATTCCAAATACTTTTGACCAAAACTTTCACTAAATTGATCAAAAAGGTGCCAATGTTTTAATCCACAAAATGTATTATTGCAATAAATTCAGACATCAACTTAATTTGTTCAAATGAACTTACTAGGTTTGATTTTACAGGTAATCTGTGCAAATGCTTTTTGGAATAAGAAACAGAAACTTTTTTTTCAGCACATAATAAACATAAATTTCCGATAAGGCTCATGGTGAAATAAGTAACCCGGTCAAAGGTTGTCTTTGGAAAAGGAAACAGCAGCAACGGACCTAATAGCAAAATAAGTCTCACATGAAATATCAGCCACCAGTTTCAGCCATTCTATAATTCTAACAAGTTAACACGATTAAATTGACAATCGTGATGCTTCTTATTAATTAATGGTTTGAGAAAATAATGTATAAGAACCAACAATTTGCCCATCTAAAGTTCTTACAGTGCACACAAATGTCTTCAAACTGCATGTTTTCTCAGAAAAACAGCCTGAAACACTAAAAAGTTTCTGATTACTATCGTAAAGGATAAACAAAAGCAACAAACGTTGACACTTGAGAAGCTGGAACTTTAGTTTTCGACATTATTTGACCATTTAATGATTTGGCAAGTACTTATGAGTTTTGATCCCTCACAATCTCCAATTCTGCTTTTGACTTCAGGCGTTTGTGGACCTGACGAGGGAAATCTTTGAGCTGGTACGGAGCGGGGACATCAAGATCCAGGACGGCTGGGAGGGTGTCAAGAGCGGATTTGTTCCTAACACCGTCCACTCCTCCGAGGAGGTCACCAAGGGCAGCCGGCAGTGCTTCTGCTGATTTACCCAAGTGGACTCCATTTGTAGAAGATCCCTGTTTGGCTGCTCTCAGTCCAGTTTTTGGGACTCGTAATGTTCCCCTGCTCAGTTACACACTTTACTTCTATATATAAGACATTATTTTATCATTCGGGTGCCTGTTCATGGCTCTGTCCAAAATTAGGACACTTTGTCGATGTTCTTAGCAGGTGTAGAAGCACAAGAAGCATCTTAACTCCTCACTTTTCTGTGTGCATGTGTGTGTAGCTGTAATAACCCTGCTGTCTTTGCAGCTGTTACGAACACCTTAGCTTTACTCCACTTTTGGCCTTTCCTGATGTGTACAGTTATACTGCAGTGGCTGGTTCTGTTGTTGCCTCACATCTCTAAAAGACTGTCAGTGTAGTGTGCGTTCAATCATGCGTCGACATGAGTTTCATTTAAATCTGAATCAGTGATGCCAAGACTGAGCCACGACCTCTCTCCTTTTCATGTATAATATATTGCAACCTTGTGTGGAGCAACAGCCTCACTGACTGATTGTACATGTGTGCTACAAATCTGAGTGGCTTAACGCATAAAGAGGGCGGAGGATAAAGAAAACGTACTCCAGTTGAACCAAAGTTTGAGGCGCTGTCATGTTTTGTGTATCCGACTGCTGAAGAACGAGTTTGCACAGTGAAAATGTTCAATGCTGGAAGGAAAACGTGCTGTAGCTGCTCTCTGACGGCCTTTATGACCCGATCATAGCAAGAGTTTTATCAGTCTGGTGGGCACCCAGTGTGTGTTTACGGAAACAGGTAAGACACAACCCTAAAGCTTTTTGTATGGAACCCCAAATCAAATAATAATGAAAAAAAAACAACAAACATAATGAATCATGTGAATAAATTGTGTAAAATACATGAAACAAGAAATTGTGAAACGTGTGTATTATATTATAGATATTCTTACTTTTAGATTTTATGTCATAGCCACACGTTTTTATTTTTTTTTTAAAACATTTGTTTTATTTCTCATCTTATTTCCTAATGTTTTTTTATTTTTTTTTTTTTTTTTTTAAAACATTTGTTTTATTTCTCATCTTATTTCCTAATGTCTTTTCACAGCAGTTATGTGGCTGGCGATTCCTCACTTTTCCATTTAAGCTCATCAACATCATCACATTCAGTGACAGGGCTGCTGCTATGGCAACAGCATCAAAATTCAACTACATGTCTGCAAATATATACAGATGCAGAAACCAACGAAGGCCACACGTGTGACTTCATATATCCACATACATTTGGGTCACAGGACTAAGAATTGCCTTTTTTGAAAATAAATTGATTTTAGACATTTGAACAACTAAAAAAGTCATTTAAATACACACACTGTTGTTCTGAAGGTACCTGTAGAGTCCACAATGACTCTGAACCAAAAATACCAACTTTGCTGAACAGGAAAATAAATGTAACCGTTAGTTTCATGGTAGTGTATGCGCCTTTGTGTCAGCTGCACAGGAGGTTTCAGTTGCAATAGTGAATTTAGTGAGTTGTCTGATTCAGATTTGCTTTGATATTGTCATTGCTCTTGTTAACGGGAGCTAACACGCTAAATTTGATTAGCGTTATGACATAAAATGTGACATTTTGAAATAAAAATGGCGATAAATTAAAAATGTAATATAGAAAAATGTAATGAAAAAGGGAGCATAGTGGAGGCAAATTAATTCCAGTGAAATTTCATGAAGATTTTATTCGGAAATTATTTCAAAATTAATGTTTGCCATTTACATTTTGCACATTTTATTCATGCAGCTATGGATTTCATAATTACTTATTAATGTATTCAGTATGAAACCATTTTGGGGCTCCACAATTTTGGAAACTGGTGTTTGAACATGGAGTCTATTATAGACATAATTATATTCATATTTATAACCAGTGCATGTCTCCATTTTAGCTCAATATTCTCAAGAAAGAAAGAAAGAAAGAAAGAAAGAAAGAAAGAAAGAAAGAAAGAAATAGATTTTCTTTATTTTTGCTATAATGTAAAAAACCCTTTCACTCAGTACCTGTAATCTCAGCAGAAAGAGCAGAATAAATGAATGTGTAAAAACATGTGGTTGTATGACAAAAGTGAATCCATCCATTATCTACACACCGCTCAATCCTCATTAGGGTCATGGGGGGCTGGAGCCTATCCCTGCCGACTTAGGGTGAAGGCAGGGGACACCCTGGACAGGTCACCAGTCTATCACAGGGCTACACTTAGAGACAGACAACCAAGCACACTCACATTCACACCTAAGGACAATTTAGAATCACCAATTAACCTCAACATGTTTTTGGACTTTGGCGACCTTCTTGCTGCGAGGCAAGGGTGCTAACCACCGAGTGCTCACCACCGAGTCACCTTCCAGCCTACAAATGTGAATGTGAAACATTATTGATTTAAACCTCATACAGTTCCAGAGATTTGAATTCACATTTTTGTCATTAATACTGACTAATTAATCAAAGAACTGTTTCAGGACAGAAGGAAAGAACAGTGGGTGAGTCCATTTATTTTTGCCCGTGAAAATCAAATGTTTCATTCGAGTGCCTTTAGGTTAAAAGAAGCTTAAGCAACAGATACAACCATGTGTTAATGTTGGAACATCTAAAGCGTGAGGTGGCGGAAAACAAGCTAATATCACTTTACTCAACTTGTAAATAATTCATTTGAAACTGAAGCCCTGACAAAGTTGACTGTTCCATGTTGTTGTGACTCTGGGGGTTATTATAGCACAAGTGTCATCAATAATAAATGCCTGGAAACATTCATAAAGATTTTTCCTTGGGCAAAGATTGGAAGTACGCTGCTGTCTGCACCATGAAACTGATGTGCAGCTGATTAACAGGCGATAATTCAACACTGTTGAGAGGTTGATGCTGTGTGCCACCACTAGAGAGCAGCCTCAGTGTGTGGAGAAGAGAGGGGAGAGGGAAGAGCTCCCTTAGCACATACTTTGTACTTTTAGGTGTTAAAATTGAGACATTTTCCTGCCAAAAATCAATAAATATGAGCTTAAATTCAATCTGAGACCTACTAATATTGGCAACATGAATAGAAATGTGTTCCAAATATGTGTCACACAGAAAAAAATGCAAGAACTCACCGTTTTTTAGTCTACATTTTAATCGAAAATCTTAATTCTCAACATACTATGTGCTGCTCTTAAAGCTACCGTTCATTTTCTCACACTATGCACATTTCTTAATGCTTAAGCCAGACTGATGCGTTGACTTTTTCTTGGTGAGCAAAGCCTTGTATTACTCTCAAGCACATTTATCAGTCATATTGTCGTCAATTTAGCATTATCATAATACAGGAACTGGTAACAGATGAGTCCTCAGATTCACACGTTCATCATCAGTTAGTAATTCAGTTTACAAGCGCTACTTCTAAAACTCATTTGAGGACATGAGGAACTGCCCAGGAGCCCACAGACCCTAAAGGACCTGTAAATAGTTGCCGCAATTTCATCCATTTCTACTTTGTTTGGCAATTTAATTAGCTGCAACCGTGTTATTTTCACCACTTAAGTACAGTGTTAATTCAGATATATATAGTGTTAATATTATCCTGATGATCAGCATATTCCTAAATAAAGTTGTTTAATCATATTATCACCAGAACCCAACTGATATTAAATTTTAGTAAGTAAAAAAATCCAGTGTTGATATATTGGCCATTGTTACATATAATGTTACACACACATATATATGTAATTTTAACAACTAACAAGTTACTTAGCAGCTCACTATGAAGACACCACTTGACTCCGCACCACTGTCTGCTCTGCTGTAATTGGTGCTCTGCTGCATGTGCAGTACTGACTGAGAATACTCTATCTAATATAGCTCCTCTGTTTCATAAACTATGATGACACCATTTTCAAATTACCCCAAGAATCTTTTTCTACATTATAGTTTGTTAAAAAAAAAAAAAAAAAAATCAGCTGATATCAGTCAGGTTTTAAATAGCACAAACTAAAAACCTGTTTCGACCTGGTTGCACATGAACTTGGAGGAGGCAAGGAGTGTTACATTAATTTTATAGGAACCACAGTGACTGAATGTGAACCACACAAAAGTAAGAAAGGTCTTTTTTTTTCAGGAGTGAAGGAATGTAAAAGTGAACATTTTGAGTGGTCACAGCAGAGACATGCCAAATGATGTGTGTGTATATTTATATGTTTGTGTGTATATGTTGGTGAGCACATTTCAAACAAATGTCCCATGACAAGATTTTTTCATTAATAAATAGCTCCTAATGTATTTGCTGTATTGAGATGCGACTTTAATTTTGTCCTATTTCTTTGAAACTGTGTTTGTATGTCATGAATTTGATCAGTTTGCTGCGAATTATAGTGTTAATGTACGCTGTGTGAAAAGGAAATTATATAAAGAAACACAATTTCTGTCACCTGTCGTTCTGATCGTTTCTTGACCTAATAAGACATGTGATTTTTAAAGCCCACTTTAAGTTTTTTTTTCTTCTTCTTGACAGACCAGTTGGACGTTTTCAGTGAGTAGAGGCTTTTTTTACTGCACAAATTAAGTGTTGCTCAGTGTACTGAGATTTATAAAATAAGGCTTGAGCAATTAAGAAAAACATTTTAGATAAGATCGGTCAATAAAAACATTTTCTAGTAAAATCCAATATTGATTAGTTAAATGAGTAAGAAGTGACTGCACGAATTCCTGTACTGTAGGCCTCATGTCCTGTTGCAGTCGGTTAAACAGCCTAAAGGTAGAGACATTTCGTGCCTCACAAAGAGGACATTGTTAACAGAGGTAAGTGAGTCATCGATGATTCACGGAAGAAACCGGAAAGTTTGCTCAACAGCCTCTAACAAAAAAGGGTCAACAAAAAAAAAAAGTCTTCCAGTAACTGAGGATGTAGATGCAATTATATTTGGCCCGCGAGACAAAACCAAATGACTACTAGTACAATGCATTCACCGCTAATACTACAAATCCCATAATGCCCTGTTGTTGTTTTGG